GTCATCGCGTAAGTAACACGCGAGAATTTCATGACGTGTGTATAAAATAATCAGTGAAGCAGCTTGATTTAATAATATTGAAAATATTTATAATAAATCACGTCCACGGCCGAAACAGAACGCAATCACGAACAGCGCGATTGCATCGAATATTATCTCTATATATAATGAGTCCTAATAAAATGTTCGAATATACCATTGTCGGCCCTGAGTAATACTGACGTTACAAACGTTGCTCTACGCTGCTGCACGTAAAATGGAAAAATAGCCACGGTAACGCAAAGAAAACGTCCGTAGCTCGTACGTAAAGCGGCGGACTGTAAAGAAAATGTCTCGGCGGCGTGTAAATAAAAGCGGCTACGAACAATGCCTCGCCAAAGAGGAGTCGAGAAGAGGAGCTTGTTTATTTCCCCTCGACCATCCGCTGGAACACGTAGGGAAAAAAAATTTGAGAAAAATATGGTGAACGGATAATATCGGCCGTTAAGATCGCGCCATTTATGAGGTGTTCCATTGTGTGGCTAAATCGTAAATCGTGCCGAGCCATGTGCGAAACTTCACGGCGCCGTGTTACGTTCAGCTACGGCATTCTTTCGGGATAGACTACGAATAATTATCGAGAGAGGTGATTTTGGCGTGACACGAATCTCTCTCCCGAAATTTTGGCTGTATATATATTTTAAACTGTTAATTCTGCAATACACTAAGAGCTAAAATAACACGCACGATTTCAATTCTAATAATAATGTATACTTCCATTTAGCGTGAAAATAGGTTGTTTTACAGTAATCTATTTAAGCGGACTATCTTTGATCAAGCAGCATAGAAATTTCGCCCGTTTCCCGTAATTTCGGCTTATCGTCGAAGACTTTCTCGTGAAAATGTTGTGGCGTACGTATATAATCTCGCGTAAGTCGAGAGATGCCGGCGTTTCAATATCTAGGTTACATGTGAAATAGAGATAACCAGCTGGCCCTAATGCTTCATAAAAGTCTTACTACGTCATTGCAAAGGCAAAGGTTGTTGAAGTCCTTAAAACCGATTGCGACAACATTTCTGCTGGAAAACGGAGTTCTTGTGGTAAGAAAGAGAATTGGGATGGGCGTAGCTCATGGAGGAGACTCTTCTTCCTGTCCTGATAAATCGCGGAAATTGCATTGCCAAACACGACACGGGTATGCATGACGTACATGGCGAAAGGAAATTCCGCGTCATCGTGTGCCAGAAAAGCGGTCGAGAGATCAGAGGATAACGGATGTCGTCGTAATCTCGAAACATTGAAAAATCAAATAGAAGAGAGAGAATTGATGCGTTTTTCAGGAAGAAGGTAGTAGAAGCAGCAATTAACATGTTCTGTTCGAGACACGCGAACGTCCAATTTACCGAAATAGCCCAACAAGTCTTCGATCGTGTGATTAATTTCGAGTTCGCGGGAGATATTATTTCGCGCAAGCGGTGACGTTAAAACTTCCGGAAAAGGAAAGCGCGCGTAACAATTGTAAACGCGTACGGAGGATTGTATTTGTCAGAAATACAACTGTCAGGACATGAAAGTGCCGAGGTCAGAGGGTTACGAATTAAAGACGGTGAAGAATAGCACGGCCGGCGGCTGCGAAGAGAGGAAATTTCATCCTTGAAAAGCCGAGACTACGTGGAGAGGAGTGACGTTCGCGGATTTCTCGGCTGGAAAGCCGCTTATTAATAAATGGAAAGACAAACCGAGCCGGCTATAATTTTGATATCAATAGGAATATTCAGAAGACAAACTCTTCAGGTGCTCGACTCGAGTAAAAAATTAAGATCGTCGAATTAATATACGAGAAAGTGCGCGTACAAAATAAATTCGACTCTCAAGGACGCGCCGATAAGGGGAAGTGCATCGTTATTCGAGAGAAGACACAAATAGCGAACGATAAAACACGATAACTTCGTACAAATGAAATCCACTTTCCTTACATCTTGAAAGTGGTCCCCCGTAAACCTATAAATCGTACGTTTCCCGAGTAGTGATAACTTACGCGCACCTTATGCGTCTTAAATAACCTGAAAATAATCGGTCGGTCGCCGTACTCTCTCCTTATTTTACGTTTAATAAATCCAGCCTCGAAAGTAATAAACGTAGCATAGCTCAGGAAAAAGCGACCACCTGTTTAGATTGCAACGGTCGAGGGAGGAAAGGAAGGAGTGGGGAGAGAGACGCAAGAATAATGAACGCGTTCCTCGCTAAACGTCCCAGCGTTTCGAACGTTCTGATTAGCTCACGTGCTAATTTCCATTCCATTGTAACTTAATCGCAGCGAAATAAAGACGCGCACCTGCAGAACAATGTTTTTTTCTTACGGAGCAAGCGGATAATGCGGCGAAATATGATGAGAAATCAGTGGAGAAAAAAAAAGATAAAATAAAGAAGCAAGTATTTTCACTTGAGAATTCTATATTTCTTTCTCGCATGAGAATTGCGACGTAATGCTATTCATTCTCCGTGAGATGAAATATTTGCGACTGAGATTTGCCGCGATTGTATTTCTTTTCATCGGTATATACGGCATATTAAATGCGATGTGTGCGTCAATACGCCGTTTGTTAGCGATTACATAGCGGCGGAAATGTTCCCGGAACCGATCGATATATACAAGAGGTCACCACTGTTTCGCGTTTGCGCTTTTACCATGTAATAATCATTATGCTAAATCTCAGCCGATATAAATTGCGACGACGTCTCATGTGTTTTATCTAGCGCTTGTTTCGTACTTTTATTTTAATATTAACGTAAAAGTGAATCTCCAAAGAGACGTTCCACAAACGTATGTTCAAATTTAAGCACGACGTGTAGAATAATTCTAGCCGATGCAAAACACTCGAGCTTTTTCGCATATATGCTAACCTAACGCAATCACGGCTGTCTCATGACGCGAACGAAAACTCGGGAAGCGTATTCCAACCACCTCCGAGAACTGCTGGAACGTTATTCCCCCGCATAATCGCAATAAATTCGAATAGTTGCCGCGGGAGAAGTTCGATATGCAAAAGGGACGTCCAGTCGGAAATAAAATCCCGCATCATCAAGGGGAATATGGCGGGATTTTACGTCCTTCAAGACTGAGAATGCATATGTATTCACACACCGAAGGTGTGCAATGATGCGCAATGATAACATCTCGGACTTTACGCGAATGGAAATTAAGAGCATTTAATTAACATTTAATTAGAAAGTGAAGTATATCAAAAGAGTCACCATATGGGACCTTACGATGAATCCTTCTTCGCGACAGTTCGTATATTTCCCTCTCAAACGATTCCCTTTCGAATCACCTATATATCATTCACCATAGCATCGTAGGATATATGAAACAACCGCGGGTATATTTACATTGACGAGCTTCGCGAAGAGACCACACAACTGGCTGACCACCACCGCCGCCGCCACCAACCGCGTGAATATTTCACGAGAAAGTAACGGACCACTTCGAAGCGTGCACGGCTTTGAGCTTCATCGAACTGTGCGTCAGCGAAAAATTATGCACCGCAAAGCCCGCCTGAAGATCCGATATCGATATGCGCGGGCCCACTTCGATATGAATGAAAAGCTCCATTACGTAACACGCGGATGCAACGAACGAAGCTATTTCAGAACGTTCTGTTATCTATATTATTTAAAAACAACATTTTATCAAGGGAATATATAAGGCGTGCCGAACTATATAAAATATGTATAATCAAACTCTAAGTCATTTTGTAAAATTTCGCGTTATTAGCGAGAATAGATGCGCGATGTATCGCCGCGACTACTTAGAGCAAGCGAACAAATTTGAAAGGAAATGCTGTATCTTTTACATAAAGCCTTTTAAAGTAATATATGTTACTTGAAAGGTCATCTGCATACAGGTCAATACTTGAAAGAAACTTTGCTTTGAAATAGCGGGCAATCAATTCAAGCACTGCATTTTTTAACAGATTCGAAAGGGATCGATATACGTAAACGCCTCGCGCCCACCACAGTCATTCCCACATTGTTATCGCAATTTATACGCTCATCGCTTTTACCGTCCTACTCTCGCATGTTGCCATGCTGAAAAGAAAAAAAACACGGAACGAAAATCACGCGACGCTTGGATATCGTTGAGATGAGGATCCTACTCATCGACGCGTTGCAACTCGGACGTGAAAAATGGCCGGAATAAAGTTTGAAATGAGCACTAGTAGAATGACGCAACGAATCGATTGGAAGAAAATACCTTTTATTGATAATCGCTCGTCCAGCAGCGCAGTAATCTATTCATTTACGTAACCGCGTTAACACAATTCTTGTGGGCCGTCCGTGAATGATCAATACTTTGCGAGACTATCTTTAATAAAGAGGGAGTTAAAAATACGAGAGCTTGCACGATATCAGCCACCGCCGCGCGCACATGTCGCTGTAATCTTGCGACGATGAACAAAACGGAAAATCTCGGCTGCGACGAAAGCTGCGAACGACTGATTCCGCTCGCTTAATGGTTTTTCTAGCGCACAATGCGGGTTATATAGCGAGGTTTGACAAATGTTTCACGCGCTGAATATTCAGCGTTCAGAAATGATAAGATGTAAAAATATAATTTCCCCGTGATTCTCTTTCAATATATTCCGAATAAATGAAATGATCGAAGCTTCCTTCCTTTAAGGTGTCGCTGCATTCTCCCCTTTCGCGGATCCGTAAAACTACCGTTTCTCCAGCGAAATGAAAAATTCTGCAACAGTAGTGAGATCTACCGCAACGTAGTGAGCCCTTTGCTCTAAGCATTAAATTGTGACATAACTTCTAACAAAAGACATTCCGAGCGCTATCAGATGTAGCCATTTATTACGACTTTTGGACTTTGATCGACACTTTATTGCTCAGAGGTTTCCCGACACATATTATAAATCCGGCAGATATTGCAATTCCGCGTGAGTTACCTGCGAGTGCAATAAAATCTAGAGAGAAGCGCTCTCTCGCTTTGCGATGTTTTGACCTGACGTACCTGCTTGAAGCCTCGATACATAACTCGGATCTCCTGGCGGGAGAACTTGGTTTGTCGCAGAAGTTCCTCTATGGGCACCGGCCTGGTGGTCTGCTGTCTTGCCCTCGTGCTCTCGAAGTCGAAGAAGGCCTCTTCCGGTCCCGGTGAATCCGGCGGCGTTGCCATGATCCTACCGCCGCTAAATTGTCGAAAACCTACGACGCACCCTCCTCTCCCTCGCAAACACCACCACCACCTTCTCGACTTCCCGTGTTCTTTTTATACACAGTGGTCACACGAGGTCACACCATCGCTGACACGTTTCCCGGCGTCGTTTTCATCTCTCTCTCTCTCGGCCGCTGTTTTATTACCTTCCTCGTTGATCTCGTCGAGCGAGCGCTGCACAAAATGTTCGCCACGTGAAGCCCCTCTCTCTCGTCGAGCATCACCACACACTATGTCGTCGGCACAACAAACGCGTTTGCTTAATAACGGTGTGTAATGCAAAGCATGGTATTTTTAACGTTCTAATTACATGCTACGCGTTATTGATTATGTGCGGTCGGGTAATTAATTCCGTGTCCGTACTGAGCGTCTGTGTGTGCATGCGTGCTGCGAGCGAGTAAACACACACGGGGATTATTTCATCGACGACATGTCGGTTAATTAACGCTCGCGACTTGAATGAAAATTCGCGCGCGCTCAAGAGAGATGTAGTTTTTCCGAATCCATTTAAGTTTTGCGGTGAAACGGACGACAACTAAGTTCGCGCCACGTGCTTGCACGGAGTTACTTCCGTTCAGGAAGGGAGAGAATTATTCCATGTTTACGAACATTTTATTTTCCGCCTGTTTGATTTGAGAGGGGATGGATATCACGACGGAGGAGAGGACAGACAGTGCTCTTCGCGATCTCAGGATAAACCCGTTCAATTGTGGCGTGCATATGCGCCATTAATCACTATTAGTAAGACACGGGCGTGCTCTCTTTCTCCGCTGTGTGTTGAAGCTGTGCGTTTTAGATCTAGATTTCGGGGTCGCGAAGATTGCAAAAATAGCCCGGCAAAGACGAGGAAATATCGCAGGCGGTAAAAATCGATGACTCGGAATTCCCGAAAGGTTACCGTGCCAAAACTTTGACAATCGATTCGAAATTCACTGATAAGAACCAGGGTAATAGCGGCCAGAGCCGTCGAATTGACTTATATTCATTTAAACGAGCGTCGTCGCATGAATGATATATATAACGCGCGCGATCATGTTGTTAATAATAACCAAAGAGATGAACCAATGTCTCGGTAAAGGACATGGCAAAACAGGGGGATCGACAACTTTTCTCCGCGCAACGTTGCTTCTATCAACTTTAAGCAGACGCGGATTTACGGAAAATGTTAAAGATTCATGTCAAAATATTTATATCACGATTATTGTGTAAATATAACAAGGCGATATAGGGTCAACAAGCATATCGCATAAATATAAATAAAAACTCTTCGTCGGGCTAGTGCGCTTAATAGCGCGGGAAAAATTACATCAAATCAAAGACATTCAACTATCTAAATTAGTATTTCACAGAAATGTTAAAAAAATCCCACGTAAAAAGTAATATGCTCGACATTTGCGCTCTCTCTCTCTCTCTCTCTCTCTCGAGTTTTTGTCCTCCATAGTACAATTTTACTACTTTTCTTTCGTTATCCCATTTTATAATTTAACAACCGATTTTCCCCGGTGAAATATTAAAAGCCGTGGGGAAAAGTAAAAAAAAAACCCGCTGTTTAAATATACAAGTGAACGGGATATCGCTCGAATCTCTTATTGTGTAATAACTTAGCGAAAAGGAAAACGTAAATGTGATTGAAACGTACCTACCAATCGCGTTACAGATTAGAAAGTCACCTGTTAACGAGGGAGACGCGTTCGCAATACAGCACTGTGATCGACGGGGACTGCAGTGAGGAACTCGATTCTCCTTATCGCACAGCGATTCAGTACGGGACAGACAGGGAAGAGAAGTGTCGCGCAACAGGGAAAAGGAGTAAAATGCGTGCAGATATCCTATCGCGGATCTGCCGCTTGGTCTGCGCGACAAGATCGCGGTGACGGTCCCGGGAGCGAAAGGCAGCGGCTGCATCAGTAGCGGCGACGACGACGACTATCGATCGGAACAGGTGGATCACACTCGGTTGACGACCCTCTCACGTTCGTCTTGCGGGCGCAGACAGCGCGGCGACAAGACGCGTCAACTCGCCGCTGATCTCCGTAACATAGTCGCGCCCGCCCTTAACATCGACCCCGGACGGCATTCAGCAGGATATGAGAGAGCAAACGTTCCAAGGTCTCGCGAGGCACTGGCGGAAGACGACGCGACGATGATGATAAAGAAAACGACCCGAACAGGTACGCGACCAGCGGCACACTGATTGCCCGGGTAGAACGCGTCTAAACGGCGCCGCTGGTTGGCCGCGCGCCCTGACCAATCGCCAGCCCGCTGAATCGCGCCGGCGAGCTACCCTTAAGCTGTTTGAAAGATGGGGTGTGAGGGTGTTGGAGAAGGAATACGGTACGTGTGTACCGTATGGAGGCGTGTACATAACTTCGTAAGTATTGAAAATACACGTACACGTTGAGAGAGAAAATATATCTAAAAAAAAAAAACATTTATTCGGTGCTTTAATAACAGAACAATTAATATACAGAGTGAGTCATCTTAACGGGCAAATAATGTGAAAAATATGGAAGACGTGGGAAAATGTTTCAGATAAAAGTTGTAGGATTTAGAGGGGGACATAAGAAGGTGACGTTAACTTCGTTGTACAATCAATCATTTAAGATCATTTCAAGGTCAGCTTCATTTTTTTCGTAGAATTATATCGTTTTCACCATATCTTTCATATTTTTCGAAATATTTGCCTGTTAAGATTAAAATGAATCACCCTTATAACTAATAACAATAACATATTTTTAAACTGAAAATATGTTTTGAAGCGAAAAATATATACATGCTCTTAAATCTGTAGCTTTTCATTAAAGCAATCGTTTATTCTATTTAAGTAAAAGAATTTACAGAGATTTAAGTATGTTATCAGTACTCACCGAATAAATATATTTTTTTTTTTCTTTTACATGTTTTTCTCTCGGTATAATTTTGAATTATAATATAATAGATTAATTATAATGGTTCTAATTATAACGATTTTTACCTATATATTTAGGTAAGGCTCAAAATTTTGTAATTCTCGGTTTAGGTTGAGAAAGTTACTTTTGAAAAGTAACTCGTTATTCATTATTGGAAAAAGTAACTTGCAAAGTAAAGAGTCGTTGCAATTTCATCGAGTTTTGAGGATCCTTTTTAGGACTCATTTTTGCTTATTTTATGTACATATATATGATGTCCTATTTTAAATAATGCATTTTAATATCTCTTCTGTAACTCGTCATGGACAAATATTTTTCAGACAAAAGTTGTATAGTCTGGAGGACATTTGATAAAAATACGGATTTGACCTTTTCAAGGTTAGCTAACAACTTTTAAATGAAAACCCTTATTTTTTATTTCATATTCTTGTAGCTGACTTCAAGACTTTTCCCAAATACTATTATAAAATGCCGTTTCATTTTCCCCAAGATGTTTTTCGCTCTACATCGTTATAAATGATTCATTTTTCATCGGCCGTGATGGTTCATTTGAAAAATATATCGTTTTCGTTGCATTTGAACAGAGAGAATCGTTGATGGGAATGCGGTTTGTTTTCCCATTAAATTGTGAGGCATCCGAATATTGTAACGATTCACGTATCCGAGTGTCCGTTATTTTCCTCCATTTATATTTTTAACGTAAACACATGTAAAATTCACAAATCGCAAAGAAAGACGAAATATAATTCATATTATAATTCACGTATATACTGGTTGAGTTCCGAAATTCACTGCCAACATTGCAAATCTATAGTTTCTGTTACATATACTATAGATTCAGTACCGGCAGTGCATATCGGATCTTATATTTCACCCGAACGTGCCCCAGTGTGTATTGCCGAACGCAGTCTGTGCACAGTAAGTACATTTTGTTTTCCTTTAACTTATTGCACCAGTTCAGTTAAAAAGAACGGACCGATAGTTTTCGTTGCACCCTGTAACCTGGTAATCGCTAAAAACGATCATCGTGAAGAAACTATCCTATCCCATGAACACGATAAAACTGTCACATGGGTATAGTTTGATCAGTCATTGTACACATAAAAAAAATATGTACAACAATGCATACTCTTTTGTGCAATTTCATCAACAACGAGCTATTCACTCGTGCTATTCTCACCGCAAGAGTGCTTGGAAAACAGAGGTTTCAATTAAACATTGTTCAATTCAACGAGAGATTCTCTATTGTGACGATAAAATTTACGATATAATAGCTGTATCATGATAGAAGGTTTTCTTTTAGAGGTTGGATCAAGCGTTTCTCCTCGTCGTCGTTGTCGATAACAGCCGATGTGGAATACAATGTGCCTGTTGAAGTTATTCGTAATTTCAGTATTATTGCACACGTTGATCACGGTAAGAGTACACTCGCCGATCGGTTGCTTGAATTAACAGGTGCCATAAAAGTAAATTCCGGCAAGCAAGTTCTAGATAATTTGCAAGTGGAAAAAGAACGTGGCATTACTGTAAAGGCTCAAACAGCTTCGCTGTTTTATTCATACAGAAAAAGAAACTATCTTCTCAACCTCATAGATACACCTGGTCATGTAGACTTTACAGCAGAGGTTCGTCGATCACTGGCTCCTTGTCAAGGAGTCATCCTGTTGGTTGATGCAAACGATGGTGTTCAAGCGCAAACTGTAGCAAACTATTATCTAGCGCGTGAAAAAGATCTTGCAATTATACCAGTGATCAACAAAGTGGATTTGAAAAATGCCAATCCTGATAAAGTGCAGAACCAGTTACAAGCATTATTTGGCGTGGATAACATAGATGTGATAAAAATATCTGCCAAGTTAGGCATTGGGATTGACAAAGTTCTGGATGCTGTGATCGAAAAGATTCCACCACCTATAGTGTGCAGAGATAAGCCATTTAGAGCATTAGTGTTTGACAGCTGGTATGACAAGTACAAGGGTACCATTTCCTTGATTTATGTGAAAGATGGAGCATTATCCATTGGTGAAAACATTAACTTTTTCCATGTGGAGAAGTCATACGAAATTAAAAGTATTTCTCTCCTCAGACCTGAAGCGGAAAATGTGAAGACAATGTGAGTTCACGCAAGTGAAATGTTTCGATTTGTTTCATCAGAATAACAATCACCTATATCGCGCGCATATTACAAAAAACACACGTTACTATGATGTATTGTTTGCAAGTTTTGGAAGAAAACTCACTTTTCCATTTCTGTCCCAAGGATACAAAAATTCGTTTAAAATCATTCAAATGTGTTCGAACGAAAAAAATTCGCGAAAAAATTGAAAGGAAGAATAACGGTTTTTTTCCGCAACTTTGGAACTATAGTATGAAATCCATGTCACATACGTAATGTAATTAATAATTTATAATTAATAATTAATAATTTATGCTAACACACACCATTGAGAGTATTGGTCTAGATTTGCAGGACAAGTTGGTGCTGTTTCGTGTAATATGAAATCTAGGGATCTTTGCATCGGAGACACTTTATACCTGAAACAATGTTCCGTCGAGCCTTTGGAACAATTCAAACCACCGAAACCAATGGTATTTGCTGGCGTATATCCGATGGATCAATCGCAATTTGCCTCTTTGCAAGCGGCTATCGACAAACTTGCTTTGAACGACAGTGCTGTGGCCATCACAATGGAGTCGAGGTAGTATTAAACACACTACTTGGAAATTTGTTCCTGCACTGCCTGTGTCATTGCCAGTGCAGGAACATGAAACAAACCTTTGATAAGTAAAAATCTATGTTCCCCTACGATCCTATCATATATTATTGTTACGAAAAGCGCGTTGCATGTTGCAGTGTTGCGCTTGGAAAAGGATGGCGAATTGGATTTTTAGGTTTATTGCATATGGAGGTATTTGTTCAACGTCTCGAACAAGAATACGGAGCACAGCCGATAATTACGGCACCTGGAGTTACGCACAAAGCTAAAATATTTGGTGCTAAAAATATAAAGAAATATCAAGGTGATACGGTAACTTTTAACAATCCAGAGCATTTTCCGGATAGGAAGATTGTCAGCGAATTCTACGAGCCTATGGTTGTGGCGACCATTATAACACCAGGTATGTGTAAACGCACATATATTTTCAAGCTATGAAAGCATTCCTTACCCTCCGGACGAAACTTATTTGTTGCTCAGTGAGCACAAGTTTTACGCATTGGATAAACATAACTTTGTGCTGTGATTCTCTCAGCCCTGAAAATATATCAATGTCAAACATCATTGCACACGTTTTTACTCTTATTATTGATACTTGTAGAGTAATCGATACTTTGTAAAATGTACAGCTGAATATGTGAATCAAGTTATGTCGCTTTGTCGAGAAAAGCGAGGCGTTGAGAAATCGAACAAGTCTATTGGTAATGACAGACTCGCCCTACAATATATAATGCCATTGAGCGAAGTAATCATTGACTTCCACGATTCTTTGAAAAGCATAAGTTCTGGTTATGCTAGTTTCGATTATGAAGATCATGGTTACCAATCGTCTGACATAACCAAGGTACATATACTCCGACGCGAATTATCCTTATGATATATGCACTGTTGAACCGGTGCAATAAATTAGAGCGAGATAAAATAGATTTGTCTCAGTTCAGCAGTGCCGCTATAAAGAACAGACCCGATAAATTGTGCATTTCGTTACATAATTTTTAGTTAGATTTTCTCTTGAATGGAAAACTGGTAGAAGAGTTGAGTATTATTGTACACAAAAAGAAGGCCTTGCCAACGGGTAGAAAATTATGCGTCAGGCTTCTCGAAACCATTCCTCGGCAGCTCTTTGAAATAGCTATCCAAGCAGTGATAGAAAGTAAAGTGATAGCGAGGGAAACTTTGAAACCCTACAAAAAGAACGTAACAGCGAAATTAGTAAGTTGATATATACACCTTTATATGTGTGTGATTGCTGCAAGTAAATATTTTTTTTATAAATTCAAATTGTCCCTTTGTTTAGTATGGAGGTGATATTACCAGAAGAAAAAAATTGCTAGCACAACAAGCGCAAGGAAAAAAGAAAATGAAAATGATTGGTAAAATTTCCTTACCCCGAGACACTTTCATAAATGTACTAAAGAAATAAAAATGATTCGAACTATCTAGGAGTACAGTTTCTCTCTCTCTCTCTCTCTCTCTCTCTCTCTCTCTCTCTTCAATAATGATACAAAAAATATATAAAACAATTTACATTATTTGAAGATTAACTGTCTTGAATGTAAGATCCGATTACAGCCGATAGTAAGATTTAATATTTAGTTTACCTTCAAATGCTTCATAACCAATGAAATGAGTTCTGTAGGTAAATTTGAGACGATCCGAATAACGGCCAAAATATTGCGCATCCATAGACATTCGATTATGAGGCCATATAAATATATAATAATTTGTTCCCGAGAAGCAATTACCTCGCTTATCGGTGACACATAGAGAAGGCCGGAAAATCTAAAATGTAGTCGTAGAGATGGCGTTGCTTTGCTTCATCCGCTCGATACAGAGTTCTTCAATTTCGATAGAGTGGAAAGATTTGATATCGTAGTTGAACGATCGGATTCCTTGAGATAGCGCTCACGACACGCTGTGACCTCCGAAAGGGATTGTGGTTATTTGACAGCTGTCAAAAAAAATCCTGCAACCTGCAAAATGATACCATCATCAAAACCGTCGCGAAACCGCGACGAAATTTAAACAGCCGACTGGCAGAGAATATTTCGGCATCCTATTCGCGTTGTCGCTGCACCACATGTCTATCTGCTCTCTCTCGCCGCAGCTCCTACAGCAGACGTAATCTTTGCTGTGCGTGTCATGGCGAGTATGGTCGAGAACATTGTTTGCGATGGCTTCGTGTTTTTCAACAACTTCGATTCGGCTAATTTAGCCAAAGTGGAGCGAGTGATAATACCAGATATTTCTAGCAAAGGTAATGCAATAATTTCCCGATGATCGGTCGCGCGTTCCAGCATACAGTGTGTTCATACGTTCCAGTTGAATCTTTCGTTTTGTCGTGTACCGATTAGTTGAATAAAGTGTTGTACCGACCTCTCTTACGTAACGATACCATTATTTCTAGATGCTTATGAAGTCGAAGGCAAATCGACGGATAGCTCAAACTCCAAAGATATATTAGATTACGAGTTTAACTTGTGGACAAAACACGACTGTCACGGCACACAGTTTCAAAACAACAACAGGACATGGTTTCATTTCGGAGTGAGATGCAATCGTCCAAATTCTTCTGTCAGATTTAATATAGTCAATTTGAACAAGCAAGTCAAAATGTTCAGTCAAGGAATGTGTCCTGTCTTTAAGATTGTACCAGGACACTTACATTGGGAGCGGATACGTGAAAAACCTACGTACACTGTAATTGCAACTTTTATCATTGATCAGTGCATACACAAAAAAGTACCGTGTTTGCAAAGCATCTCTCACTGTTGCAGTTTGACCAGAGGGGAGGAAGTGACTTTACTTTATCTTTCCTTTATTACACTCCGGAGAATACAAAAGCTATTACTTACTTTGCTTTTACCTATCCATTCTCATATACTGATTTACAAAATTATTTGAAAAGAATCGATGTGAGAATGGGCAAGAATAATGTAACATGTGTGGATGACATCTATTACCACAGAGAATGTGCGATAAAGTCTCTGGAGGGTCGTAGACTAGATGTATTAACGATAAGCTCTTATCATAACATATCGATGGAGAGAGAAGATAGACTGAACAATATGTTTCCTGAGATGAGTGAAGAGAGACCTTACAAATTTTGGGACAAAAAAGTATGCTGTCGTGTGTTCATCACTGAATATCGTCTCACAGAGAGATCAATTCGCACATATATAATTATGCGTGTGTTCAGGTAATTTTTATTAGTGCCAGAGTCCATCCAGGCGAGACACCATCTAGCTTTGTTCTGAATGGTTTCCTCAGTTTTTTACTAAATCGCGAAGATCAAATTGCCATCCTTTTACGTCGGCTATATGTGTTCAAATTGATACCGATGCTCAATCCGGATGGTGTTGCCAGAGGCCATTACCGAATGGATACCAGAGGAGTAAATCTAAACCGAGTTTATCTGAACCCTTCCCAAGTGGAGCATCCCACGATATATGCTGCGAGAAACTTGATAAGGTAAGCAAGAATTGGAATAGTAATACAGATTTGTTATGTGAGGAAAGTAATGTGTGTGTACACATTTTTCTTTTTAGATACTATCACTATTCTTATCAACTACCGGAAGAATCAACTGACGAACTGTCAACTATAAATTTAGAAATTGTGGATAACGACGTAAGCGTTTTTCGAAATTCGACCGCTTCGATAGCAAACGCTGTACGTGATACAACCGCGAGACTGTTGCAGCAAGTACGATCCAAACACAGGGTTTCTTTCAATGCTTTATACCGCTAACACACACACACACACACACACACAAAAGTTTCCAAGCGTTTGTATTAATACATTTTACGCCGTAGCAAATTATGTTGTACGCGCTACTATGTGTTTCTTTCCAAGGTAACACTTATGTCACTGGATGAAAAGAGCAGATCCGGTAGATCATCGACCATCGAACCTAACAAGAAACGTTTATTAACGGTACAAAAATTGGACGATGCGGCAATTGGTAGGATATTTCTTTAATATTGACTTGATCAATTTACCCTGCATTTACCTTCGTTGCATACACACAGAAAGTGAAGGATTGCCTAAAGAAAGTGGAAAATACTCCAACATGGCAAAGGATGAAACAAATGACAAAATAATTTACACAGCTGCAGCAGGCGAAAAATGTTCGGATAATTCCGGATTGTATTTGTATATCGACCTTCACGGGCACGCTTCGAAGAAAGGTGTCTTTATGTACGGAAATCACTTTACCGATTCCGAAGACACTATTACGTGTATGCTACTACCAAAATTAATGTCTATCAATAATCCGCATTTTCATTTCACATCGTGCAATTTTGCAGAACGAAACATGTACATTATGTAAGTATACGTTCTCTCCCATATATAATGTTTTTAATTCTTGGTGTTGTAATTTCAATAGTATACATATTATTGAAATATGTCGAATACATTGACTTTCATAGAGACAAGCGAGATGGTATGTCGAGAGAAGGTTCAGGACGCGTAGCGGTGTACAAGATGACTGGTCTGATACGCAGCTATACTCTAGAATGTAATTATAACTCGGGCCGATTGGTAAATACAATACCGGCTCGAGTGCGCGATGGGGTCAACAAAACTCTCTGTCACATGTTTGTTCCTCCGAAATATACTCCGGCAGTATTCGAAGCGGTACTTTGCTTTGTCTTTGATTTTCTAGATAATACTAAAATCGTTGAAACATATATTCGTCATTGATACCACACACAGGTTGGAGCAGCATTAGGTCCTTCCATTCTTGATCTCACCAACGGTAATCCCAACAGCCGATTGCCAAATAGCCAATATCGTTCTCTAAGAGGGGTAAAATCTCATTTGAAATTAACATACGTAAACAATCTACCGTCCAGCAGATCAATGCATAAGGTAAATTTTAATGTTGATAATGAAAGTCAAGATAATGTCAGCAATGCTGACATAAGGCAGTGTACACTATCGTAATCATTTTCGTAATTCTATTTTGAACTGGGTATGCTATTTAGTATTAACATCGAGAAAACACATTAGTGCCTGACTCATTTGTACCTAATTAAAAATGTGGCAAAGAGAGAGACTGAGTTACGACGCTACAAGTCGCACGCGCGTGTGTATATCGTACGAATATTACGTCGGAATAATTGTGTCGGATTATGAAATTTGCAATTAATATGAGATGACAACCGCGAGTATCTTATGACAATAACGAAATTACAGATATTTTTTTATTTTTTAATGTATTAAAAAATATATATTGTAGATCTTTCTTGTACATAATTTTCCGCAAACTTGTAAGTCTTCCAAACGAAACAATAACACGCGTATTGAATTTCTTAAAAAAAAAAATGATCTGCATATATGTACAGGGTGATTAATTTTAATTTTCTCAGTCTTATTGCCTCTCTCGTATGATTTTGCGATGCGCACACTGATTATGACATAGGGACCTACAGTTTAATACGGCATATTATTTAGAGAGGTTCTCTTGACAAAGATACTCTAGCAAGTATTTCGAAAAATCACCCGTCTTATCCCCCTCCTCGAAACCCCACAACTTTTATCTGAAACATCTTCCCGTATCTTCCATATTTTTCGAAATGTTTGCCTATTAAAATAAATCACCCCTGTATATAGTTCCGTTATACTGATTTCACAGATAACTAAAACTGCAGACAACGTGAATTTTTCAATATTTATATAATGAATCGAATTCCTCTTTATCTTCAATTGCTTCTTGTTGAGATATCGTATCGCACGCGTCAATTTTTTCCGAATTAGATGCTGGGAAATTTAATCGCTGCGGATCAGAGACGTGAAGATAAAATGGATAAGTAAGGATAATAACGGTGCTGAGAATGCATTTTATTTACTCATTTTGCAGACGAGTCGATAAAATACTCGGTAATCATACATACATGCTTCTATGCCGTTCTTCATACTAACATTTGTTTGTAAATAATCAATCTGTGTATGCACTACACTAATAACGTACAAGTGCACTTATAATCACATCATTTAAGCAATGATAAAACGAAGAAGAATCTTTTCGAACAAAACGTTGAAATATTACACATGCATATAACTGATTATATCTATTTATCTAGCAAAAGGAACGACGTAAAGATATAAGTGGTTGAACTTCTCTGGATGGAATTGTTGAAATACGAAACGTAGTGATTTGTTACTTCAAATTTTGACATATTTATTATGACACACACAAGTGAGTGTATAAAAATGTTGCACTCAACAATATGTGTGCATGCGTGCGTGTCACTGTGCGTATAGGCATACGTGCACACACACACATACACACACATAATTTGGAGTACAACTGTTATTTCTCGACATATAACGATAATTCCATTTATGTTTGATGTGATATTTATAGAAAATATTATATAAACTTGCAAATTTGTTATCGATGTTGAGACTGTTGTAAATGACGGATGCACTTCGATGTATGTGATTTCACCTCGTGAATAATTAAGAAGTTATCCGAATTTCAAGTTACTCTGAAAGAAATTCTGACACTAGTCGCTCAAAAATTCCAATCTAATTCTCTCAGCACTATTTCCATTTGTAAAAACTTTCGAATGTATCGCATTATACGTACGGACTGATACATCCAACTGTGTTAATAAATGTACAGTTTTAGCGATATTATCGATTTATTTACCTTATTTTTATTTGATTTCCCGAAATCTCTCCTGAATTGATCCTAAATGATGATGTGAAATAATTTAATATCATCGTGCGCGTGGTTTGCATAGGTAAACGAATGAAATATATGAATGTAAAAAGGATTGTTAACGTCTAGAATTTATATGTCCTAAAATTCACAGCAATATATGTGATGTTAACATGTATTCTACAGCATGCATCGTGTAGGTTATAAATATTTTCGTTTCGTCATGTGGCAATCGCCGCGTACGTAATATAAAGATATCAACTTGATTAAATAAAAAGAGAGAGCTCAATCTCTGAGCAGTTCATTGTACTTTTATTCTATCAGCCTATATACGTTTTTCAAGTGTACTGCACGTGTTTCCTTTCAATATGCATATACCATCGTAGCGAGGGTAAGTCATTATTCGCATAATTAAGTTGACTCATTCTTTTTTCCTTCTCACTCACACACACACATACATACATACACAAAAGTTACCCATAGCATCGTTGTCGTCGTACTCTCGTTGTACGTGAAAAATATTTTTGTGACGATCTACATGTGCGTCTTTCATTTACAGGACAGCGAAGGCGCGAAGAATGCCTGCATACTGAAAGAATTAGAAACGAAACTTAACGACGCAATGATGGGAGCGAGGAATGTCATTAAAAGTGAAAGTAATTTGGTGAAAAAGTGCCTTCTTCGCCGCGGTGCGGCTCTTTACACAGCGATGAAAAGAATGAAAGGAAGTAAAAAGCCGCGACAAATACCGACTCGCAGAACGTTGAAGAAACAATGTGCCAATAATGTGGAAAACGATGCGATAATTTGCACGATTGAAGGAGGAGTGAAGCCATTTTTGAAGACGATCGATCGCCATCGCGTCAACAAATCAGGATATGTTGTCGAGCGTCAAAGCACGTACGCGAGTAAGAAATTAACAACGACGAATAATTTAGCGAAAATTAATACATCCTGCGAAGAAACAGCGGTAGTGAGGCACAACGGCGCAAAGAGAATGAAAATCCTTTCCATCGGCTCATCTAAGGCTCTCCCCGAGATCGGAGAGTCATCTTGCACTGTAGGGAAAGCGTCCTCGAGGATTCCGCACTCTTGCAGTAAACAAAGTATCAAAGGAACGCGCGATAGGAAACGATTGCCAGCGGAACAAATGAACGAATCTTCCGGGCAGAAAGAGTTGAACAAGAAATTCACCGAGGGAAAATCCGTACTCGAAGAGGGCACGTGAAGCAAAATATCAGCTCAGTTATGGCGTAGGAACGATTTGCCGCAACGTCGTACTTTTCAAGAGACATGTTCTGCGCGATACTATAACTTGGCACTTTGCGTAGGTATGTCTGCACACAACATACATTAATGATGCAAACTAGAGAAAAGCAGAGTCACTATATGTATCCTTCGATCAAGTTGGTTAAAAATATGCAAAGTGCTCATTTATAGCAACCCGCCCTGTGTATGTATGATGCAAATTGTACAGTCAAATTTATTTGTATGTTAATTAAAGAAATAAGATTGTGTACATGCAGTTGTTCAATAGACACATCTTGCGCTAAATATACAGAGCGTACAACAATCTCGTGAAAGACGCTATCGTATTCTTCACGAGAATGCTTTTCATGCTTTTAGAAAAATTAATCTGTCTAATTTTTAACCCGGAAGTAGTTGCCGGTAGGTCATTTCAAATCTTAATTAAAAGCCGCTATTATTAACAAAATATAGCATATTATCGATTGTTCTAGATTTACTTGCTACTTTTTGTAAAAAAGAAAAAATCAGGAGAAACCCAAAAAATATTTCAGAAATAAGCGCATTAAATGTCTTATTACGACAGTATTTCGAATGAATGATGATATCTATTTAAAAAAACTTTTATTTTTTATGGGATGGCATATTTAAAGGTTCGTAAAGAATAATTATTAAAAAAGTCTATATTAAATATATTAAATGACATTCATTTTATAAGAATATAATGGATTGTAAAGATTATTTATTTTTATATTTCTTTATTGTATTATATAACTATACAACGTAATATTTTTAAACAAAAAAACCATAAGAATATAGATATCTTTTTTACTTAATATTAAATGTAGTTTAAAATATTAATTTCATTTATAATTAATGTTAACTATATATGTTAATTATAAACAATAAATATGAGGTATTTAATAATTGCCTATTTTTCTGGATATTTTCACCAGTCAGTATCAGATGTGATGTAAATGTTGCTTATTGTTTACTAGGTACGGATGTATGACCTCATTCAAACTTCTCTGGAATTCATAATGCGAACCATACTTGATTAATTTTTGTAACGTGAACGACCTCCGGAGGTCGTTTTGTACTTCAACGATTTTTTACGACGGGCTTATATTATGAATAAAACACAGCCAATTTTTATTGCATAAATCAAATCTCTAAATATCCAAATGAAAAGCAGGTATGGTGCTTTCTAATCAGTAAAAAAAACTCACTGCGACGTGAGCTTCATTTTCTGATTGTTGGGGTCTAAAAAGACTCCAGGTGACTATTCCCGGGTTAAATAAAGTAATTTTATCGAAAGACGCAGACACTTTACAAAGGCATATTGTCCCTCGCGGATCTGTTCGATATATAGAGTTTGTAAAAATAACATAATATGCAGGTGCTAATGAGGTTACAAGGTTTCTCAAATTCATTCTCAGGTCATTTGGAATGACCTCACGTGTGAGCAATGTTATGATTGCGTTCGGGAATTTCACTCGTGATGTATTTTCGTGATTTCAGTGAGAAAGTAACAGGGATACCGTGTGCCTTCGTATATTGAGGATTTCCGAACGCTCTAGTGTGATTTTTAGCAAATAAAATTAATGGACGAGAGCCGTGGACGAAATGTTGAAAAAAAATACCGTCACAGATCTATGCAAAAGTTTCTATTTCTATTTATATGGTTTCAATGTGATTACTTACCTTGAACGCCTTGCACCATTAAATACAGGAATCAAGTATCGGGTGACTGCCGCTCATTACGGCTTCATGCCGCCCAATATGTTCTCCGACGTTTTTTACTCATCGACAACACGAAGAGATTATAATAACACGAGTACCTAGATAGTAACTCACCGACCTATGGTTTCGGTGGATAGGACTGTGTACTTTTATTTCTGAGTATACTAACCGGCGACTCACGCAAAATCGGGCGGACTTGAGGAAGAAAAGATACGCTTACATTATAATATAGTGTTCTATTTCCGTTTCTGCATCTAAAAAATCTACATTGTGCACATATTTATACGATGTTATATCGCATCGTAATTGCCTCACCTCGGGAACTGCAGTGGTCGGACTGCCAGTATATATCGGAACACACCCCCAATAAGGGACACAGTGTTCCATAGTGTGAACACAAAGCTATTTTACTACTGGTTATATATTAACTTGGAAGATAATATGTAGCCAATCAAATAGTTATGTGTTCACTTTTCTACATAATAATATGAGAGAAATCTCTTAATATCGATCATTAATCGTTACACATTGGTGCATCGATACATTTGTAAAATCCGATGAATTTGAATGAACTCGATGAGTGAATATTTCATATTTCAGATTTTATGCTGAAAAATATCAGAAAGTAAAACATTTCAAAAAGTATTCACTTTTCGATGATTTTACCGTAATACTTTTATACACAGAACGAACAATTAGTTTGTGTTAAAAAAAAAAAACCATTTTTAAAAACGATCTTGAATTGTTTACTATACGAAATTAAGATCACTAATCTTATGTCCCCCTCGAAACCCTACAACTTTTGTCTGAAACATTTCTTTCTATTTTGCTTAGTTTAGTTAAGAAATATTCAAGTTGCATGCTCAAGTTAGGTAGGACACTCTGTGTCAACTCTGTGGGACAATATATGTATATATCGTGTTATGATGCATAGAAGATGATGCGTGTGACGGGAAAAATTGTATCCGGTCGAATAAAACATTCGGCTTGACTGAATTCCCCCTTCTTTTCTCTGATTGATAAAAAAATCTTTTATTACATCCTTTAATTTATTACATCCATTGTTTTTTAATGCCGTGAAAAAGTAATAAAAAGAGATTGCTTACGTAATTATATCGAGGGATTAATATCTACTATTTGCCAGTAGTAAGTAGAGACTTCCCAGCGAGAAATAAAGACGAAGTCGACATGAAATCGGCATCGATTCGACGTGATTGTTTCGAAGTCGATTTGATGTCGATTCGACGAGTCATTTCTCGCCAAGTTAGATCTGACCGACATCTCTTGATCGGATGATTGAAAGAAGTGTTGGAACATTCGACAGATCGTTTTCGTACACTTCGCATCATAGATTTAACGCGCTTCGCTCGTAAGATGTAATAATTAAGTAACGCGAGACGCATAATATATCATGCTGTGATTATAATAAAATGATGTTGGTGAAGAGTTTACACGAGACTGGCGACTTTAATATCTCTCGAGATGACGGAGCTACTTATTTCGCCGCATCTCGTACAATTGCAGGCGATCAATCATATTCGAGAATTCAGTGTCGCGAATGTTTCAAAAGGAAACAGAACGCCGATTTCATGGACGATGATCATAACGATTACAAACGATGAAATTGCACATGAATGAGATTATTGGTTTACTATCTTATTCCTTAAAAACGTATTATATCCAAGTATCATCTCACGAGCGTAAAAGCAAACGGTATCTAACTTGCTGTTCTGTCCATCACCAAGCCATAATCCGGCATATTTCGCTTATATGTATATATATATATATATATACGCGGTATAGTACGTGCGAAGCATGCGAGGGGAAAACAGCGAGACTCTCACGTGCGTTTCATTAAATGCACTCATCCTAACTTATGATCGTAACAGATATTTTGGTAATAAAATCTGGAAAAGTCATCTCGGCGGCAGTGATTCGAATGGATCAAGTACGCGGATAATAATACGCTGCCTAATGAGTAAAATGCGCAAAATGATAGCAGAAGCTCGCACGCTATGCCACACTGCGAGTACAAAGGAGATTTTTCCATCGGTGCGTAATGCTTTATCGATCATTTAAATGTGTATTATTCGACGACAGACACGATCGGTTGTGATATCGATCGATTTCATGTATATCGAAAACAATTGAAACATTGAGCACAAACTCGTAGCGTGGCAAAAGTTGATAGCTTACTTATATTATGGATATAAAAGTGTGTATTACGTATAAAATAGATCATAGATAGTCGTCCAGAGCCGTTCTCTCAGATGGGAACTCTCTTCTCGACATGTCTCTCAGACTATCGCGTTACTTGGGTCGGTCGTTAATCGAGTCAGTCTTCGTTACAGTGAATGACGAAATGATTCATAGAAAAATTTTAGAAATTTGGAGAAAAAAAAATCGTGAGTCGAACGTCGACGGGCGATGATTCCCGGCGCGATAACAGATTAGATAGATAGATAGATAGGTATATGCTCGATTAAGTACGCGACAGGAAGCTTGAAAACTGCACGAGTTCCTGCCGGGGGGGGGGAATATATCGAATAATAATACGGTACTCTACGTTACGACCAAAGCTGAGGAGGCAGTGGAGGAATAATTGGAACGTGGTTTGTTGCGCATTATCCGTGTTAGAATTCCCACTTGGTGGCGGACTCGTAATCCGTCTCTCCTAGACGCAGCGCGCCGTTCTTACCCGCGGTCAGATATCGACCGTCCACGCATTTGATGCAGATCCGAGACGGTTCGCGCAGTTCCAGATAAAAACCGTCAGACGGCATATCGGAGTCCACCGTCACTCCTTCGCTGTCCGCGTGCCAATACTTGCCGTTTTGTCCCTTGAATCTGACTACACCGCGCTCGCACCGCTCGACGCGTATCGTCTCGTAGATAGCCTTGTTACATTCGAGTTTAGGACTGGTCGCGCTTTTGGGCCCGACGAAGCCCTGCTCGCATCGGAGCACCAGCACGGGTCTGTTCATTAAGTAGAAATAATACTTGGCGACGTCCGGCGAGTCGGTGCCGTTCAACGAATCGGCGTTGGCGTAGAGATGGCCGGACCGCTTGGTAGCCAGGAACTTGCCGTTGTTGGCGCGCAACGCGACCGTACCGTCGTCCGACTGCCACGTAAGATCGAAGAGCGCGTTCGACGAGCGCTTGTGATCGGAAGCCTGAATACCGCCACCTGCCTCCAAACTCCAGTAACGATCTTGCATCGTTCGCACGTACCACCGTTTCGTCACCCGGTCGAATTCTAGTTGGAATGTCTCGTGGCCGGAAATCTCGTCTTGATTGGCGGTTACATCGACGCCTGAAAGTCAACGCGGTGAGTTTGTTCTAATAACATTCGGTCGAAATATTCACACCAAATTATGACAAACGCAAGCCAGACTACAGGGAATAATCTCCGATTTTTGTCGAAGAGGAAAGGAAAAAAAAAAGAAGGTACCTTGTTTTACGGAAACATATCGCTGGTTCAGCGCCGCGACAAACGATGCCTGTGGCAAAGATTCTTCCAAGGAAAAGAGCTCGTCGCGTGTAACAGTTGTTGATCGTGATTTCAGGACAGCTTTGCTTCCAATCGGTGCCAAGTATGCACCGTGTATATCTCTGAAATAATGGTCAATTTGAACGAACGATTATGATTTTGCGTCGATCGAACGTACCGAAGAGCGAGAAGACCGGCGTGGAACTCCGCGGCGTACAGGCAGTCTCGCGTGCAAGCGTCCAGAAGCTTGCCGTCACGTGCGAGGTATTTATTATTACAAGTATGCAGAGCGTAATGGCCGCCTTCGGACTTGGCACGATCCCCCCCGTCATCATCGGCCATGGTCGCCGGGCGGAATTCCAAAGTAAATAGGGTGTCTTCACCCCAGGGCACCGGTGCGTCCACGTGTATTTCGTCCTGAGTAGCGCTCAAGTGTGCGAAACGTTTTCTCCCGGCGGATCGAAGATTCACCTAGTTAACACGAAGAGGGAACGTGTGGCGCGTCGATGACTTTTCCGAAGGTAAAAACAACGCGAAAGATTCAACTCGGGATATTAACACGATCGGCCTACCATAATCGCGAATTAACTGTACCTGCGGTCTGGCGGCGAGATGTACGAGCCAATATTCCGCCTCGCCCGGAGCCTTAGCGGTGCACTTCAATTCATCCTGGCTCGAGCCTAAGAAGTAGCCCCTCTGGATGTTCTTCAGCGCCCATCGTCCGCTGCCTGCGATCGTATGAGAATTTTTATCCTCGCCCGTTACGAAAATTCGGCTAACCGATATTGGTGAGAAATAGCCTTTTGGTCGCGATGTGATTTACACGGAGTAGAAAGAAGAACCGTGTTAACGTTAAAATAGTGATCGTAAGAATCGTGCTGACCATCGGAAGCGAGCTGTATTTGAAAAGCGCATCCCGGATCCGTCGAATCCTCGCTTTCGCACGTCACGTTACCAAACTGGTCGACCGCTAGGTATCGATCCAAATGAGAGCGAAGAAAAACCTGATGCTCGCTGCCTTCCAGCATCCACAATTGCTTCTTTTTCAAGCTCGATCCATTGGCGTTGATTTTAAAGCCGAACGTTTCTGCCGTTAAATACTTAAACTTTCCGTTAATCAGTCCAACCTGAAAATATCAATATCGTAGAAATTCCTTTCTTCTGTTCTGTCGTTGGACGAATAAATTTCATCTACGCGACACACTGCGCGAGATTATAATCTACAATTGAAAACATCGTATTTTATGTCGCCTACAATATCACACGTACCGTCCATCCTGATTTGTCGACTCCGTTCTCAGATCCCACATTCTCCGAACCGTTGCTCTGCATCGTAGTAACGTAGTTCCCGATCTCAACGTCTGAAACATAAAGAAACCCCAGTGATGCGATGAGATCTTTAATCCAAGTTAAATATGCTACGATTATCTATATGTTAGATACAAGAACTCGCGTCTAAAAACGTGGACGATATGAGACACCCTGTGTGTATGTGTGCTCGCGCGTGTGTACAGTCGATGGTATTTACGACTGCGGGTGACGCTCAACTTGGTGTACATATAAACCGGTGTCATTGAACCGTGATTATACCGATCCGCGAAGCAGGACTCAGAAACAGGACTCTTGTTTCATAATCAGTATTGCTTGATATTTCAATCGTATTTAACTCATCGAAATTTTCCCTTCAATTTTTCAAAAAGTAACTGAACTGTAAGTTACGTGGGAAATAAAGCTCTTCGACATACAACTTATTACATATTGCAGCTTGATACTTGCATGTACCGTATCAAAGCGTACATCCTGTGAAAAAATATTCAAACTGCAGAGTATAGATAGCGAAGTAGTAGTGAAAACAGGCGTCGTTTTGTCAATACGGATGAGTTTGCTCTTAAATTTTCTCGTCACGAAACCGAACGGAAATACTTTCAACGGCAGCGAACAAGGACAACGTTGAAGAATAAAGAAACACGTACCGCGTGGAATCGATCGATCGCAAAAAAAAAAAAACAATTTCCTCTCATTTGTCGAACGACCAAAATTAAAATCAAGTGATATATTGCGAGTTAGGTTAAACGTAATAATTCTATTTTACACGTATATCGAAACTAAATTGAAATTAGAATGTACGCGCACATGTAATAAATAAATAAATAAATACTTGTCGACAATAAAGGGACATTTTGATGGGTCAGAACATTGTAAACGTGGCACGAAAGCAATGGAGCACTCTTACAAGTCTAAACTAAGAGTCGTGATTGGTATCGGTCCAAGAAAAGCTTTTGTCCGGATGTATACGCGTTATCGTATCTTCCTTACTTTGCTTTTACGTCTCTTTTCGTTTGCAATGAATCTAAACGCGGATGTTTTCGGTAATATATCTAAAAAAAATCGAAGAAAACCTCTGAGAATAGCTCTGTTAACTAATGACATCTATATTTAGATGTCTAATTAATTGCTTCTGCCGCCAAACGTGGCGCTCGTTCCGAGATATCGACACTAATTGGAGAGGAATCCGTGATGTTTACGCTCAAATATTGCACGCATTAAGTGATTCTGTTGTGCCTTCAACGAGATTGCAGCGATAAAGTCACGCGAGCTCCTCTCTTCGTTCAAACTGGAGTCCGTTATGCATCGGAAATGCGCGATAGAGAGAGGGAAGTATGTAATAATAATGAAAAAGAAAAAAAGAAAGAAAAAATAGTAAGGCGCAAAAGGAGCACAACGATGGCCGACGAGATTCGTATCGCGGTGCTGCGTGTTCGACACGCTATAACGCGAAGGATAACGAACGGTACGAACGTCCGGTATATATCGCGAGACGATAAACCGACGCGACGGTTCATTATATAATATACAGTACATATATATATATATGATGACCAACAGATGTTCCTTTCGAGAGTATCGGAAATATCAGACTGAAAAAAAGAAAAAAAAAGACGATTGTTTCATTACACTAATCGGACGAGAGAGTCCATTACACTAATCGGACGAGAGAGTCTATTACACGTAATGGGAAATTAACGTGTTATTCTCACCATCATCATTATTATTAGTTGAATCGATATTGAAAGATCTTTCGCAAATTTTCCACGCAGATTTTTCCACCCGGTGACAATTATTGAAAAGTTAAAACGCGCGTCTCGTAAAAAAACAGAATCCTCGAGAATAGTGAATGTTCGAAAAGAAATATCTCGTTTCGTTCTGCGAACATATAGAAAACAAGTGACTTTTAGGAAAATACGGTAAAAGGTGCGGAAGGAAGCGCGTTACTTTTTCTTTCTTGTTTTTTTCCTCAGCTCTGCAGCTGCACAAGTTGGCTCGAAAAAGCGCAAACGCGAGGAACCGGTGCAGCACGCGCGAGACCCGCGCGCGCCATGGACCCTTTTTGTCGCTTTGCAACTCTAGTGGTTAAGTAATGCTGAGTGCATGATGGCGACCAGTTAAGTTATCGCGATAATCGAACAGCCACTAAACCGTCTCGGCGATCGTATAATTCGGCAGAGAATAAATGACTCCCTTAATAATCGGCGCGAGTAAAAGAGCTCTGCTCGGAAAAGTCATCCAGACTACCCAACCCCACCCAACGGACCGACCGATTCACACCGGCTGACTCACCGTGCGGTGCTTCCGTACGAAATAAAAGCTCCCCCTCACGAGCAACCCCGCCACATCCCTCCCGCGAAGGTCGCTAAAAATAGTTGGTCTCCGGCGACCGAAACGAAGGCCGCGCATCGACAACAATTTTCACGTCGCGCGCGCGTTGTCTCTTTCCGCCCTATCTACGGTGGTGGCTTCTCTTGTAGAGAACTGCACGATCGTTGTCGAGACCCCTTGTTTGCAGCTGAAAATTTTCGATTGGACTTAGTTATCGCTCGCTGTGCAACAAAGACCACTGGAATGAGGCGTAAAATACAATTTTGAATGAATCTAACTCAGTATCCCACACCTTGACGGGGAAGCACCAACCAATCAGAACTCGCGCTCGACAGTTTCTGTTTTATGTGCTGCTTAATGCCGACGCGAGTTCTGATTGGCTGCTGCTTTTCTTCTTTTTGTCAAGGTGTGAATTTTCCCTGAGACACCTATTATTCGTACAACAGGATGTACGCAAAAAGTTCATTGAAATCAACTCTCTCCAACGAAGACGTCAACGTACAAACGAAAGGTCTGGACTGTCAATTCAAGCAGACGATTAATCATTACCGTGCAACGCCTTTTAACACTCTTGAGTGGAAAGAAATTGACAACTCTTCTGATTTTTATGTTGATTTCGTACGTTTGACTCGTTTTTGTCCAACGTGAGAAATGAATCAAACATTTCCATTTATAATATTTTTCACGACTTTTCGCAAATTTCATCGACAATTTTATCGACGAGCCTTGCGATATTTGTTTGTGCACGTGACTCTCCGAAGGATGAGGTTTTAACGCTGAAGAAATTTGAATATGTTATTCTTGAAAAATATTGATGCAAAACCGATCGCACGAATCAGACACTATGGCCGGACTGTTAATGCCAGACTGCGCGTCGGACGGCACCCTTTGTCACCGAGGAGGTGTTGTATTTTCATTCGGATCTCTCAGAGACGCGTTCAAACGCGACGATTGAGTCCCGGTTGATCGAAGGGGATCCGCGCTTTCCTGCGGTGCAGGATGTACGTGAGAACCGCAGGACGAGATCCGGGCCGGAATTTGCGACGTCGGTCGTTGCCGTCTTCCGATAAGCACAGACAGGAAGCCAAGACCGGCTCTACTTACATGCCTCTGTGTCTGTCTCTCCCCCTTACTCGCTTCGTAAAGTCCTGCGATCGTTGGCTCCTGCGCGCTCCTTCGTAGTATCGATAACGCACAAACACGTTCGTCTCAACCGAACTGGAGAGACCGAAGCCCTGATCGGCCGCGCCTCGTCGTACAGCGCGAATAGCGCGAAAGAAAAGACGGGGATGGGACGCCGAAGTAAAGAGCGCAAACAGACGAAACAAGCGGATCGACGCTCGTCACGCTACTAAAGTTCGCCGCGCAGCACCGGCGAGCACCGACCGCTCCTAGCAAGCGGCGGAGCAGGCGTACCAGGCCTCGCCACGAAGACGCGACCGACGCGACGCTCTCGTCGAGGGAGGGAGGGGGGGAGGGGGCCCTTCGTACCTTCGCGACAGCGATGGCGGCAACACCCGTCGCTCGCGCAGTTACAATCCAACGCGCGCGCATTTCCCGAAGAGGATGATTTATCAAGGATAACAGCCCTCTCTCTGTTTCGGTCATTTCTCGTCGCCATGTTGCATGCGCAGAAATTAAACAGCGCATACGAGACACTTGTTCGAAAGATACGAGGTATTATTCAGTCGGAACCCATCGCTGATTCGAAGCGAGAGAGACGCACAGTTGAAGATGGCGAGAAAGGAACGGGGGAATGCATCGAACTGCCGTTGTGCCGACGATTAGATTTCCGTAGGGGCGGTGAACCTCACAAGAGATTCTCACGCAATGTCGGTTCCGCCGTAATATTTTACAACGCACTATTTTCGCACGCGAATCGTCGCACGTCAACACGGTGGAATCGATATGAAACATCCGCTCGTACGGACCCTCCTTCTTCTTCTCAATCGAGAGAAAGTCGCTTGCAATTTTAATTTCGACAAAAAAGATGAACAAATAAACGTCTTACTTGTATTTCATTCATATAATTATAAAAATCCGTTTTCACCGCAGTGGAAGCAAAAAATACTTATTTAAATGGAGTTTAAACTACTTTCTTCATCGTATAATCAGTTTTTGCGCGAGATGTTTCTTTATAGAAATCAATTAAGCCATACGATGATGAAAGTAATCAAAATTCCATTTAAATAGGTTCTGGCTTTTGCTACGAATTCCACTTTTCGCCTAAAGCTCGTCTAAGAGAAGGATCGGCGTAAAAAATATTCTTATGTCGAAAGCTGTCGTTCTCCGATATATCGTTCTCCATTGATGGCCGACTTTTTTCATCACAGTGACCGTGATGATGGAAGTCCTCATTTGCGAGAGATAGCTAGAAATCTCTCACCGAGCTAAATTCTCGATCCATTCCGCTAACTCTACTTATAATGCGCGATTTCTCGCCAGATGGAATCCGACAGATGCCTTTCACGAATGATCAATCTGTTGTTTGCCTCTCAAAACGAAGAGTGATGAGGGAAGAAGCGGAAATTTCGAAAGCCCAATTCTACGTTGCATTCTCGTTAAAAGACTATCCGATGAGAAGAAAATAATATTTGCTTCAATGCTACTCGTCACGCGCTACCTCGCCGTTCCGTCGAATTTCGCTGAATCCGATCAACGGTATATCATTCGCAACAGACCGGACGCGGAATTCCCGTTACGTGTTTCGCATCGAGCACAGCGACCAATTAAAGGAGCTATTTCTAATTAGTCGCGACTTAATTTGATTTGGCTCGAGGAGTCAGGGCTTTTTCGAGCGTGTCTAACGAGAACCCTGCGCGTCCGCCCGCACTCTTCCCCATCACGGCAGCGCGCACCAATTTCCTATGTCATTCCTCGACGTTGGATCTGTTTTAGATGTAGAAAGAATTATCGCGTCGCGTATCAATCGACCGCTATTGTAATACAACTTTATCGCGCACATATCTTTTTAACGCTACTGGATGATGTTTCACAAGGAAACGATTTGGATGAATTTTTTTATGCGAGCTCAAAAGAGGTACGAATATAACGAATGTACGCTTTAATTTATCGTCCTTTAAGAATATAATTTTCGATCCCAAATCTATTTTTTCGCATATAATTCTTTGCCACGAATTTAATTTTTCGGTCTATAGAATTCCTCAAAAGTTGAAGGACTGTATTAAAAAGTCCGAATAGATCCTATCCCCTGTAATGTACTCTATTCGATAAAAATAAAAGAAAAAACTCTTTGACTATGATAGACAGATCTATCTTTGTATGTATACATGTATGTTTTTTGAATCTCTGTTCGCATACAAAAGTTCACCCAAATCGTTCGCGGTGTTATCTTGTGTGTCAGTTATTATTTCGCGACAGTCGGACTATCAGAGTTGTGTCGAGTCAACACGCTCGGCTACTTTACTACGAAATCCTCCTTTGCATTTTGAACAGTGAGTTTGAAGAAACGATTTGTTGCATCCGTGTCTTGTTAGCACAAAGAAACGTTTCATACCACACTTAGAGTCTAACAACAATGGTAAGTAGAGACTCAGCAATTGACTTTTTTCTCAGAATACTCGTTATATATCTTAGCGAGGCATCTTGTAAGTGAAACATTGCTTCGGCCGTTATTTTAACGTATAGATATCCGTTGTAAAATGACATCCACTTCCTGTGGAAATCCTCTTGTGAGCGATAAATAGTATTTTATACATCTTTAATCACCGATCGCCACACCCTATGTACTATATTACCTTCTTCGATTTTCCTCTCTTCCACGTGAAATGTAGCTCTTCCCTTCCCTTTCTCTCTATCCTTTAAATATATATGTGCGCGATATGTTATGTATTATGAAAAGAATAATTCCACTTCATCAAAAATGATGACTTGTTCGATATCTTCAAACGAAAATTTCTCGCTTTTTTATGCTTTCATCTACGATTGTGTTGAACGATGTCTCACATTTTGCTTAAAAACCTTGAATAATCTGTATAATTCGCAGTAAAATTTCGGGTGACAAATCTATAACTCGACATATCGATCACATGCCTACAATAGCGACGAATTATATAAATCATCCAGAGTAGACTTTGACGCGACCGTTGCTCACGCAGCCAGACGCGGCCGAGAGTTCGCTGACCGACGGATAACGAAAGAGCTCGTAAGAAGCTGTGGAGTAGACCGTGACCGTGACCGTGACCGTGGCCGAGTTGTTGCAATAGACATTACCAGCAGAGGTGGCAACGGCACGAATATACCGGCCATAGTAGAAGCGCACGCACCTATAACTCGTTGCTTCTTGTCTCGAAACAATTATTATCTTCCGACTAAATATCCTTAATATACCAAATTTATCCATTTCATTAATCAATTTAATATTTAGACCAAAATAATAATAGATGAGAAAGTATAGAGACAAATGTTATATTTTTCGTGTAAGTTGTATATTTCCCCTATACTATTGTAATTGTATTCGCCGATACAATATATGTATACGGATGTGTGTGTATGCGTGCGCATGTGTCACATAATACAAATGGGTACACGTGATATACAAAGTACAATGAGGTACACACAAATTCTAAGCTTAATTAATCCGACTCTCTCCGCTTACGAGAATGAATGTACAAAAAAGGAACGATGAAGAAAAGTCAGTGTTGTGTTAGACGAGACAAGAAGAGATGCTAGACGTAATTGTATGCCTTTGAGGAAAAATATGATTTTTATGAACGAAACGATTCTACCTGCATGTATATGCTTAACGCATGTATACTTTAATCGCTTTTTATGAGGTAACTATTCTTTCAATCTACTTGTGTCTTCGTGAAGCTCGTAGTAAAGGTACAAAACATTCTATTCTTATATTCTGCTCCTCGTCGCTCGTTATCGTACAAATGCGCGGCAATCCTAGCCTATACGATTGGTCGGTATATGACAGTACCCCATAGGCTTTAACATATGGCATAAACCATACGATATACACATTTTTACACATATTACTTCTCTTATTAGGTGATGTGCGGATTGGGTGAATCGAGACACCTGGACTAATTACTTGGACTCAAACACAAGCATTCGCTACGACATATTCTCTCACGAGGGATCAAATGCGTGGAAGTTAACGCGTTACGATAATAATTTCCGCGAGCTGGAAAAAAAAATACTAAAGTAATAAAGCCTATACCAGAAGCTCCGTTTCTGAAAAACACTAGAAAAAGAACGCCTAAATCTTTCTTTCTCGAACGCTTCAATAATGAATAACAAAAATGTAGAGAACAATTTACACATACTCTTATTTGCGATTTCAAGACCATTTTTTTCAAAGTTCAGTCACACAAACCCTGATATTTCTTTTCCTGCAGAACTATAGAACGCGTTGTTTATTGCACACCCAAGAAATATTAACGACTTTTGTAACCTATAGGAATAGATCGCGCAAGAAAATAATTACATTCATTTTTAAACTCTTCATTTTTTTCTGCGATTTCATAAATTTGATTTTATATGTTTCTTACATCTTCAATCTCCGAGAGATATTTTCAAGTGTGTGTGTGTGTGTGTGTGTGTGTGTAGGCTTCGTACTCGGAAGAGTTACACTGTACAAAACATCTTGATCGTAACTACAATATCGATACATTGCACGCAAAGCTCCGACAGACAAGTGGGACTAAATTAAAAGTAATTGTCGTCCGCCGCAGAATAGAATTAAAAATTTGCTTGGTTAAATAGCGCAAACGGATCACTAAAAATATAATAAACAAAGAATAGCATAATCGGTTACTTTTATTGAATTTTTCGAGATACTCGCAACTACTGTTGTTAGTGAATCATACGTTATCTTGACTTGAGAGCCTTGGTTATAGAAAAATTGCATTTTCGTCTATTATAATGAATCAATCATCGTTATCTGTAATGTTATCTGTAACGATCGATTATAACGCGATAAGAATGCAAATAAAAGACAATAGAACATCATTCAGCAATTATGGAAAATTGTACGCGGCCAATTCATAATAAAAGAACTACCGTTCTTTTGTTAGAATCATTAAAAAAAAAAAAGAAACGATTGATTTCACACGTAAACGCGTACATTCGTACGTATATTATTTCAGTCAAGTTGTTTGTGAAAAGAATTGTGACCTAATAAAAAAACATTTCCTAATATTAATAGGTTTTATGTATATTCAATGAATTTCTCGCGAGATTCACATTTATGCCGAGATTTTGCCAATCTCTCCATCACTATAAATCAGTACTCGGAATTATTTGTAGAAACGGGGCGATTTTCAAGAGCCACACCTTTTTAATTCCCCTTGCCGCTCCAGCTCGTCCACAGGCGAGTCACGCAACTGACAGTAACAGTGGTTTAGTAATAGTGGGTGATCGACTGTATGTAATGTTCATTGTAAATTTTACTCGTTTTAATGTTGATGTAATAACGCGGAAATCTTGATTTGTCACATCACTTGAACAATCGTTGTCTGCTAGTATCAATGATTAATATGTGTGTGTGTTCTGTATGTGTGTACCTCGCAACTGTCGAGTATACTACTTTTATGATCGAATGTCCAATCGAGGAAAGCTCTTAATTAATACCGATTATACATTCTTTTTCTGTGTTTTTACTTAAAATATATAATTAATTAATTAAATGTTATATATATGGCAACGCGACGCCGAGTGCAATTAAAGAACATTAAGAATCCATCCGTTTTGGCATTTTGTTTCTTTAATTATTACTCGCAGAAAGTGTGGGGTAAGACTACCTATAAGTTGTATGCTTGTCATCGATCCCTTTCTGTATGAAAACGACTTATTCTTTCCAGTCTTTTTTAATCTCAAACGCCCATTCCCACTTGAGATGTTCGTGCTTATCGTCATCCGTAAAGAGAGAACTAACGCTATAGGAGCCTCGTGCCATCACGCCAGCTGGCGCGTCCTCAGCTGGGGTAGTGTAAGACTGAAGTTCCGTTTTGGGGGGATATGATCCTACCATATGCGTCATTTTGTCCACTGTAAAATGTGATTATAAATTTCAAACTCATTATCTATGCATGCGAGCGCGCATACATTTATTTTGTATTGAACTCACCCGTGACTCCTATAATTTACATTAGAAGCATTAACGAGTAAGAGTCAAATTTATTAAAGGTAATTAAGAGTTTTTTTATATTATATGAAACATAAAGTAGTAAAGGTACAAACCAGGTACACCGAGACGATAAGTCTTCTGTACATATTTCAGCCCGTGCACAATCTCGCGTTGCACGATAAAATCAATCCTAATTCTGTAGCTTACACCTTCTTTGATGACAAAAGTTTGTTTTTTCAGCTGTGCCAAATCACCAGTCAAATCTAATTCCATATCAGGTCGATCGGCAACACAGAGGGCCAATTTCTTTACTATTACTTGTCTAGGATCACTAGGATCTGCACAACAATCGATCAATACGAATGTCTCTTTACCATGATTGATTGGATATTGGTGATGATTTTACTGTGTAAACAAAAAATGGAGCAAACTTACCTACTACGATACCACCAGCCTTTGCTTCTCCCAGAAGCGTTTCTTTATACTTTCGTAGACTCTCATCTTCCTTGTCCGTTTCAAGGATCTGTTCAATAGTCTTCTCCGGTGGAGGCTTATAGTTAGACTCCACTTCCAATTCTTCTTCCAACGCATCTACATGATCACCCGTAGGGTCAGACATATCTATACATTCAAATTAAGAGAGATACATATATATGTATATATACACGTACATATATTTATGAAGAAAGAGAGAGAGAGAGAGAGAGAGAGAAAAAATAATGTGTCATTATGCATCCGTAAGAAATGCAGAATTCTCACTTGCTCGAAAAAGTCCGAGAATTTTGGCAGCGCACGACAACGACGGTGACTAATAAGACGACAACAAATCGGATGAACAGAGGCGGAAAAGGGCGCGCGTCCGTGTATACGGTGGAATATTTTTAGAAAGTTTCAAGATCGATCGGGCGACCGTGCGTAATGACAGAAAGCAACGAGAGATCCTTCAATCTAGCGCGGTGGAGCGAAGCTCTGTCTATTTTAATTGCACTCTCTTACACTCTCTTCCATTTTCAAAGATAGACACACGCGATACAAAAGAGCGCAAAATTTATAACCAAAACGAACGAACCTTGCAAATAGCGTGAGAATCTATTTCTGTGTACTCCACGCTTCGCTTTCAGATCTCGGAAAACGAAACAACGCGATATACATATATTCAGGCTTTGAAAAGAGAGGCAAGAAGACACAAAGTGCAGAACGTGAAAAGTGGCGAAAAAGAACAGACGCTCCTTCTGATTGCACTGTCTGCACCCCCCTCTCCTTCGCGACTTTATATATTCGTTTCATGACGGATGATACGATAAGGACAAAACGCAGTTAAAGAGAAATATCTATCGTGAAATTGAACAGCAGGTACAGGAGGAATTAATCGACAGAGTTTCTCTTCGATTAAACTTTTCTTGCTCATCTTCTTTCAATTTCCACCCACTTTTTTTCAATCAACAGACAATTTCGTCAACAGTTCCGTCTTCTGATCCGCATGGATAGCCACGATAAAGGAGACCTCTCACATTTTATTACAGCGTGTTTAACTTATTCGCGAGAAAAGGAAACGTGCATGGCTCTGTGTATTATTGCGAAAATCTACTCTAAAACACACACAAGTCCTCGTTATAGTTAGTCAGGTGCGACTCTGACTGGAGAAAATTCGCTCGATCGCGCGAGCTCAGTATCCGTGAGGCACACACTCGTACACACTTACCGTCCCTCTCGAATAGGCGGTTTAAACTGAACAACGACCGTAAACTTTCACGTCTACGAAAATCCGCACGGAATTATCGACGACTATTAATCTTGTTTGTTGGTCTACCCTTCCGCTTCATGTCTTGGCGAGCGGAAGACATGGACAACATGGCGGTGCGCAGAAGGGCGGGTACTTCCTGCTTCGACGACCATCGTAAACACCCGCATGTGCTGACTGGTAGAGGTTATGTCGCTCAATCTTTGTGCTCGATGCGTTTAGCTGCGATAATAGGGAGTTTTTGCAATAACCTTTTTCAGATATGGCGAACGTTTCAAATCAACAGATACGTAACTGTAGATTCACGGTATTGACAGCGAATATCGGGACGTATCTGAAAGACGGTACTGCAAAAACTCCTTAATTTATGCGTTCGACGCAAAACTATGGAATGAACCTGCGTTTTTAGAAATTGATTCGTTCGTCCTTTTTGGCCGGAGAATGACGACCATTAGGACGTACAATTTTAGCAAACTTATCAATCTACGATCAGTTAGTAGCATAATGTCTCACCGATAATCGAACGACGCTTCCCTTAACCTATTCTTTTGTGAGTAGAATACATTCCGATTCTATCCTCGTTATTCTCTTGACAAATACAACCATTGTAACATACAGTTGGTATCTAGTGGTGAAACGCTTCTACAAAACTATAATTATAACCATATCCATTTGAACAGATTTCTTACATAGGCGGTCAAACGCTCAAGTATATATGTATGTGATATGTATACAGAAAATATTTCAGAGAAACTGCTAAAATTGCTTGGAATATAATTGCTTGGAATATTCAGAAAGAGAGTTTTTGCGACTCCTATAAATGTATAACAGATTAAGGAATAGCTTATTTTTTATACATCCTATGCATTCTTCCTGGAGACGTAATCCTTCCTCAATATAGTCTGACAGTGTTCCAAGAGTGCATCTATGCCTGCTTTGTTTCTAAAATTTGGCCGGCACTTGTGTAATTTTGGACACAATAATTCTGGAGAAATCCTCGCGATTTGTTTCAGTGCGTCTGAAAAAGCAAACAATCGTGTTGGAATGATATTACAATACGTGATTGAAGCACTCGTTGCGAAAGAATAATGAACCCGTTCGTCGTTACCCAACATTATCAATTGGAAGTGAGACTCCGGATCGTCCAGATGTATAATCATCGTCGTGTAGACAGCGTCGATGTGACTCTTGCTGAGAACGACGTCGTAATCCTCGGACGCGGCGCTCCATACCTCCACGAGCGCTTCCACAGCAGCGTAGCGAACGTCGTCGCAACCGTCGTCGAGTCTTTTCAACAAAACCGGATACGCACGGTGAACGTGTTCGTCGGTTAAACGAGACTGCTTCCGAGCAACCATCGAGCAAATGGCGCGTATAGAATACAGTCTGGTCTTCTTCGCCTTATCGTCCGCCAGACTGATCAGAACGGGCAGGATGGATGAGAGGTGCGATTCATCCATCGACGGGACGTTCCGTAGAATCGCGTTGAGGCAACAGACAGCCGCTGTGCGTATAGCTTCAGCCGCTCTGCCGGCGGTCCAAACTAGTCCCGGCGCAACTATCCTCTCGATGATGGTACTCGCGACGCGTCCGATTGCCGGAAAAGTACTCCGATTGCCGGAGAAGTATTCCGACAACAGAATGAAATGTCGCAGCTTCAGCTCAGGGTCGGCATCGGCCATGGTTTTCTCGAGGATAGGCAACACCAGGTCAAGGTTGCGCACGATCACAGCTCCGGCGCGACTCAGACAGGCGGCGAATATTTGCGATTCCGCGCTGTACACCGACCACGAAGCGCAATCGTCGCGAACGGACGTTATCATCGACTCCGTGTGATCGAGAAAGAAATCTTCGACGTCCCTCGGTGAGTTTATGCCAACGAGTATCTCCAAGAGCCTGTCTGCTTCCTCGCGAATGCAGGCCTCCGCACTCATCGCGCGTGCGGTAAATATCGCGACGAAAAGAGGTCGAGTAATCGCGACGCAGTCCTGCGAAAAGGGAAAATGATATACTCGTCGACGGTACGGTAAGTATTTGACTGAACCTCTTTGCAAACGACGAGAAGCGAGTTGCAGCAGGACAGCAGCTGACGTTGATAATTTTTGCTCCGGCAGATGTGCGGCTGCTGCAAGAAGTTTGCGATCGTGTCCAATCGTAACGAGAGAGCTTTCGGTTCGCTACCGCTGATAATCGCCGCGAGGACACGCAAGTGTCCGGCTGTCGTGGATTCCTCCACGGTCGGTAGCACCAAGTGGCAGTAAATCTCAGGATTCACAAAGTAGCCCAGATATCGCGCCGCGGTTTCTACGCAACCCACGACTCTCTTATCCTCGTCGTTGCAAGCGCTGCAACAAGTATTATCTGGGATAAAAATTTCATCGTGAATATTCCCCATCCTTTAATATCCTTCCATTATATATTAATCTTGAAAAGAGAAGATCTAAAATGAGATACGCATCTTTTCCTCTCATACGATAGTTTCATGAATAGTGGAGCTTTTACCGATACATTGACGGCAGAAGCTTTTCGATATGCTGTGTAACATCTTCTTCCACATTTAATATCAGCACGCAGAGCAATTGTGCCGAACGCAATCGGATGTCTGGCAACCAGTCTCCGAGCTCGACGCTGATGCCATTCACAAGCTTACACAGATTCTGCTGTGCGATCATCCGACATCCTAAATTCGGTCTGGAAACTGAAGATTACAATCAGACCAGTTTAAACAATCCACACACTTGCTGCTAACCCTTTCAAGATGAATCATCGTTTCTCCCACTTATTTCATAAGTGATAATAATTACGCGCGTAAAAGGTATATGTATCAGTTTAGTGCGAAATAAAGTTTGTGAAGCAGTTTATACAAATTGGCAACTATCGGCTTCAAGATATTCATTTGAGGAAATAATTTAAGGACAAACTTTCAGTCTCCTACAATTGAAAACAATGGAAAAACAGACATAACAAGCAACTTTTCACAACCAACTGAATAATTAATATACTTGGAAATGATTGACTAGAGTCAATCAAACTCAGTACCGCTCGTATTATGCAAGATTAAGTTGCTGAATTTGTTTCGATTCAATCACTTTTGCTCAAAGGTGACTTTTTCCGAAATATTTCTCTTCAAATGGAAGCACAGCCCTTTCTTACGGAATTATTGAAAGAAAAATCTCTTTTGCTCTCTCAATGATGAATAACATACTGTCTGGAGGATAATGTTCCGGGTCTTCCGTAAGAAAGTCCATTTTGTCCTTCAACTTGGCATCATTCTCATTCTCCTCCATGTATATTTTCCCCGCAGCATCCCACATCGTTGATGCTTTCGCGCGAATCTCCGCTAGTTCGTCATGCAGTCCAGTCATGATCAGAGGAAGAAGTTTGTGCCACCAGCTGTATCTGTCAGGCAGTTCTGCCAACCAACGGCCCGATACTTGGACTACAGCTTTAGATAAATTCGATTCAATAACACAGGCGATAAGAGGAACGTTATAAAAACAGTTGTTATACCTTCTCTAACGATTCCACTTTGGTCAAACAGCCTCTGCGCCAAAGGGGTCGCAACTTCCTCCATCGACTTGCTATTTCCATGGCGTATCACGTCGCCTATAGCTTCAACAGCGGCGAGTCGGACTCTGTAATGCTGGTGCGTAAAATTGCTCAAGATAGGTTTGATCAGATGCTCTGACTGCGAGTAGAAATGTCTCGACAAGGTCTTGGCGTAATCCGATATACACTTGCAACTCTCCTTTTTCACGTTTGGATAACAGTCCATGACAGTACGCACCACTATTCCTGTTACATCTGGAATATACGGCGCCAACAGGTCCTTGTATTTCAGTATTATGATTCGCAAAAGCGACACGCACTTCAAACGTACTTCTTCCGACGACTCGATCTGTTCCTGTACGCCTAAGCGTCTGGACATTATCGGTATAATGTAGATTATATACTTGTCGTCGGGCGACAGAGCATCTAGAAATATTCGCAAGATTCCCACTGTCAGATCTCGACAGATCTCTGTGTTGTCGTTCAACATTCTGATCAGATGCTTGTGCACACTCTCCCATATTTTAACTAAGACATCGTTCGACGTTCCTTCGCGAGATATATTCTCCATTATCTCTTCCAACGCTTGCCTGCGGCGACTCTTTTCATCTGCTTGCAACGAAACGGTTATCTTGCTCAATTCAAGATCCAATGCCATATTATCTCAAAAAACGAATTTTTTTTTCTAAAAATGAAGATGATAATAGAGACACACGTGTAAAATTCACGTGTGGACTTCACGCGAAACTATGTGCTGTAACGCATCATATGCATCATCCGAGACAAACACTATCCGCGTCTCCATGACAACATATCCAGGCAGATATATCGATAAACGAACCGTCGTCGTTGAACAAACGCAATTCTGCGACGTCCGTTTTTTCTCTCTTTCTCGATATATGCTTAATCATAAAAAGATCTTTCTTACATATGTTGAAATATATATTTATTACATCTTGACTTAAATAAAATACAAGAAAGCTTTTCTTAGAATCATACGGTAAAACTAGCGCTAGATGACTGGTAAGCACAAAATACACGTAAGTTCTAAGACTTTACAATGCTTAATACTGCGTTTTATGCAAGGACTACACTTTGCATCCGTGTTCACACATGATTTCTCTATCTGTATAACAAAGAAAGAAAAAAAAACAATAGAGGAAATGTACAGTTAGGATGTACGGTCGATTATCATCATCAATTGACCATCGCACAAACGCAATGGACTAGTTTATACAATCTCTTGTCGTGTCAAAATACAGTCAGGGAAATATAAAAATAGTATAGAGAATCAAGAGACGGATATGTACTTTGGACATGGTCCCCAGCATTGAATCTTGTGTGTATATGTGTGTATGTGTAACTTTTGTTTATTCATGATTAAACCACGATTTTCCATGCAATTGTCTACTTCCTAATCCTCCAAAGTTACATTCTTAAACAGATAGGACATCGATTCTTTGTTGTGTATACGCCGGATTGCCTCAGCTAAGAGAATACTGATATCAACAGTCTTGATTTTCGGGCACTGCATTTTCTGCACGTCATGAGGAACTGTATTGGTTACAACCACCTAAAGAAAATTCAATGAACGATTCTTTTTTGTTTCTTATTTTAATATTTTGGATTAAGTCCATTGAAACCCTCAGTACGTACTATGGTGCGTATATTAGTTGTGCTTGTGTGAACACTGTGACGCAACAAAGAAACTAACGTTCATACTTGTAATCAATAATGAAATAAAATTTTAGACGTTAAGGCACGTGAATAGAATTTTTTCTTTACGATTCTTTCTGTTTAAACAAATTCTCTTTTAGATAAAGAATTGCGTATATCCTACACGGAGTGAGACGAAACTTGAACGAAATTTATCTACCGAATACCTACTGAGGATTAAGAGCCTCATTCTTCTAACCCTGCGCGCGTGTGTGTGTGTGTGTGTATATATATATATATATATATATTACATCGTTACCTCGTCAATCGGAGACTCTTCGATGAGTCTGGGAGCGTCCGAGCTAAGCAAACCATGCGTAGCTAAAACATATATTTTACAAGCCCCTCTTTCCTTAAGTACTTCGGCAGCCGCGACATACGACTGAACGTCATCTATCATATCATCCTGAAAATCACATCTTGGTAAATGCAGAAACACGATGAACACCGTGTGAAATCTTATTTTACTCACCACCATGATAGCGATACGACCTCCAACGTCTCCAACGACGTTTATAGGTGGTTTCTCTTTCGCCGGATGCATCGGCACACCCACACCGACTTCCATGGTGCGTGAAGCTAACGCTAATGCGGGTGGTGAGTAGCGACCGTCGTTCATATCCGATTCAGCCTCTCTCTGTTCTCCATGAATTACTGCAATTCCCAAACGCAATCTCTCGGCATAGCTAGTCGCCTTTTTTGCGCTACCTGGATTTCTTGCAACGATCACAGAATTATGATAGTCGGGAATCTAACGAAAGGAAAATATCATTTATAAAAGATAATTATGAATTGTTCTAATGTTTTCGTACATACGGATTCTTGAATATACTGCAAGAGAAACGGGCTAGCTCTCAGATTGTCCACGGGAACATCGAAAAATCCTTGAATTTCTTTCTGATGGAGATCCATAGTGATTATATGCGTTAGGCCACTCTTGCATAACATCTTTGCTAAAAGCTTAGACACTATGCAACCGCGTTTGCGCATCTTGCACTGCTTAGAATAAGGTAAGTATGGAATCACTCCGACGATGTTTTTGGCTGACGACGTTTTACAAGCATAGGCCATAATAAGAAGTTCCATTATGTTATTGTTCACATCTTTTGTACCAGTTTGGATTATATACAGGTCTTTGCCACGTACGGAATCTCCTATTTCTACCATCGTTTCTCGGTTTGACTTGTGATACACAGCACAGCCACCATGTTTTACACCAAGACGACTTTGATCATAAAAGAAAAGAATATTTCAATGTATGCAGAATATATTTTACATTATTTGTATATTTCCTTTATACAGATTTCAACTTATCAAGTGTCAAGTTTCGGTCATAATTATTTACAAATGCTATCTAATGCTGCCAAAAATATTTATATTCTTGTTTACTTATATATTGTGACAACTGTTTTTCTTTCTATTTATGTTCCTTTTAAATTTACAAGTAGAAATCTCATATTTATGATCTGTGTTTTCAGGGAAGTACAAATTTATATGCCTTATTTTATTCAACTTGTATATTCATGTGTAAAGTTGTTTTTAAACCTTCATGAAATAATTTGTGCATGTGTAAATAACGAGTGATTAATGAATGGACAATTGTAGTTTTTAATTATATAATATCATAGGTGGTGCATGTAACTATAATACAATAATAATAATATAAAAGAATTAAATACTCTAAAGCAATATCTTTCAAATGTTCTAATACAATTAGTAGCTTACATTCTTACTTTAATTGTATTCTCTCTCTCTCTCTATATATATATATATATATTCTTAGAGGATTTTTGTCTTTGCTATTTTCTTTTCAATGTCTGAATGTGCATTTATTTTATTATTTCATTATTTCTTAGTATAAGTGGAAGCACAAAGAACCCAATATAGTGACAAAGAACATGCATAGCTAAGAAGAACAAACTTATCTTTAGTATAATTAATTTTTTATATTAATCACAAAGATACATCAAAGTGATGTTACTGCTGATGAGAACAAAGTTCAAGCCCATTTGAGAGATTGAGAGATATGAAATATACATATATAAATATAAATGTATCAAAATAACTTACTTGGCAATGAGATTGGCTAGTTCCGGATGAGAATTGCCCGCAATGATAACAATGTCAGATGAGACTGGCTTATCCATTTTTACTTTTCACAGTCCTGTTTATTCAAAGTCCTTCAATATCAGTACCCTTCACGAAAGAAACGACAAAACCTTCCTGCACGTGAAGAAACATTATTTCTGAATTAAATCTAGATATTGAATCTAGATATTTTTAAAATGTAGATTACACATGACAGAACTGTGGCAAGTTTTAGAAAAAGTTATAAAAAATTAGCTACGAGACTCCATAATGGACAAACTGCATTGTGTGTAAAATTAATTTTGTGTATACAAGTGGTTAAAAAAAATTAATGTGTGTGTGCGTGTGGTATATGCGCACACATACATATGTACATATAACTTGACAGTAGGATAATAAGCTTCCCGCGATTACGTGGACGTTCCGCAAAAAAATAGTCTAAGGTTGAGAAGCATGTATGTGTGTGCCCGAGATATCTCGCAATAAACAATCGATCAAACCGTTTTATTGTGTAAATACATACATATATGCGCCTCTCGTGAAGTGATTGTATGACACTTCATAGTCTTACACTTGTTAGATCGATCAAGCTGTTCATTAATTGGCTCCGTCACTTATCTTGTATCGACTTGTCTACTTTATTTACCAGACGGCAATTTATTGCTGAGTTAACATGAAAAAACAACGTTCAATATTCCTGGACCGCTTCCTCCACTGTCCCGACTAGTGTTGATAACGCAAATTTCCACACATCCGACGTCGAACGACTATGTTCGATTCCGTTTTTCGTTAAAATATCGACTACCTCATCGATGCCTGTCGATTAATTCCCCACGACGCGGATATAGTTTCTTTCTGAATTCGATGTCACTACATTTCATTACTTGAGAGCTCCGCTTCGTTTGTTGCATAGAGTTCACGTCACGTAGATTTGAAGTGTTGGCAGCGAATTTTAGCGTTCATCGTATCTGAAAAACGTTAAAAAAAACTCCATATTATCAGGTTGCCAATATCGGCCATAGACGCGCGAACATGAGAAAAAGGAACACAAAATAAAGTGCTTCCTTTTCTTCTTGCACCTCGATTCCCACTTCTCAACACTCGGTCTATTATGTCTGTAGTCGTGCTATTGCAAGGACATCCAAAAAATTATCGAATTTTGTTGGAAGGTATTAATAATATATGTCATTAAAACGTTCTCTTTTTTCTACATACACAACAATACTAACAAATTAACAATCATCATTTTTAACATTATTAAAAATTAGGTCCGTTCTTTTTAACTGAACTGGCTGCGCTAGTTTACATCGAAGCGTAAAAACGAGATTCTCACGCTTCAGTGTGCAGCCAGTTAAGTTAAAAAGAACGGACCAATTGACACACGAATGCGACGAGTCAGTGATGATTTAAAGAGTACGTAAAGTGTGACATCCTTTCAGGCGACCCGATATGCTATAGGAACAAGTTGCACGAAGAGAAATATGTCTGTACTGAACTGTCGTGTCTTGTATCGATATCCTATAACTTGATCGTTGTAAATTGGCCTCAGTTTTACGTAGAAGACGAAGGAAGAAAATATGCACGCGACACGAGCTGACACTTCGGAGAGGCGATTCGAGATACAATGTAAATTAGAGTCAGAAATTGCTGCTCTGGAGGCTCTGAGAGAGGCAGAGGAACGTAGCCGACGATTGACAAGTGGAGCAGTGGGAATACTATCTTCCTTGGAAGAACGTTTAGCTACACTGCGTCGTACGATACTCCCTGTTTACAATGAGACGGGAAATCTCCAAGCCCAACAGCACAGTATGTTATCTTTTCATATTGAATTTAGTAATTTGAGCTTTTTTAGTATCTGATGGAATGAGCGATCCCTTGAACGCGAGTTATTACTAACTCAAGTATATCGCCATTCTCGTGAACAACTGCAAACTGCTTGAGAATCAAAGAAACGCAATGTACAATTGTTGATATTATTTCTTTATCGACGTAAAAAAATCGAGCTGTAATTATTTGATCGCAGATATAGAAAAGACGTTGAGCGTGCTGGATCACGCTATCGGATATTATGGTGTGTGTCAAGAAGTGGAAGATGCAGTGCGCGCCGAACCAAGCGGTCCCAGCGGTTTGGACGGCTTTCTCGAAGCTATGAACCGTTTGTACAACGCACAACGGTATTTCCAGAAAAACAACCCCAGCTCCGTCGAATTGGAAAATGTCACGAGTCTTTTCTCGATCGGCCTGGAATTACTTTATGCCGAGTTTCATGATATTCTGACTCGCCAAAGTAAACCAATCTTACCTATCGTGCTCTTGGATTTGATCGGTTCCGACGAGGACACGAGCGGCGAGGATGCGCCACAGTCTTTGTGTCAATTACCAGAGAGTGTTATGAGCGATTTACTCAAGATCTCTGGCTGGCTTGAGGAAAGAGGGCATCGTAAACACATAAAGATATATGCTTCCGTGCGTTCCGCCATTGTCTCGAGATCCTTGCAATTGCTCAAGGAACATCAGAGGAGTGCCAGCGGTGGTAGTACACACGCGGGGAGTCCTATGCCGGTAAAAAAAGAGTGTTAGAAAGAATGCATTCTCACTCCTGGTGGTATCTCAGCGTGATAATAACGAAAGCGACTGTTTGCAGAGAGCCAAATTCGCGAATCGGCACTCGCTGGGTGGTCAGGAGAACGCCGGGCGTAGAGCGTCACGCCGGCTGCAGCACGCTCTGGAGAAGAAAGCGAACAGAATGTTGTTGAAAGCGTCGCAAACGACGGGGTTGAACCTGTCGTTGACGGCGTCCAGGAAACCGACTCCGCAGCTCTCCGTGTACTCGATCGAGGACGCAGCACCGGACGAGCAAGAGATGGAGAATTACCTTCTGCTAACCGCCGGCCTACACAAGCTCATGCAGGCTGAGCGAACGCTGGTCGCGAGAATCTTGCCGGCTTCGTTGCAAGCCCAAGTGCTCGAGGCTACCGTTCGCGATGCGATGGATCTCGTCGCGCACGATGGGGATAGCATAGCTACGCGCGCCAAACGATGCATCTCGAGACGTGACTTCTCCGCGGTTCTCGTCGTGTTCCCGATTCTAAAGCACCTCGGCGAATTGAAACCCGATCTCGAGAGAACGGTCGAGGGCTGTGATTACGCGCTACGCTCCAAGTTCGCATCAGTACTCGATACGTTGAACGCAACTGTACGTGTTCTCTCTATTCTCTCATCATCATATCGTTCACAAGCATTTTTCTCAAATTATGCAATTCCATCTTATATTTAGCATATATATATATATATATAGGGTGTCACAAATTCGTGTCTACAAAAATGACAAAAATATAGATTCTCATATAAAAAAACTAAAGTAACCTTAATGTTATGATCCAAGGTCATACAAATAGTAGTTTTGATCGTTCTTGGTGATTGCTATGGTAAGCTAATATGAACTTGTGATAAAATTCATATAAAATACGCTGCGAAAGAACATAAATAAATTCAACGTTCTCTCGTTTCTCTTCTTTTGCAGGGTGCCAAAGCCTTGGAAGATTTTGCAGAAAGCGTGAGAAACGAATCCGGTGCGGTTTTGCCGAAAGATGGTACTGTGGCAGAAGGAACTAGTAATGTTTTAGTTTTTCTGGAACAATTAGCTGAGTATGCAGACACAGCCGGTGCTGTTCTTCGTCGTAATACTGACATAGATCAAACGATATCATCCGGAAAAAATGCGGAAAACGGATACAGAGTGATTCTCGGTGTATATGTCAGTAAGTTCGCGCGCATCTCTGTATCCTACATAATTTGTAACAGTAAGATGGACATAGCGCTACCAGTGCGTTTGAAAACTGCTTTTCTCCCTTTTTTTTTCTCTCATTCATTTTCTCTTGTACCAATCTTAATTTAAAGTTGCGCCAGAATGGGGCGTTATTTGATTCGACTGTTTTTTTTTTGTTGCCTCTGTTCTCTGTGTTTATTCTACGCAATTCGAGGCAGCTAAAATAAAAATCAGTTATTAATTCGACGATAACCGTTTCTTTTTTTTTCTCTCTCTCTCTACAGAAAAGGTTCTTGCTCAATTGAATCTAGCCCTAGTGAGTAAAAGCGATGCGTCTTACTCTGATCTTGCATTACGGGCTTTATTTCGGCTAAATAATCATAATTATGTGGTTAATGCTCTGCGTCGAAGTTCTCTTATGGAGCTGCTGCTACTAGCCGAGCCAACCGCAGAACAGACATATCACGATCTACTTTTCAAGGACAGAAACAATTATGTCACTACAACATTTGCCAAAGCACGATCATATCTTGAACAATCCACAGATGAAGCAGGTTCGTGTCGTGTGTGTATTTGGACATAAATTTTAAAAGTTGATCAACAGAGCTTATAATAAATAAGACACCAAATAAATACGTTTCTCTCATGACATCAATAGGAAATAAATAGGAAACGTGTCTATTTAGTTTATCCATTATATGACGTATTATTATATTCTATTCTACTTTCTGAAACAATAGCCGCGTTCAACAGAAAAAGAGTGAGCGTTTAATGATTACTGTTTGTGACTGTGTCTTTTATTTAGATTCTTAATAGATCCAGGAGGATGTACCAATCAGGAGCAATAATCGTTAAGCGCTTGCTAAATTACTTTTTCTGTTGAACGCAAGTATTGTTTTTAACCATCAGCGGACCTATCGGGGTATAAACGTTAGTCACGTTTAATTAATTTTCGTACGCATTTCCTCTCATAGATCTCGCCGCCAAAACATTAAAGGAAAAATTTTTGGGATTTACGAGAGAACTCGAGGAAGTGGCCAAGTGTCAACGTTCCTACTCTGTACCTGATAGACGTTTACGCGAAGAGTTGAGGAAGGAACTGCACGAGGCGATCGTACCTTTATACACCGCGTTCCACAACAAGTATCGCGGCGTGTCATTTTCGAAAAATCCGGGCAAATATGTCAAATACACGCCCGACCAGATTTCGGCGTTGATTAATACATTTTTCGACACCGCCGCGTAATACAAGCTGTATTTATCGAAGATCATTCGCGATAAGGAATAGTAAAATATTTAATAAACACCCATTTAATAAAGCATATTTAGTTACAGTATTTTTGTGATTTTTTTTCTGTGGACCGAATCTTCATTCTCTGAAAACAGATTGCACAGGTTAATGGATCTGCGACGATTGAGTTAGGTCTTGGTCCAGCGCCTCGATTTATATATATTTATAATATATATATAAAAAAAAAACAAATAACGTGTTTTCGATTTAAAGTCGATCTGTGTGTGTGTGTGTGTGTGTGTGTACGCATGGATGTACATGACTCGTATTACCACTTATAATAGATGTGTGTGCACACACATACACACACTACGCGTACTATATGTGGTAATAAGTAGGAATACATTTGAAGTTCAGCAATTATGTACATTTGTTACGCTACAGAATATTCTCTCTCATTATTTATACACTCGTTCTTCTGATGCTCTCCCATTTATTCACTCATTCATTCACCTTTTCTGATTTCTCACACACACACATACACACACACACAATCACGTTGACGATACTTTCTGATTCTTTCATACGTATAAGCATTTGTATCGTCCTCTGCTTCGCGATAGCAATATCTAGTTTTCTCAAACATGGCAATACTTGGTGATTCCGACCTGTGACACGATAATTTTAGCAAGAGAAGATAATGTTTTGTGCTAATCACAGACGTCTCGTGTTGTAAGATCTTGATAACATGAAAAACTCAATGAAGCAGAGGAATCACTAAACTTGATTTGACATTTAAGGTGATATATATATATATATNCATACATTAAAACTTGTACAGTTAACTATCTTAAAATTACGGTATGTATACGATAGTATTAACAAATTTAGTGGAAGAAGGAAGCCATGTTACGCGGTTGCTACTGTTTACTGATCCCACTTGGAAAATACAACTATCAATTGAATCAGTAATCTATACTGCTTGTCATTTTAGAAACATATGAGCTCATAATAAAATTACCATTGCTAAACAGCATACAAACAGAATTTAAATATCGGACGTGCACATTACATATCGAGTGGCATTTGAATGCTCATCTAATGTCACTCACTCTCCCCTTGCCATTTTCAATGAAATTTCTTATGTACAATTCTTTTCAAATAAAGCTAACACGTTAATGATCACAAAATCATTAGATCGACATTTTAATGTCCAACAAATCTTGTTTGTGAGAATATAACGTGAAAACTGTTAACAAATATCTAATACCCTGAACCAAAAGAAAAGTATACACGATTGTTCTAAGTACATGAAAAAGTGTTTGTGTGTGATCTATGTATGTATGCATGTATACGTGCGCGCGCGTAGTTATTCGTATTCACATTTAATGAACATCTAGATGAATATCGTCCAAACAGATTTGCCACGTACTATGCATATCTCAAAAAAATATCTTCTCTCTTTATATCTTGATGCATGTGGAAATCTCGCAATAAGGAAAATTATCGTTTCTTTTCTTTTTTTAATGCGTTAACTACGTATGTCCTACCTAAAATGTACAATGGCAAATAGCATAAAATGGTTTTCCTCTTTGATTAAACTGATCAGTATACAATGTTTGGACGCTTATACAATTATATAATAATATTTTTGCTTCTTTTTTTACCATACATATATAATTATTAATTATAATATTAATAACGTACTCTCTCTAACATACTGTACAGCGTTAGTTCAGTTATTTTGGCTTCTTTTACACTCCTTTAGCTTAGAACATCCAGTCAGGTTGCAATTTATAGCCCTATTACGTGATCCAGAATGGAAGCTTTGTTTGTATAGACAGCACAAAACCTCCTCAACTGTTTCCTCTGGAAGGCTGGTGCATAAGAGGAAATTTGTATTACGAATTAGCAATTCTCAAACTCTCTCTTGTGTCTCGCTCGCTGAAAAATACACCAAACTGATGTTTGTGCGCTTATGCTGGCAGATGTTTGCAGCCTGTTGATGCTGATGTAGGCTGTACAACTGGGGTTCCGATGTCGGTCGGACTCGATTCAAGCTTGGTACACTGGAGATGAGACGATGCACTTTAACACATCCTGGTACCATCGTGCATAAGTTACATTTAATATTATAGAAGGAAACATCTGCGCTTTGGCTTCACTTGCAGAACAGGGCACAGTACGGCACGTATCGCCTCATCGAATACAGTTTTCAAGCCTTTCTGTGTCAAAGCTGAGCATTCCAAATATTTGACGGCACCGATCTCCTTCGCCATCGCCAAACCCTACACAGATAAAACACATGTTGGGATATAAATGAAATTACAAGCGCTATTACAACATTAATGCGAAAATTAATTTCATATGTTCTCAGTTTCTTTGCGATTGCCACATGTACAAATCTCTTTCTTGCTAAACAATTTCTTACTATGCAATTTTCTTTTCATTTACCAACATTTAAGAACTTGACATATTTATATATAGTGAATAGCTCTTATAAAGAAAACAACACTGTAAAAAGAATTTTCCTATATATTGTATTGCATGATGGAAAAACTGCAAGACGAACCTGAGGATAAGTAATGGGAGCGAGTTTCTTGTCTTTTAAACGCTCAATAGTCTCCTTGTCTTCACGCAGGTCCAGTTTAGTGCCAACCAAAATAATCGGAGTGGCAGGACAATGGTGACGCACTTCAGGATACCACTTGGCACGTACATTTTCAAAACTCGCCGGGTTTACCAACGAGAAGCAGATCAGAAAAACGTCAGTTTGTGGATAAGACAATGGCCGTAGTCTGTCGTAATCCTCCTGTCCCGCTGTATCCCACAAGCCGAGATTAATCGGCTTCCCGTCGACCATTACATTCGCGGAATAATTGTCGAATACCGTTGGAATGTACTCCCCAGGAAATGCATTGGTAGTGTAGCTTATCAGCAAACATGTTTTACCTACAGCTCTAGAGAATACAAATATATTGATTTATGTGTAACAATATCTAGTAGTTTCACCCGGGTCTTTGTTAACACTTTGACGGCCGCACTTATTTCGAAAAAAATATTCCGCCAGCAAATTTCAAAGCACTCTCGTTTCTAACAGAAATTTCAGACAACTATCTTCCTTCCTAAATAACATTAAGACGTCTTTTAGATATATGTGTGTTTGGATTGTACGTAATAACTTCATACATTTAACTTTACTTAATTGTGTAAACTGTTATCATCGAGAAATATTTCTTCGTCGAGCAATTACCGCAGAATGAAGTCACGCAACAACGGCCGTCAAGATGTCAAGTTGGGCCATTATTCTAGTCGCGAGTATTTCAACGCGTTCTTATTTAGACACGGTGCTCTCAATCTCAACAAGACTCTAATCTCGCGCGTTTCGATATGTCAGATATGTGTATGTACATACATGATATATATATATATACGTGCACACATGCTGCAGCCGTCAGGCAGGCATCGACAAACGGCCGTGAAACGTGCGAAAAAACGTGACGTCCTCGTGAAAACGCGCGCGAGTGAATACACGTCAACGTCATTTCGCGGATCAACGGGCGTGGTAGGCTTGCGAGCTACGCGAGCTAAAAGAAGTTACGTGAACTACCGCTCGCGAAAAACATCGAGATGGTCGAGCTGGAGCTACGACTTAAGAGAGCGTCCAAGGTAACCACTCGTTTGTTGTTTATTCGTTCGCTCGATCGTGCTCGTTCATTCGCGATCGTTCCCGTAACGATGGATCCTTTCGATCCCTTCGATCGTTCTCTCCTGCTCACTCGAGTTCCGGTAAACGATGCTCTCCTTACGACCATCCTATGTATTACGTACCCGTCGCCGACGACCACGCACTTGATAGCTTGCATCCTGGAGCCTGGAACAGTCCGTAATGCACACGGGAGCACGTAAAATCGTGCGACGATACACTTAGTCGATTCACGGGAGGGAGAGAGAGAGAGAGGGAGAGACGTTGAACGAGCGCGCGGCAGGAAGGGACGGAGGAACCGATGGCGCGGTACGACAGGAAGATAGTCGCGAGGGAGGAGGAGGGGCTGCGTGCGATAAAGAGAGGAAGCCGGGAGGAAAAGCACGCGCGCGCGCGCGCGCGTGTAAGAGCGAGACGGGAACGGGACGACGACGCGATTGAGGTTTGAGCGCGACAGAAACACGAGAACGACCGCAGCGCGCGAACGACTGATTGGTCGGCTGGCGCCCGTCTGTTGCGACAAAGCGAAATGCTCCCGAAGATGCACGAGCACACCGACGATCGCAGCGGGTGGTAACGTAGAACGACCTGCGCAACGCTCTTTTAAGATTCTCTTGCGGCTGCAACCAACGAAAGTACGACGTGATATTTTAAGGCCCGGTTCCACCGACGCGAGTTTAAATCCAGCTCTTCCGTTGTTAGATAGATGCGATTGAACACTTTCCAATGGACAAACTGAATTTAATCGACCGATTTCATTAACTCTCCTTGGTAAAACCGGGCTTGATAACGTTGTGACTGTAATCTCGATCGACAACAACTAACATAGTGTCGATAGCGCTCATCGATTTGCGTTAACTCATCTCTATCAACATTGGTATGTGTTCTCTGCTGTCCGAAAAGTCAGCCAATAGAGATAATTCTTGGATTATATTTTTTTCTTATTAGTACAATTCAATGGCAAGTTTATTTTACACTGCATAAAAAAGCCATTGAACGGATTATTTTTTGCGGAGAATGTGCAAAACTTCATGCGACCCGTTTCTCTTTTTCTTCCGAGTTTCTTTTTTTCTTTTTTTACATGAATTTTTCAATGATTTTGCCTATCCTTAATGTCTATTAAGGTCGTTCGATCGCAAGAAGACGCAACGCTTGTGACAGCCAACCAAAAGCGTCAATAGTACCATTGAGAATGACCTTTACATAAACACCAATGGTCTGGTTTCCACCGAAGTCTTCATTCGCTCCTGATGCAATGTAAAACCAAGTTTCCCGTTCTACAATAGGTGCTTTGAGTCCTAAGCCTTGAGAAAGTATCAATCACAGTCGATTATTCTTCTCGCATTCGACCGTGATTGGTCAATTTCTTAAGAACTCATGAATATAAGCAGGTTCCGTTTGAGCGCTCGTATTGGCATTCTAGCGTCATTCTATCTTTGTTTCTCACTGAATGTCAAACAAAGATAGAACGACGCCAGAATGTTTACGTGTTTGACGTTTTGTTTGGTCTTTATTTTTAGGTTATATGTGATTATCATATCAATAATTGATAATACATATCGCAAAAGATGGGTGATGGATTTGTAAATATATACGTCGGCAATTATAATGGCGTGTAAAATACATATCATGTTCGCAATTGCGACAACGCTGAGTATATGTATCGTAATATTTCAGGTATATGAATAAATTAAAATCGTGCCTTCAGTGCCACCATAATCAAGATGTCGCGGATGATACATTTTTATAATTATGCGTACTGTTTCTTTCTTTTTACAGCTATGCGTGACGCTATACGACCGCCCATCTGTCTCAGGTAATTCACTGCTGTCATACCGATATTTTCTCCAACAAGAACATATCTTAATATTTTCTCTTGCCGCGCTCAGATGACGATATACCTATCGTGTTGTGGTGGACACCGTTTGGTACTAATAATCACGTGAAAGCCTGCGGACGCACAAAATGTTACTTCACACATGACAGATCATTTCAGAGCAACGTACGATTGAAAGTATGATTCCTTCATATTCGACTTGATTATTTTGTACACAGCGAAATTCGCGGATTTACACTCTCAACGTTAGATATATCACACCGATCTTTACAGAATATTCTCTTCTACGGAAGTGATCTTCGCGTTCGTGATTTACCTAGTTGGAGGGATAGTGCCGTATCATGGGGATTGCTTCATGAGGAGTCTCCCAGAAATAATCCTATACTTGTTCACGAAGAAGCGCTTAATCTTTTCAATTACTCTTCGACTTTTAGCAGATTTAGTAACATACCACTCACGCTTCTCGATTTACCTAGTCTGGATGAATTAATAGGTAAATATACAAACCTGAAAACATTACGACGAGACTAGAAATTACCAAGAGGAGAATGCTAGCCGATTCGCATTTTTTCCCACTTTAACATTAATATGCACGACTCACAAAATTTTGTGTATCTTACGTAAATTATGTATATATAAGAAACGATATAAGAATATGAATATTTGTAGAAGAAACGTATTATGTTCATACCAAAGAGAAGACTGCTTTAATGCACACACAGAATTTAGCACCAGTATTATATATTCAATCTGACTGTGATACTGCCAGCAATAGAGATCGTTATGTTTTAGAATTAATGAAACATATTCGAATTGATTCCTATGGTGAGTGTTTGAATAATGCTCAACTTGACGACAGGTATGTTATTTTACATAATGTGACTTGTACATTATTATCAGTAGAGATGATTATCAATATGTGAAATATATATATATTCAGGTTGAAGGACAATTATATAAATATCTTGAATAATTGTGAATTTTTATCTTTTGTGGCTAAATATAAGTTTACTATAGCCTTCGAAAATGCAATTTGTGAAGACTATGTCACGGAAAAACTATGGAGACCCCTTATCGTTGGTTCTGTACCTATATATTATGGATCGCCATCATTTAAGGTATTGTTTGATGTGAAAATATCAGTTTCTTATTTGTTTTTTTGAAAGATTAACTTTAAGATTCTATTCGTTTTCTAGTCTTATCGAATCTAATTTGTATATTGAACGTATATACATACACTTGCTTTTGTAGGATTGGCTCCCGAATACTAAATCTGCCATTTCAATATTAGACTTTGCTAAGCCAGCACAACTCGCCCAATTTTTACATAAACTTGTGAAAAATGATTCTGCATATGAAGAATACTTATCTCATAAATTGGGTAACCGCGAGTATCGCGTCACAAACGATAAGTTACTACACTCTCTTGAAAGAAGACCGACAGGAGTTCCTAATGAATTTGGAAATTACTTAGAAGCATTCGAATGCTTCATCTGTGAACGAATACAGAATAATCGTAAACTACAAATAGATACAGTCACGAAACAACAATACGATTGTCCTCTGCCAAGAGATCCAATAACAGGCGAAATTGATGAACATAATTGGTGGATAGATCAGTGGAATATTGAGAAATGTGGAGCGAAGTTGTTAGCTCATTACGTAATTAATAACATTAGTTTTAGTATAAATGGTTTTAATAAGCAAAAGATGTACATGTACGACAACGATGAATGTTGAGGCAAACAAAAGAATCGTAGAATTTTGCGATTTCATACGATTTCCAATCGTATCTCAATCACTCAAATTTTATAATCTCAGAAACGATAATAGATACGTCGATGTATACAAGTATGAGGATTTGGCTCTTCCTAGGAGAGTTTCAGCTCTCCCTGTATCTTAGTATTATAGAAGGATATATTTTTACTTTTTTGTATTTTACTTATTGTATTTTACTTTTTGTTTTTATTTATTTTGTATAAAATAATACAATAGAGGAAAGTTTGTTATCGAATACATATTACGAAATGATTCACTCCGTGTTGTAGAAAAAGAAACAAAAATGTTTTCATATGTATACATATATGTAGTATTTTTCGATCGTAAACAGTATTATAAAGTTTGGTATGTTATAGAGCCATACTCAACTGTCCCGAAAAGTGTGTCACGCGTTGTAGAATGTGCTTCGTTTTTGCTCCAAGTATTTAGCATATTAGTAATTAAGCTCTGCTTCATTCTGTATGCCGCATAAGTGTAAGAATAAAATACATATTAAAAAAAGGCTTTTCATGAAAAAAGATCTCTGTGCAAAACTCTGCTCTTCTTTTAATTTATTGACTTTATTTGCAAAACTGGAGCGGGTACTTTCATTAGCTCGCACAATTGATTTCTGATTGGACGTAAATCTGCGATAGGTTGTTCCCAATCTGTAGCATTCAATTTTGTCAGTATGTTTGCTAAATCCTCTTCCGTTATATCCATTTCTTCTCCGTAAAGAGTTAAAGCCTCATAAGTACGTATAGCCGTAGTCTTTCTCAGGCATGTATATTTGTGACACAAAAATATACTCAACTGACAAAAGGCTCTCTTTGCGACCGGACCTCGTACCTGGTGAGTAAAAATATAAATTTAAATATAAGTAAATAAATGTATATACATGGGCGTAAGGTTCTTAACAACAATATCAGACTTACTTGCAGCAACTGACAGAAAACATTTATGCTACTGATGAGCAGTTTCATATTACTGGAAAATTTTATCTCATGTTTCAATAACGTCAATATATGTTCCGAGATTGTATTGTCTGCATCATCCAAGATGGACTGAATACAGCCTGAACTCAATAAACGATCCAGAAAAGCTAACATTGATGTTATCATTCTCTCATTTTTGTGACTTTCTTCGAATATACTTAAAATCTTTTCACATATATCCTTCAAGCCCACTTCGTCGATCTCTTGTAAATAAGTAAATAGGGACACACTTGAGTATTTCACCTGCATTGATCACAGAAAGGAATATATTTGGCCATTTAGATGAAATTACTTTGCAAAATTAAATCTTAGTATTTAACTACTTTAACGCCAAAGAAAAAAAAAATGACATTGAAATGAAAATGATATACGCTAGCATTTCTTCGCTCTATCTCTTAATCTCAATTATGTATATATAATAATGTGTGTATAGATTACAAATATTAAATTTACCAATGATTCGCTTAAGCCGCCAACACTAAATATAATTCCGCGTAACAGATTTATTTTATATGGCGGGAAACTCAACATCTTAATAAATCGCGGAAATGTTGCAGATTCCATCCTCCACTCGATATTCTCCTTACATTCATTAAGAGGAAATATAGTTTTCAGTTCATCGTGATATGGAATATTGGGAAGTGTTGGTTCGCTGTGTCAGAAATTGAAACACTCTATGTTACCTATACATGCTCTTCCGTGTAAATTAAAAGTATTTTTACTCAAATGTATTTACCTGTGTATAAGCGCGCTAAATACAGTACCAGCTTGAGCTCGAATTCCGTCTATTCTTTCAACAGCCTGCTGTGCGATACCACCGATGATGCTGGCCATCAAGTTTTCATTCAATATAGATAATAGTTTCGCCTGTGACACCAAGTTTGTCAATATCTGGAAGAAAATTAAGTTTACACAAGTTCTACATATGATTATATCAACAATAGATTTTCTGTTGCATCTCAAGTTTGAAATTGACTTTGTTTCGTTGGGGAAATGTCGAAGGATTGATACATTCTTTACAAGTTAGAGCATTTGGAAAAAAAAAACATGTATAAACTCTTGGCACACATTGACGAAAGTAACTTTCGCATTGTTTTCTGAGATCTACGTACATGTAATCCGATCATAGCAGCTTCTCTCACCCAAGCGCCTATGTCCCCGCGGCTATCTATCGTGTACTCTTTAAGAGCCAATAGATAACAATTATACAGATCAGGCATAAACGATTGCCACTTGTCTGAAAATATACATTTCTTCGTTTCCGCTCAATTCTATATACAGATTATCAGCAGAAATATGTCGAGAAACTGAACGATAAAAATTCACCTGCTTCGTCAATTCCTAACGTTTGGCATATCATTATTAAAGAATGCAGAGCTTCTTTCCTACTTTCTGCCCATTTTAACGTGCTTGCAGATATATCGGTGCACATTATTAACGCTTCTATAATATCTTTCACTCTTTCGCGAACAACGAATAATGGAAAATGACCTGTGCAAATCAAACCAATGATGCATATACTTGTAAATTAGGCTCCAGCATTTTGTACGTTCTTGCGAGTTTAGCATTTTATCGTCAATAATGCGGGAAATACGTTCCGCATTATAGGATATCTGCTGAAGATGAAGCTTTAGACGAATACACACAATTCTTCGACTTACCGATTGCTTGTGCGAAACCTATCCTGATAGACTGATTGCTCGATCGCAGAGATTCCAAATAACGATTAATTACAGCACTCCGAGCATCATAATCGATGTCTATATAGTATTCTACAAAAAAGTTTGTGTGAGCTTCGGCTGCTTTTAATTTAACTGCCGACACCTCGTGGCTCAAACATTCTTCCAATAGCTTCTGCCAATCATCTATATTATATTCGCAATATAAATGTTATTACGTTAAGTACTGTGTTAACAAAGGTAGTATCAGAGTAAGTCAAAACTCGTTTTAAATTATAATACTTCGTTATACTTGCCTACAACATCAGTCATATGAATAGGGAAGTGAACGATAGAACATTTCTTGATTAGCACAGCACAAGCTTGTTTCATCAGCTCTCCCCCGAGTCCTTTAAATTGTCCTCTACTTCTAAAAATTCGTACAATGTCTTGTATGTCAGACACAGCCGTGGTTCCTGGAAAGATCCATTAGAGTATATTAGAGAGTGTATACGCAAAGAGAAATAAGAACGATCTTCCTTTTATCGCTTAAAAAATATAAACGATGATATTACGTTTTTATATATTCTTACCAATGATATTTTCAATCTTGTCGTTAAAATGATTATATAAAGCTTCGAGGATCTCCGCAGTTGCTAATACTGCACCGTGTCTAACGTTTAAATCGATAGAATTTAACATGTCCAACAAAGTCGGTAGTACCGTGCTTATCATATAATGTGGATCAGCTGCCGTCAAATTGAAAAGTGACTGCAATAAATTATTAATAATATGTAGGGAACTGAAAATTTACTGATATGTAGGGAACTGATAATACACTTTACTGTTTACTGAGAATTTTAGAATATTACTACTAAAATATAAACTTACTCTAGCTGAAAGTTCTCTAATTGCAGTGTCCCAGTGTGTAACTTTTTTGGCAACTAGATGGTCTATCAACGGTTTTGTATATTCCTCATATTGTGCAATTTGGACACTGTAGGGAACAACGTTGCAAATTAGTATTACTCGAAAGTCACATGGATTGTGTGTGTATGTGATTTACTCGATGGAATCTATACCTGATTTTCAGGTATGTGTGGCTCCTCACACCAACTTCGAAATAATCAGCGACAGTCAGTATATCTATACCATGTGGAAAGTTGCCCTGTCTGCCAACATTTTCTTGAAATGCAGCGGATGCTGCCCTCCGACAGTTTATCTACCGACGCAACATTATACGGATTATAAAACACAACACAAATGGATGATGCAAGAAATGTTTCGCAGACCGAATCTCTTTTTAACCATAATTTTTTCAGTCAATTCAGAGGCGACCTCTTTTTGGCAAAAGCGATATTATTATACCTTTAAAAACTCTGATTTCGTATGGTAATTAAATGTTAAAATAAAATTTTATCGAAACAAAACATTCACTCTTGCAAAATTGATTGTATTTAAAGAATTTACCAGAAGTCTTGCATTTTACCGTAATATATTACTAGATATCTAGAATAGCTTCGTTGAGAAAAAATCATTTCTAAATTGGTTAAAGAATCTGCAGTAAAATCGGTAAGAATAAATAAGAAAAAGAAGGGACAAATTTGAGATAAAGAAGTGTGTATACAATTTATACCTCTCTATCGAAGCATGTTACCACCAATAACATTGCCGCAATTTCCTTGACATAAGGTTCGAAAACGTGAGGATCGTAAGCTCTCGGGAAAGACCAGCATATGTAACAAGCGGCGTCTCTGATGAGATAACCGATCGATCCATAGGCTCGAGGTTCATCGAAGACTAAAGCCTGTAGAACTACTGGAATAACGTCGCTTAAACGATGAGGCAGCAATAAGCCACGCCTTCCTAAAATTTTTAAGTAAAGATGATAGAAGATGCTAGATGATGAAGATGAAACGTGCAAAACGTACCGAGTTCCGCGAGCGCCAAACAACCACCGTGCCACGCCGAATCGGATTCACGTCCGGAAAACAGATTCAATACGAACCCTAACACATCATCGGCTAAGTCAACCGGTAGTCTCGCTGTTATTCTGCCGATACCTTTCGCTGCGGACCATCTAATACGTATATAACATTATTCGCAATGAATTACATTATTTATAAGGACGAGTATATGGTCGAAGCAAAAAGCATACACGTACCTTATAGTGATTGCTTTATCCCGAAGACCCTGTATGAGTTGTTCTATAATATCTTCAATAGCCGGAGGAATTTCCTGATCTTCGTTGTCGTTAGAAATAGTTTTCTTAAGATCGGTAACATTTTCGATAATATAATCCGCCTTAACATTCGGTATAATGTTTATCGGTCGGCTTGTCTTCTGATATCGCCAAGATGCTAATTTTGTTCTCAACAACACCAAACCTATCGGATGTCGGATTGTAGTAAAGTATTAAAATCTATAAGATATAAATGCATGGTGCACATTAATGACAGTGTATATTTAATATTGAGGAAGTTGACTGTGTCGAGATACCTATGCGCTGAACAACCTTTATCCCAAATTTTCTGATAAGGTCTGCTGGATTGTCATTTAAGTGAAGTTTCAACATATTATCAAGAAGCATTTGACTATATGGTTTAACATCTTCTCTGGCACTATGTTTTAATATCGAGGCAATTACAGCCAAAGGTCCATGTCTCAAAGGATCATCTTCTATGCACTGAAATATTGAAATTACAATAAATTCATTAAAATGAAATTTTCATATGGCTGATGTTTTCACATTGAAGTAATATCTAATATTGCGAGGGCATCACCTTTAAGCACCACATTATCATTTCTTCCAGATATAATTTTTTGACATCAGACCTTGTTAAAAAGTTTGATATTAAGAATACTGCTGCTACAGCACAAGCATCTTTTGACAAGCAATATAATTTACATACTTTTAAGATCCTGGAACATATTATTCAAATCAAAGTCTAATGCACAGTATTATATATATATATATGTATATATATATATATATATATATATATATATATGATGCTTTAAGTCCTTTTACCATTTTCCAAATATCACTCAAATTTTTAAATTATTAATTAAAGAAGTTAATTAATCCATAAATGCGACATATAATGTGTCCTTTGATTAAATATTTTTCTTCATACATAATCTAGAAGATGATAATACCTGACAACAATAGTCTGTTCTGATTCTACATTCTCAGATGTCTCTAGACGAGATAAGGGAAAAGGTATTTTTGAAATAATAGATAACCAAACAAGGAGAACATATCGAGTTTCCCAGGTCTCAACGTCGTTTGAATTTTGCTTCTCAAGCATTCTTAGTACAGGTAAAAGATCTACCACCTATAACAAAATATGTACTATAAACATTAAAACTATTCATCACAAGCTTTAGAATATAATATACAGAGAAGACATTGTACTTTCAGATAAATACAAAACTTGGATCAAGCATTTGCTTTTATGATAATATGAAAATTTCATTGATTTAATATCAAGTGACAACGCATACCTCGTGTGGAAGGTAAGTAACGATCTTTTTATATGTTTTTACGGACATGATGATAAATAAATATTTGAACGTGTTATGCTTGATGTTTTCTGCACAGCCATCATCTTTTATAATAGATAACAAAGATCCCAGAATCCTCTCAAGATATGGGTCTAGAAGTTGATGCTGATCTTGATATTGAGACAAAATAAAGTTGAAACGATCCCTATTCCTCTCCACTAGACTCGGCGATAAGTCTGACTTTCTCAATTCCACTATCAGGGCGGTCACTTCGTCTATCTCTTTAAACGCGTTAAAACCACATCCCACCCTTTCTGGATCCGGATAATCATTCAACACCATTGTTCGTAAGATTCGTTCTGTCGAGAATCACAAATTTGATATATACCGCAACAACAGTCGTACGCGACACACGTCAATTAAATGCCGTCGTACGAATAATCGAAATCATAACCTTACATGGATTGTGACAGCTCCAGCTGGCATGTTCTCTCTCTCTCTCTCACCTTTGATTGCGGAAAGCCGGCGGCATTTTTTCTACATCACTTCCGCAGATTGTGTATAGGGATTATAGGAATTGGTTAGTATTATCTAGGAATTTTAGTAAGGAGTAGAACGGGATATAATTGTCAACAAAATGATAACTGTAGCTTTATCTTGTAACTTTTTAACGATAATATCACTAGCTTAGGTTGTCATTGCACAGCTTTTCTTATTATATTTTCTACAACTATGGAAAGATATGGGTGTGTTGGACACAATTGGACACAACCCAATCATAAGTCCCGAGAGACACTGGGACCCGATTCTCGAATTCGTACGATTATAACTTTTTCGATTTACTAATTCGACTCGACTCAGGGTCATCATTCTGATTGGTGCACTTTTAAAAAAAACATCAGAACGTAGAATCAGAATGCAGTAGTACGATGACCCTGAGTCGAGTCAGCGAATCGAAAACACCATTAGAGCGAGACAAAATATACATGTTTCCTATTCTAACTTATTGCACTAGTTCAGCAGTAGAGCTAAAAAGACCATATGGTTCCAATTGGTTATTCTCCCACTACTTTCCGTTCCGTTTTTCCATTCCGCTTTACTGTTCCGCTATTTCGTTGTCCATGCGACAGCACTTTAATGCAAGTCGGCTACGCAGTTGTTACGAGATGAGGGGACAGAGCTATATGTGACGCTGTACGTAAAATGTTATTTCAATCATAGTGCGGTAAGTAAAATATTGAAAAAAATTGATATTAATTATGAACTAACGTAAAGTTATACGTACATATATTATGATTGTGCGATTCATCTAACCTAACCTGATCTACATCTCGTCGAAAATTAATAATCGTGTAATTCATTTATTCATAATAATAATCAAGTTATAAGATTACATATTTTTTCATAGCATTGTGTGAGTAGAGCATCTTGGCAGGTAAAACATGTCACGACATGTAAATTTACGTAAATTTATTTTTAAAAGTTGTAACTGAGATGTTTAACTTCGAATTTATAGACTTGACCGGTTTCATGTTCTGCGGAGAATGAGGATTACCCAAGTATGAATGATAAGGATGTCATATCTGATAAACTATGTGAAAATAAATCTATTAATACGCTTAAATCGTATGATACGACTTCCAAGACTAGTATGAAAATGTTTATTCTTCCACCTAATGTACTGCAAAACATTTCCGTCAATGGTAACATCTTGTGAATATTCATATATATATATATATATTTATGTGTGTAGATATATCTTTAATATTCTTTAAAGCATGAGATCTTAAAGCTTAATAATCCTAACTTCTGTTTTATTGTTGTCAGAAATACCAAGGAAATGTAACGAAGAAACATTAAGCAGTAATTGTCCTCATATTATTACTAATTATAAGTGTGAGGGCACATCTGATGACTTAAAAACACACGACTGTAATTGCACTCATAAAGGAACATTGCTTTCTACTTGGAACAATCCGAAAGTCTCTATTAGATTTGCGGGAAACGAATCTGACAAAGTAGAACGTAAAATAGATACAGAGTCAGATGATGCAGAAAGAGACAAAACAATTACAAAATCATGTGATGTAAACAAAGTACCTGTATCTTCAAGGTTAGTTACTATACACGATGCAAGATGTGAAACTAAATTAATGCCTAGAAAGCATCTTAATAGCAATATAAGTGATATTATCAGTACTGATATGAAAAAAGATGTAACATGTAAAACTGAAAAAACACATTTACATTATACATCAGAGATACCACCTGAAAAAAAGCAGTCATTATCTTCTCCAACTAAAGATGATAAAATGAAAGCATTGTTTACGGAGAGAAAGAATGTCGATGAAGAAGTTAATATGAGAAAAATTAAGGTTGTGAGAGCAAAGAGCAAAGTAACTACAACACCAGCTAAACCTATAGAGTCACTGCCTGCAGATAAAAATTCGATAAAGATTTGCAACGAAACAGAATTAACATTGGTCAAAGTTGAAAGTATTGCCGACCTGTCAATTCTCGGACAATCATCTGCGAATAGAATTCAGTCGGCATTAACGAATGTTAATTTAACGGAAACCTGCACGGTGGAAGATACGGTATACGACGAGCAGAAACATGACACGAGGCAAGAAATTCAATCTCAAGCATTCCACGATAACGCGCATTCAAGTTTAGGTACTTTTGTGTCAGAGACTACGAATACGGATTCACGAAAGATGGACGATGTAATACACGAAGATGCGTATCAAATGAACGAAACGGATGTGAAGGATGGCGAACAAAATCAGTTATCTATATCTGTGAAACCAGTCGCAAGGAAAAGAGGTAGACCCAGAAAGACGGTGAATAATAGTGCGAACGAAAATACATCAAAAAAGAAGCCGGAAGTCTATGGTACTCCTGATGAAAATATTTTGTTGAAATACTCTCTTAATTGGCTCCATTTCATCAATATATGCAATTCTCAGTTTAATTTAGTAGATTTCACACATGGTATATTTCAAACGTTTTTTTTTTTTATTACTTTTCAGAATTATATTTTAATTTTCATTATATTTCACAGCATTGAATTTCATGGTGAAAATTATAAAAATTTCCCTCAGGGACGTCGAAAGAAATTCCTGATACCACTATCGAAGTCATGGCTTGCGGTAAAAGACGCGCTAGTAAAATTGCGATTAATCAGGATGCAAGCGGTTCAAGCGACGGAAGCGAAATAACGGATATAGTTGAGACTGAGAAGCAAATTGGTCGAGGCAAAGGACGTCGCCGAGGTCAAAACCGAGGTCGTCATGGTCGGGGTCGAGGTCGCGGTAGAGGAACAGTGCAAGATTATTCAGATATGGAGTACATACCTAAAACTGCAGAGAAAAAATATGTTTCTCAATCGAAAGAAACAAAGAACGAATCGAATTTACATGATGCAGATGCGGCGGCAGCTGACATAGAAATCGGAAACATGGATGCTGCGAATATCGCGAAAGATGTAAGTTGCGATAGGTTTGAAAAATTCGTATTGTATGCGACAAGTAACTCGGGTGAAACTTTTGCCAACAGATGCAATTGGTAACGTGTGCTAAATGTGAGCAACAAGTACTGAAAAAACAATGGCATTCGCACAACTTATATCGACACAATAACATGGCCTGGCGACAAGATGAAGTAAAATTGGTATTAACCTAATTTTCAATAATACTACGAAATTTTTCATCGCGTGAAAAAATTTTGTACAATAAACACAAGTGTTTCTTTACAGGATTTTGAAAATGACATTAAATTGTTAAGGAGTGTACTATCGTTTGCTGTGAAGAAAAAGAAAAATTTGACTTGTGAAAAATGTGGATCCGCAAGACGAAGCGCCAGTGGTTTTATATCGCATATGCAATTTTGTGGAAAATCACAGGAAGTAAGTATAAGAAAAAAATCTATATATACATGTGTATTTTACTTTGATCTATTTTTGTCATAGGAGAAACAAGCCCTGATGATGACATGCCCCATTTGCCACGCTGTTATGATGCCTTCCTCAATGGAAATACATGAGCGTTATCATAGACAATTGGAACGAAATAAAAGTCAGGAAGTGCCGGCTGTACTGACGGAAAAAGTTAAACGGAAAGCGGCGGAGAAGTAAATTGAATTAAATATATTAAAATATAGAGATTGTGCACACACACTCATACACAAAAGTAACAAGTGTGCAATCCATCTCTCGTGTATAAGCGTACGATAAAGTGATATGTATCTCCCAATTACAGAGCAGTACCAAAGATACAAAAGTATGCCGAATCTATGAGGGAACAAAATCCATGCACGACAAGAAGAATCAAGCTTGATTCAACGACGCTTGTACGCTTTTAACTTTAGTTTTACATTCATTATTATACCTTTACATAAACACATCCAAGTATACAATACGCGCGTCAATGACCAATTTTGTTCTTTGGATAATTTAAAATATTTCGGACTATTAAGACGTTTTTTTACACATTTAGAAAAATGCGATACAAGAGCCGGAATTGAAGAAGAAAGTACCACCGGTTTGGAAAGGTCTATGGAAGAAAGAGTTGGCTTCTCGGGGTTCTGTATCCTGCAGACAAATAGGATGCACTTATATGTGTTCCTCCTACAAAAGTATCTGTGAACATTATTCTCAATGTAATTTTACTCCGCAAGAGGTACATTTCCTTACATTCCCTAATCGCAACTACATCTGAGATAAGACGAACATGTAAGCATAAATTAAATTATTTCTTTTCCATTTTAGAATTTTATGTGCAAAATTTGCAAGTTCTTGGCAGATACTAGAGACGAGATTGAGAATCACATAGCGAAATCTCATTCGAACGAAGAATACGTGAAATGTGACGATGATGACTTTAAGAGAGACGACGAGGTAATTTCATCAACTTCATCAGATGAAAGTATATCTGAATTCAACGACGAAATCGTACGAAAGATCCGTTCGTCCGCAAGGGTAACGCAAGTAAGCTCCGACAGTACAAGTAAGTCGAACAGACGTATCGTAACCGTTTTGAACGTTCGATCATGGAATCGCGTTAGTCGTTTTGAATGTCAGATATTTCAAGAAAGGCCTCTGAAATTTTAGGAACAAGCAATAAAGCCTCTTTTTTGAATAAAGAGCAAAAACCATATTCAATCGAATCTTACAAGGCAGCTTTATACTGGACTCTGACCTTGTAAGTACTCGCGCGCAAAATTATTTTCTTCTATTAAACAAGGGGAAAAACCCCCTTACTTATTTACGACTTTTATTTCATTGCTGCAACAGTGAGTCGAAAAATTTCGAGCTTGACTTATTCCAAGATTACATGCCGAATGCTTTCGCGTTATTGAAAAATGAAGATGCGGCAAAGTATCTCCCAGAGCTAATGAGTTCAATGGCCGTCAAATTTGTAAACGCCAATTCATGGAAAAATACGGACGATTCTGTCAGTGGTAACTGGAAGCGTATGAGCAGATTCGAGGGCAACATTTACGAAGGTACGTTTTGCTACGCTGCAAATATTTAGCAAGGTAAAGTGTCCGTTCTCTCGATGCGCTTAAAAATCAATACGTACGTATCGCTTCAGATGTGCCGACATTTTTCACCGGTGGTCCCATATGGGCGTCAGCCTGGCTACCTATTCCATTGCCGATGTATACCAAAAATCCTACGCAATATGTCGCGATCAGCACGCATCCCACTATGGAAAGCGAGTACGCAGTAGGAAAGAGTTATACGGAATCGAACGTCATACAAATATGGGATGTCGGACAATTGGATCACAAGTAAGACTCGAAGCTATTGGAAGAGCACGCTCTGAGATTGCGCGTGTCCCCACAACTAGTCGGAACTCTTTTTTAGTGAACCTGATTGGCTGAGGAGTCACATTTAAAGCATTTTTATTGAGCGATCTTTTCGTTTTACTTCATCGAATAATTTTTACTTTAAAAGTGTGTTCTTTCCAGAAATAACAGTACAAGTCGACCGCCTACTTTAGCGTACGCTATTGCGCACAATAGCGGTACAGTTTGGTGCTTGGAATGGTGTCCGTCCGGATGCTACCAGGATGTCGGTCTTTGTAATTATAAAACGGAAGAAAGAAAGGGGGAGCTCAGACGAATGGGATTGCTCGCGGCAGCATGTTCCGACGGATGTGTAAATATTTACTCGTTACCGTTTGCGGACGAATTGAAATTCGAAAGAACAGAACATCATTCGTGAGTCTTCGTTGCGATTTCATTGCGATCCTCGTTGCTTTCAGTAGCACGTTGTTTTGATTTTTCTCTCACATCAAGGTGGCCGATTTACAAGACCGATCCGATAGCAACGCTGATAATAAATCTTTCCAAATATGATAACAACAAGCAGAATTGGCAGTGTAGTAAGCTATCGTGGACAAAGGAACGCGGACACGAGTAACACATTTTTTTATCCATACATTTCTCGCCAAACCGCATTCTAGAAAAATAACGTTGATGTCTTTTTAGTATCATTGCGGCAGGCTACACGAACGGTTACATAGCATTGTGGGATCTCACCACTACTTCGCCTCTGTTGCTCAACGTGCGAAAAGATACGAGGTTTATAGACGCGTTCCAACATTTTTCCGCTCATCACAACGCAGTCAGCAGTGAGTACAATCATTTTCACATGAAGGAAAAGGCGAAAAAAATCGTTTGATTCTCTTTTGTCGCACGCGCTCAGTGGTAGCATTGGTTCCGTACCACGAGAAGCGATATCTAGCTTCCGCTAGTGTGGATAGATCGTATAAATTTTGGGACTTGGAAGAGACGAGCATGCCGCAAAACCATTTACAGAGGGGTATAATAGTGGACGGTGCGTGGATGACACATTGGCCTTGCTCGGTTATTAGTTCGGACGATGCACTCGGGTAAACTTTGTCATACGCGAGTCAGAACGATGACATTCGCGCGACGATAATAACTAATTATGTATTTTAGATTCAACTATACGCATTCCTATGTAATACCTCTGAGAGAACATGGATATAAATATTGTCCTATTTTGGCGACCAATGCACCAACTTACGTAAGCTTACTTACTCGCGTATTATGTTTAGATCTCTCTAATTGAGTAGTGAATGAGACTTCACGTTTCAGGCCATCACCGTTTCCGATTATGCTAACTGTATTGCGCATGGTACATTAGCTGGAGAAATATTAACCATCTTTCCTCATCAATTATTATATACGGAAAAACTTTTACCCAGGAAAAGGCAGGTAAAAGAGAAAAGAAACTTTCATTTCGTTGCATTCGCACATGTACGATCTTTTTAATTGGAAACTTTTCTTTTTTATAACAAAATCTCCCGTCTCCTTCCTTGACGCAGTTAAATTCTTTCGTCAAGACGATAGATTTTTTAAAAGAACAGCAAAACGTGTCTGGCAAAAACAATGAGAAAAAAAACGATAAAAAGACTTGCAAGGATTATCATTATATGCCGGCAAACTATCGTGAATGCGAAAACCGTTTCGGTATTATTTTTCACGATAATTTAATGGTAAGTGGTCGATTTTAATAACGATTTATAGGCATATAATTCGTTGTTTATCCGTTTTCTATCGTACAGGATTTGAGACAGAACGTCAGAATGGGTAAATCGCACGACACTTTGTACAATCATCAGTTGACATCCGTTCCTGTTGAACAACATCCATTCACATCTGTAAACAGGGTGAGTCACTGATGATTTCTTTTAAATTTTTCCCTAAAAACAGTGTAAAATATATTGTTCAAACAGTTTGAATTTTCTCGCTGCTTTTATTTTAGCAAAAGAGAGAGAGAGAGAGAGAGAGAGAGAGAGAGAGAGAGAGAGAGAAGAACTAAGGGAGATCTTTTTAGAAATTTTTCATATTATATAAATTCTCGCTCACACATACCTTTGTAATCAAATTAAAATTCTGCCAAAGTAAATTTTATCAAGTATTACCATTTGGCTTTGCGAAGCTTGGAAAAAACCTTTCTCTCTTTCTCTCTCCTAATCGCATAATCCGAGATGTATTCCTCGTTAAAAAAAATAACGAGTATAATCAGAAATAAAAAAATATTCGACAAGGCGAAATAAATCAATCTTTTAGATGTCTTGGAATCCAAACGCATGGAGCTATTTGTGGCTTATGGTGAGCTATCAGAACGGTTTAACAAGGCTATTGAATTTCAAATCCATGTCCATACGTGAAGTGGAGACTTTGCTGTCAACGCACGCAAAATCTTGGCTTGCTAAAGCAGCGAATCCATCGACTCAAGAAGTGTAAAATTTTATTCGTATAGAAACCGCTTTACGCAAATGAAATTTTGTATAACCTGTTTCTATTTGTTTTCATTAAGATGATACACTTAGATACTTAAATTAAATTGGTTTGCACCTCAGTTCACTCCTCCCTTATAGTAATAAATAAATATTCGTATCACAGAATTCATTCGAGTGAAATCTTTCTCCTCATTCGCAAAATCTAATCGTAACTCACGTCTTTGAGAAAATAATTTTCCGTGTCTGATTTTATTCGTAAATTCGAAGAAAAGTGTTGACGAAAGTCAAAGAGAATCAAGTGACGGGCAACTCTGAACAAGCCTATCGCCGGCCCTGAAACACACGTGTGACGTAGCGGCGAAGTGGAGAAGACTGGTTAGCTTGTTGGTAAAGCAAAAACGTCACGACGGAGGCGAGTCTGCGATCGCTATCACCGCGCGGCTTCCGGCCTCTCCGTTTTGTCCAGTACAGTCGTTTTTCACACATCATAACCGCGAGTATTCGTATCGAACCACAACAGCGGTAAGTGCGATCTGAAAGGATTATGTTTTCGTTCGCGAAGCGAATGAAAATTTTCAAGCCGTTTCGTCGGCTAGCGCTCGGAAATAACGTCGATTATCGAAATTTAAGAACTTTACGCACGCGATGCTTACCACATTATTTTTCTGATTTTGCTGAATAGAGATAGAAAGCGAGAGAATGGGTCTCAATCCCATGAAATGGAAAACGAGAACCGTCGTGTACGGTATCTTAGGGGCCTTACTTTTCTACGTGCTATTCGTTTACAAGAAGAAGCAACAAGTAATACACGAAGTCGTCGTAAACGATTCAAATCCCAAACATGTGTGGGAATTTGTGGCTGACTTTAGCAACATGAAAAAATTGAATCCCACGATGTAAGTAAGAATTATTTTCAAGTGGTGCCTTTTTTTGCGAAGTCCCCTTTCTTTTTAAAACGCTTCATCAATTCGTACTACCACAGAGAGGACTTCAGTGTGATCGCGGAAAGCGGCAATTACGATCACTGGAAATATACCGTGCAATACACAGAACATCTGAGCCATCTGCCGATGATCCGTAACGTAGCGCACGGGCAATACGCCGTAAAACCCGACGACGACGGCTACGTTATCAGTTCTAAACATCGGACTTGCTTCTTCCTCGATTTCGGATGCTGTAAGTAGACGCAACCTTTGATCGGCGTTGGCTCCACTGTTGACAGAATCTAGTATACGCATTATTATTTACGATTCTCCAATCCGATTCTTATTCGCATTTCAGTGGAGTCTATTTCGCAATTCAGATTCGATGTGGACGGTACGAGAGATACGAAATGTATCGAGACCGTGCAATACGAATGTCCGATCGCGTTCTCACCTCTGTGCCACAGAGAAGTCGTGTATCAGCGGAATGAAATAATGAAGAGGCTCAAAGCGGAATTCGCCAGTCGATCGAAGTGAATTACACGCGCGTCGTGTATTTAGCAATATCTTTCTCAATAAAAACATTTCGTTACACATATCGATTAACCGAAATCACTTTTGGCCCGTTCTTTACAGTTGAACCGGCTGCACATGGTTCGAAAAATATAAACACACACGTTGAAATGTATGAAGCGTATGTACAAGATTCTCATTCTTTCTTCAACTAGTGTATAATAGTTCGGTTATAAAAACTAAATTACCTGTGTCCTCTCCAGAAAGCAACTCCTGTAGCGGAATTATTCCCGATATAAATCATTCGTAACTATTCGATTCGCATACGATATAAAATCGCGAATATTGCAACGCGATTATCGATAACTTGATCGTCGATTTATACAAACTGGATAGATGGCAATCGATCAGAGGCTTGAATCAATCGTAACTATTCGTAATTTGCTGGTGATATCCAATAAACGTACTGCTTTTACGGAATAGCTGTACATCACTCACAAATATACGAATAGTTATGAATGAATCACAGAAATAACAGGTTTACGGAATTTCTAGATCCGTTCTTTCTGTAATTCCACAATCTCCGCTACGAGCCACTACTATACTTAACGAGAAACTGAGGTCGTGATATGATTAAACGATGGATGTATTTTCTATTTCTCAAGTAGTATGACTCAAGGGCTGGTCAGACTTATTTTCCATTATAATGAAACGTAAGCGAAATTCAATAGGCTGCAATTTTCGCGATAATGATGCTATATCGAGATCGTTCAAAAAGCATTTTGAAGTGCTTAAAGCAAGAACAATCGGACTGATGTAATAAAAATATTTTATTATTACGCTTTCTCTTCCTCTTGATAATAATTTTGCCTTTTATATGCAGCAAACCAACTGGGATTATTTTTGGAATTCGTCAGGTTTACGCATATTTAACATGCAAAAATGCGATATAATCTTATAAATATAATTCTAATTTTTCAGTCTTAATTTTCTTGTATTAAAGTGTGTGTAACTAATATATTACTTTGTGCCTACACCTTGTATATATGTGTAATGGATGTATGTAATTTGACAGCAGATCACCTACTGCGCATAATTGTCAATTCATAGGTTCGTTTCGTCATAATTTTTGTGTTTCGAAATATGAGAAACAAAAATTGTTGCAACCGTTCTGTAACCGAGTGTACATACTCACTTTTCAAACTTCTCGCAGCTGTTTACGGCGTAACGCGGTTATCGGTACTGTCCACTAGTATGACCAACGTACGAGTATAAAATTTCCGATAGAGAGGTAGAGTGACGAAAAAAAGACAGAGAGAGAGAGAGAAAGGAAAAGAGAAGGTGCTGTGGAAAAGTCAACAATTTGTCGAAAACATCGCAGATGCGAGAGCTCGCAACGTGCGCATAGAAAAGGAGAGAGAGGAAGCGAATCTTTTATATTTTTATTCTCGTTTAAATAGGATATACTGGTCGTTTGTTGCATTTAGCGGTATCCGCTTGTACGTTTGTATCTCAGCAACTGAAAACATGTCCAATAAATTCGAAACGTAAGTGAAAGCTTGGTCGTTCTTCTTTATTTCATCGTGCGTGTCCCCATGGACGGTGTTTCGAGGTTAAACAGTGTTTTGGATACACATTAAAATCATTCGTCAGTCAGATAAATGTTTGCAACATCGCTTGACACAGTCGTTTGGCAATCTTAATTCGCAGCGGTCTAGACAATCTTGACTCGACGATATAAGAAGCGACGGATTCGGACGAGATTCTTTGAAAATTTATTTAACGCTCGCATGTTCGACATGTAATTCGACGGTACCCCTTGATTGCGGATAACGGACAACGTCGATGTTGCGACGGCGGTCTAGATAATTGCAACGTTAACGATATCGTTAATGCGTTTGAAACATATGGCAAGGTTAATGTATTGCTCTCAAATGCATTATGAGCGCTTTGCTCCGTTCTGTTTTTATATAACAAATGTCCTGGGAATAAATACCATCACACCTGACTTATCTCATAAATTGACAGCGCTTACAGATTGAAGGCTACCGAGGACAGCGGAGACGAGGAGTCCCAATCAAAGGATAATCAAAAAGTCGACAAGGGTCCACTAGTAAGTGACATAATCTATATGCAAAGATTTCGTAGGATATTTGATATATGATGACATATGATTAACAAGTAATTCTGTTTACAGCCTCCGATAGAAATAAGTCCAAACGAACATAAATTACAGTATGCTTATGCACTCTGGTATAGTCGACGTAGTCCTGGCAAACAAACTAGCATACAAAGTTACGACCAAAATTTAAAGTTGATTGGTAGATTTGCCAGTGTGGAGCAGTTTTGGGGTCTTTATAGTCATTTATTACGACCTTCAGAATTAACTACACATACAGACTTTCATCTTTTTAAAGTTGGCATAAAGCCTATGTGGGAGGTTAGTGTTATTTGATTCCTTCCTTCATATAATATGTACAAAAATTTTAGTGTTTGCGTTATTTTTTAGGATGAAGCCAATCAAAAAGGTGGTAAATGGATAGTAAGATTACGAAAAGGTTTAGTATCTAGATGTTGGGAGAATCTTATATTGGCGATGTTAGGAGAACAATTTATGGTAGGGGAAGAAATATGCGGAGCTGTTGTATCTATAAGGTTTCAGGTAAATCAGCTTCATCTTTATATTTTTAAAGATAATATACTACGTGGGGGAGTGATATTCTCCCTCTCTCTCTCTCTCTCTGTATATATATGTACAGTACAGTTTATGTCAGAGATATAATAAATTGAGAGTCACTTTTCTATTTGCATGCAGGAAGACATAATATGTGTATGGAATAAGACAGCGTCGGATGTAGCGACAACAGCGCGGATTAGAGATACGTTAAGAAGAGTATTACATCTTCCAACTAGTGCCTCTATGGAGTACAAAACCCACAATGAGAGCTTGAAGAATGTACATCGGCTCTAAATTTGTATGATTTTCGAGCACGAAATGTTACGAGTCTTCGGACAAACTCACAGGTAAAGTAAAAATTTGGATATCATGTCTTCAACATATTTTTAATCCGACGTTCTTTCGTTGCATCTACATTTGTTGTGTGATTTATCTTTGTAAATATAGCTCTGATTCGTATCTCCCGGAAGATCGCACATCTGTTTGACAGGATATAAATAAGACGCTGAAAAATCAGAAACATCCATTTGACGGTACACTTTATTCACAAGTGTCTGTATTGTAACTTATGTAAATAATAGATACACTCATTGGTAATAAATAAATGCTCTTATTTCCAAACTGTGCAATATCGAAATAGCTTATTCTTACGATTATTTTTACACACTTTTTATCTCTATCTAATTTCGTGAAAATAAATCTTGAAATAATTTCCTCTCTCACCCCAATTTATTCTTCTACATTAATCGCAAAACAGTATCCGTAAAATAAATTCATCGAATTTCAACCATTAATATTTGAACTTTACTTTCTCATGATCTAGTTTCTCGTTATAGGTGTTATATATATATTATATCTTAATCTCTTCCAATGATAGAATAAAACAACAGGGAAAATGTACTCTGTATTGCAAACATATTTAATACTTAAAACTCAAGCCAACTTTATACATAGGAAGACCAGCTGTACATGAGATCATGTCACACGATGACTATTGCGAATGAAAAACTGTATCACAATAACTCTATATACAACATCAAGATTTTCGTAAGAGTTAGCGCGAGGTGTGCGGATATGAATATTTTTATGTTATATCGTATTTTATATTATGTTACATGTGTATCTTTCATTACGTTATAAACAATTTATTTTCTTGTATAAAGCGTTTTTTTCGATACATGTGAACACGCGCGCGCGCGCACACACACACACACACACACACACACACACACACACACACACACACATACACACACACACACACACACACACACACCTTTCTCTCCTTCCATCAAACACGCACATGCACGTATATAAACGCGAGCACGCGGTAATAACATCACGTTAATTTTCCCAGAAGAGAAGGCCTGGAAATATATATATAGCTCACGAGCCAGAATCGTACACCGTACTGGCTTTCGTGATGCCTCTCCCCACACAAAATAAGACTTTTTCTGTACAGCAAATAAATATCAATATCTCAGACGATATAATATTGAAATACTATCGTCTATAGACTAGAGTTGGGTATATTCCGTAAGAGGCCCAATATAAACAAGTCTCATATCAATTGTGCTTTTATCCCACGATAATCTATCTTGCGTGTACAAAGTTGTCCTTTATATGTACAAAAAGCTGAGAATTATATCTTTGAAATGATAATTACCACCATACCTGTAGCAAAATAAAATGATCTTACTTGTTACAATTCATCAAGTATAAATTGTATGCTTACCTAGTACAAACGAGAATATTAGTTTAAAATTCATAGAGAGATGGAGATAATCAGGCACTCTATTATTCTGTTCCCCTTCTGTAGGTAAAAGCAGTCCGGCTATGCATATAATTCCCGCGACGAGCGCTACATAATTTGTACCCCCTAAAACATGACATAACGTACAACCTATAATGAAAAAAGTCTCGAAACCGACGGTATGGAAATGTGTACGATGTATTTATGTCGGTATTAAGGATCTCTCCTTCGAAATAGCTTCCCCCTATTCACATTTATCGATATACCGATTTCAGCATTTCCCTAGGTCCTTGAAGTAGTCATGTTGAATTCCGAATTTCAAGAATCTTTAGGAATGCTAGAAGTGATGTATCGTATGATATAACAGAAAGTCGTTCGAAGGAGATACTTGGCATCAACATATAAATACACATTGATACATCGTCGATCTCGAAATTTCCCGCTCATAAATTACACTTTATAGCTGCAGCGAGATGCTTGAATTTTTAAGCGCATCCATTTGCACGTTTTATAAAAGTTCATACAGAAATGAAGGCATTTTGCCTGAATCGCTTGATGAAAAATCATGCCCTCGAAATGCATATACTTTCATATATACTTGCTGCATTAATGCGAAAAGTAAAATGTAGTCGTACAGGAAACCATTTCTACTCTGATTTCTGTTTCTACACGATACAGACCTCGTATACCTAAAGACTCTCAGGCTTGGTTTAAAGTAATTCTTGTAACTGCCGTGTACTCACTGTCCACCGCTCTATTTTGGCTTATAAGCGCATAAGATTGTTGTTGCCTGGTTGTTTCATTAATCGGCAGTTGATGAAACATATCTGGATCTGGTGTTGACCTCCCGACAGTATCGCTTGTCCCCGAAAGTAGCTTAGCTTCGACATCTCGTTTACCAATTGCCTGACACAATATACTTTTAAATATTTCAATTTTTCATGACTCTCTTTGGTGATTTAATACTTTTCAGCTGTGCATTTTGATTATCACCTGCTTAGTAGGATGTTCTTGCATATGTATTCTGAACTTATCAATTACATTGCAATTACTTATTAACGGCGCTGTATGTCTGATAACAATATCAACACAGCATCGAGCTTTTATTGTGCCTTCTGGATCGACAACCTTGTATTTGTTTGGTGCAGTGCATAAAACTAAGATATTAGGATTAAACAGATATACATAAAGAAATTCAAGATCTGCGTCGAAAAAAAAAAAGGATGGATACCTTTGAATTTTACTGGGAAATCATATGGGTTATACAAAGTTAGCACTTGTTTGTGGGTAGTCTGGTTGTCTAAGAAGAATGTAATGCTTTGTGGAAACACAAAGACTGGTAACTTCCGAGGCGTGGCTACTAATGGTTGCATTGTGCTTGTTCCTTAGTCTTAGATTGTCCATGCACCTGCAAAATTTAATAACATTTGACTATGTCATACATACATATATATACACATGTTGCACACGTACTTTTGCTACGATTGATTTCGTAAATTCGCGTACATTTCCTCGCGTACTATAGATTCGTGCATCGCGTGAAGCGCGTTTTCTGAATTAACTGAAACGAGGTTATTGAGGACTATAATCTAATACGCATGAAGTTAAATAAGAAATGTACACGGCACAAAAGGTGAGATTGCGCGCGGACATAAGTATGATGTACGCACCTTGAGATTTATGTGCTTGCAAATGACTGAAGACGGTAACAATGAGTGAAAAGTTAACTGTCAGAATCCACTGAAAAAGAAAAAAAAATATCAATGAATGCTGATTGTCACGCTAGGTAAAAGCACGAACACAATGAAACTTGACGATTCACAGTAAATAAAAACAAGTCAATCGACCTTAGCGCCGAGGCAGCAGCGGATGAGTGAGAGAATATTTACAAACAATTAAGACTCATCCGATGCGTCGCTATAAGCAAAATACACACTAGGCGTCATGTACACTCGGCGTTGTGTATGCCTTTATATGTGAAGTTGGGCACTTCCGAGTCGAAGACATCGAACATTTTCGAAAAAGCGGAAGGTTGATCAGCCACTGCGTGAGTCACGTGTTATTCCCCCATATTCCCCGCGTATTGTTCATAACGGGAGCCATTCGTTGGTGTGTTCCGATATTCCCTGCCCGTAATGCCCCTATCATACAATTGGATGGCTTTCCACCAAATGCGTTCGGATACACTGAGTTTGTTCAGGGACTCGATTTATTCGTAACTAGTATAAGGGAGAATTGACGAAGCAGTAGAAACTGTCGACTACCAGCGCGATTGGCTGCTGTTAAAAATTCTCCCTAGATCTCAGATTTCCCATCATTGTTTCGGCAGTAAACATTGGTACACTTGTATATCTCATAACCTACGCGACACATAAATGGCCGGGTTATGACTTTTTACCGCGATGCATCATGCAATTTACTTGTACGCATAATAATCAGCGAGTATTCCTGACGTGACAACAAAAGAAAAAGGCAGAACGAATGAAGTCTAACGCATATTCACTGGCGCGTCGTATTATACAGTGCAAGCACGTGCTTACGTTGGTACCATCCCGCGCTAAAGATTGTAATTTTCAGCGAAACTTCGCATCTTATTACAAAAATATGCCGCGCTCTAATTCGCGCATTTACGACATACAAAAGTTGAGGCAGAAAATGAAAGGGAAATCTATAAAATATACTTCCAGTGCAAACGTGTCATTACAGGTTAGTATTGCATCATACCACGGTGTATCAGAGCGACCTGACTATCGCGTGCTGAAATGTATCAGGAAATATATATACACACGCATGCATTTTTCTCTTTTCTACATTAAGCAATATTGCTCTTAGATTCTGGGCAGCGGGGCTTATGGTGCACCAAGATGCGTTTATCTATCAGCAGGTCATATCAGCTACCTCTTCAATTGCGGAGAGGGAACGCAAAAGCTGGCGCATGAACACAAATACAGGCTGGTGAAGTTGGAACATGTGTTCATAACATCTGCTAATTGGGAAAACTTGGGCGGCATGCCAGGAATGTTGCTTACGATACAAGAAGCCGGAGTACCAGAAATCAACATACACGGTCCCAAAGGTACCGTAGAGATTTTCGACGCGATCAAGAGATTCGTATACCTGCACGATTTAAAAGTTCGCGAAGCTACATGCGACGAGTCGCAATCATATACAGATCAGGTGATGTCTGTTTCGTACATTCCCATTGCAAAGTCGACTGTGCAAGATGCAGAGTCTGTCGATTTAGGGGAAGCAGAAATGGTCGACAATATCAATTACTACGATTATCTGTCCAAGTCGAGTACTGAAAAGATATTCAAAAGTATGAAAGAGAAGAAGAACAAGTCTCAGACGATTGGACAGAATTCATGTAGGAAATTGATATCACAGGCGATGTCTTATATTTGTAAATTACATCCTCGGCAAGGCAAACTGTTATTGGAGAAATGCGTGGAAAAAGGTGTGAAACCTGGTCCTGTACTAGGTCAGCTCAAAGCTGGCGAGGATGTTACTTTGCCGGACGGCACCGTCATTTTGAGTAAGGATGTCTGTTCTCCGCCGATACCGGGTCCCATTTTCTTAGGTATGCTGACAGACAGTGTGGTCGGGTTGTTCTGGTTTACTTGAAATTTGATTTTTCAGTTGTGGAATGTCCATCGGAGGATTATTTAGAATCTTTTATAAGCCACCCCGCTTTTGCACGGCACCAAACGTCGGAAGAAGACAACGTGCCGCATTGCGTCGTTCACTTTACTCCTCAGCAGGTGATGGATGATCCTCGTTACGTGAACTGGATGGAAAAGTTTAGCTCCTACACGCGCCATATAATCGTAAATGAAGAGAACAAGTGTATGGGTACCGAGTCATCTCACAAACGTCAGCATCAACTTCACATGTTACATCCCGAGATATTTCCCTTTTTGAACGCAGACTCCTTTCAGAAGAAAACACGGGTTAGCCGCGTCGTTTGTATGTTGTTAATAGACTGTGATCGGCATTACAAGATCTTTCTTTCTCATAGGCGGGAGATCCGTGCATCGTGCATCGTTCTAGAACGAATCACACTGTCCATCTGCTGCCGGAATTAAAATTCGATACGGAGAACGAGGTATCGTTGCATCCGAAGGAATATGTAAACGAGATATTTGAGGTCAATGGCTTTTTAGACGCGTTGGCGGAGCTACAAACTAATATTAACGCTCAAACAAAAGCATTGTCCATCGTAAACGATTATCCGAAGATCCTTGTTCTGGGCACTGGCTCCAGCATACCGAATAAGGTCCGAAACACGAGCGGCATAATCTTACAAATAGACGAGAACCATAGTATATTGTTGGATTGCAGTGAGGGTACATTCGGGCAGATTGCGAAATTTTCCGGAAGATCCGAGGTGGACGATATCATGCGGTCAATTAAGGTACGGGAATCGTGTCTCCTTTTTTCATAACCGATGAGCTAATAGGACGAAGTTTCCACGGTGAATTTGATCGGGCTTTTCTAATACAACTCGTCAGAGTATACGAAAAGAGTTCAATATACAGAGGACTGTGACAGCCAGAAAAAAGCTATTTTTGTGCATTTTTTCGCGAAAGATAATAAATAGCAAGAATTTTTGTATTCATCATATATTCGAAGTATATGTCGTGAACAAATAATATCTGTGTCTGAAATGGAATATTCCTCCCGAAATGAAATGATCAAGTTCTGCGTTTACTTGATTTACTACTACGATCGAATTGAATTTCCAGGCGATCTACGTGTCACATCTGCACGCGGATCATCATATCGGATTAATTGGTTTGATGAAACAACGAAGAAAAGTTACGCAAGATCCCTTGTACCTGCTCGCACCGGCGCATATAGTCGCATGGTTGCAGATGTATCACAAACGTTTCGAGCCCATTTTGCATCAAATAACACTGATATCGAACAACGAGTTCTTTATGGACGTACATAGACTGGCGGATCGGAAGTATAACAATATGTACAAGACTTTGAATGTGCGAGCCGTGAGGACGGTATACGTTAAACATTGTCCTTACTCTTACGGTGTTTCGATAGAGCTCAACAACGGCAAGAAAATAGTTTACAGGTGTGTGAATATAATAATCCATCACCGTGCGATTTCCTTGACACGCGAATGCACGCTCTTTCCGTAATTTCAAGCCATTTAAATATGATATTTAGCAGCTTTGATTATGTTATATTTTCAGCGGTGACACTATGCCCTGCGAGAATCTCGTGAAACTTGGACAAGACTGCGATCTACTGATTCACGAGGCGACGTTGGAGGACGATCTTGCAAAAGAAGCAAAGTTAAAGTTTCATTCGACGGTGTCGCAAGCTATACAAGCGGGCGAAAATATGAGATCCAAGTTTACGCTATTGACGCATTTCAGCCAACGCTACGCGGCCATACCTCATTTACCAGAAAACGAGAATGACACTAGACTACGTAATGTCGGTATCGCGTACGATTATATGCATGTCAGTCTATCACAATTGCCGCTTTTGCCTTTCCTGTACCCGGCATTGAAAATCATGTTTTCCAAGCATTATGTGGAATTGGAAGAACGTGCCGCTAAGCGGCAACGGTTGATGAATTAGTAATGCTTGAATGCCTATCTTGAGTATCATTCTATATATAATAAAGAACTACGTTACGACGAGTGTATCGATCGAACTTTTCGTTTGCCTTGTTGTCGGTCGTGTTAATTCAATCATGTATCATTCTCGGCTGAGCGTTAGTCGTCTTGATCTTTTCAGCTGCGTTATAACTATAAAATATTATATTTTTATGCGCAAAGAAATGAATATTATGCGTTTGTGTCGCTTCTACACCCGGTTCCGTGCTTTAAATCTAAAACAACTCGAGGATAGTATTACATCTAAAGAAAATGTTAGGGACTCTAGAAATTCTCTATCCAATCGGCAGATCCGACAAACTCGTACGACGCATCCCTAATTTTTCAAATATCGATGATTTTGCCCATCGTGGACACAAAACTTAATTCTCATTACGTTTCGATCCTCCAGGTCGATTTTTCGTTGAATATAGTAGCTTGAAATTACCAATTCAAAGCACGACGGGTCGGGTTTCTCGCGACGTCGTTGGATGTCACCACGTTAGAGGCCGGTGAAGGTTTGGCTAATTCCGCTGGATGGCGCCAAGCCGGCATCTTTGTTTAGATTAATTGCCACTACGCGAGGCTTGTCTCTGTCTGTCTCGAAGAGTCTAGTTCGTCGGTTCTCTTTTTTTTCTTATTTCGGTCAATTTCAACGTCACGCGTGGCTACAATTTCTCGAAATGGTTGGTACCAAATGCTGCAACAATGTGTACGCGCTTTTGGCGATACTCCTATTGTTGATAGAAACAGGTGAGGTTAACGGCCAAACAGGTAAACACCCCGTTTGGGCGGGGCATATATATACAGGATCTGTTCACGATCCAAGATTTCTCCAGATCTCTCGCGCGGGCTCCAACCAAGTGTTACAGAACAAAAAACAAATTGATTATCAGGAAAATATTGTCACTTCTCATCTAAATGTATAAAATGTACTCAAATTTAAAAAAAATATGAATCGCACATAAAAAAAAAAGGAAATATCGTTTTCCTTACGTAGTTTGATTTGGCTCTTCATTCAGGACATAGCATCCGATGCTATCAGTGCAATAGCACCAGCAACGAATACCCGTTCCAATGTAACGAGGTTTTATCGAGCGACGTGGATTTGCAACCGGAAGCGTGCGATGATGTTTACGGGGCGCAATATTGCGTCAAGCACACCGGCCGTTTCGAGGGTAAATGAAGTAGTAAAAAAACATTTCTTTCGGGAACTAAGGCTTGGAAATTCCTCTAACACGGTGCGGGGAAAGTTGATCAATCTCGGGCATGTCGGCGACTTTGCGCGATTCTCGATTTACGCACACATTCCGATCATTCAGGGTATTCTCTCTGCTACGAAAGACATTTACTAACCAGATTGTCTGATCGCATGTAAATAATTACCTCTACTTCCCTCCCTCCCTCTTCCTCTTGGAAGGTACATTTAACCGGGAAGTTTAATGCTTGCTTTCTTGATCGATGAAGCGATTGCCTTGGACTGCTACCAATGCACATCAGAGGATGAATGGAAATGTATGGATGATGAATTGGTTAAAAATTCCTTGATGCCGACAAATTGCAGTCATATTTATGGGGAGCGTTATTGCATCAAATCGGTCGGCCGTTACGGAGGTTCATATGTCATTGCATTTTTTGTGGTCAAGTGTGCATGGATGTTTCCTTCTCTGTTATGTATGTTTTATTCTTAGCCTACGATACTCAGAAGTGTATCGTAAAAAATTTTATAAAGAAATCACTTGGCGTAAATTGATAGTTGATTTTTATGTGATGTACGCATCAGAGATTATCATCCGTATCGTTTTAAAGAAACAAACCTGTAATCTATGACATCTCTCTCTCTCTCTGCATGTCGTGAATAACGCCTCTCTTTTATTACCGTTTTTAGTAGTAAGCAAGCAAGCACAAGCCTTATATATATTTTCGATATTAATGATCAGATGTGCAAGAAACCAAATTTCTTTCGTTTCGCATTTTTTCTCCTTTCTTTTTAAGGCTCTTATTTCTTCGTCGCAGCCATCTTTATTATTAATGAAGCAAGAAAATGCACGCCCAAAATTCTATACGTCGGAATAGAATTGAAGTAAAAAGATACGATGACCACAAAATGATATTTGTGATCGATTGCGCGCATTTGTAAAATATTTCTAAAACTTGAACAGTCAATACACAGCCGTAAAAACGTTAACGTGATCATGAGAAAAGATAAGCTAGAAAGGAAGGCTAATTTTACGATTATTCATCGATTGTTGGAGCAAAAGTTGGCAAATATACTCAATCGATCACAAGTGTCACTTTACAGACATGTTTTTTTTTTTAATTCAAGATATTTCGCTAGAATTTCGGACATACGTTTTCTCTAACGTATTCGCTTCTAACGTCAACGAACAAGATAACTGCAACAAAGTAGTCTTAACGGCTTTATCACCATTCTATATTTAGTATTAATAAGACTTCCCGGCAATGCTGTCGAGACACAGACTTGCTGCAGTAATAATTTTGCAACTACTTCACCACCAAGTTCATATCGTTCCGATTCCACTTGGCTTCAATTGCAATTTGAGAGAAACGCTGACATTATGTCTGAAAACAGGTGGCATCGGCACAAAGCGATTTTGCTCGGCTGTGCATATGGGAAACTATTGCGACTACGTAAAACAGCCTGGCGACAAGTTGACCTATCGCACCTGTGTATTCACATGCTCCGGCGATGGCTGCAATCTGGCAACGTCCGTGATGTCGACCAAAAGTACATGGATCGCGTCAGTGGGACTGTTGGTGACTTTGGGAAGGTTGTTTTACAGGTAGAAAGCAACTAATACGTACGAATATCCTTATTTGGAGCATCCGTCCAACAAACTGAAACGATCGTTCACTCGACAAATCGGAACAATAATCCGTAGGTAATTTGTCATCCGAGGCTGACGTTTCTTTCTTACGTCATTAAACAGATTCATCTTTTTTATGTATTCGCGTATACTCCGCGCATAGATAACTGGTGACAAATGTAACTTGTACCAAAGTGAAACATGCCCGTCCATTTTACTTATAACCAGAAGGAAAACTAAAAGAGTATCGTATAATTAAAATATCTCTAGAGCAGATGTATATGTTTGTATCGATCATAAAAAAAGAAAGAGGAGAAGAGAATGTATGTGTGTTAAGCGATTACTATTTATCAAGTTTGACTTAAGGAGCGAACAAAATACTTTTACATTGATATTAGCAATAAAACAAAAGTGATATGAGAGTAAATGTTTTTTTATTTTGCTGGGATATCCCGTTTGTCTCATATATCGTACATGTTTTCAAAACACACTGTATGTCAATTTATCAAATAAGCATGTGCCGATAATAAATTCACTTACAATTTGTAAGACATGCGTGTATTCTTTGGTATGCTTCTCCGCTTACCCATTTATTGTACACTATTGAGTTTTATGACGATAGATCGACAAATGTTACATTAGTATAAATACTGACACGGGTATCGCGGGCGAGTTTATAATTCGTAATGAAATTCGTGAAATTGACGTTTGCTGCAAAAACGATTGGTTGTATTCTTCTTCTATAAAAGTATCGTAAAAAAACGCTGGCTAGAATATAAGTATACTTGCGTGATCGTGAAGAAATATCTAACAAGCCATTATAAATTGATATCTTGCGCCAATATAAACTTTACGGATATATACTACCTCTATTACATAGATGCATGTATAAAATTGTGATACTTTTCATGAAGCGACAATTCACTGTATCCAATTCAATGTAAAGTTTTAACGAGGACCTTTTTTCATTCTTGTCCAATATTGAGATAGAATCTCGTCAAAAACCGTAAATTGTTAGTGAGTTCATGAAAAATAAAGATGATCAATCGAGAAACTAAGAAGCGATATGCGAAATGCTGCCGTATTAATAAGAATAACGGTTAAATCCCTATTGAGACTCACGTTCGTTACATTTTGCTTGTAACAAAATTCAAGTCAACTTGGGCAGTATGTGAGGTGCAGCATCCAGGTACTATATTTATCGATTTCACGATACAATTACACATTGTATGAAAAATACATATATAAACGTATAAATCGTTACACCATTTTATTATTGTTATCAAGCAGAAATATAATTCCGTGTAGTTTTCAATTACAAGACTAACGCTAGAAATAGATTCTAGTAAATCTGCTATCATATATTTTCTTCCAAGATAGCCATAGAACAAATGAAATCAACACTGAATGTAAACGTCACATTCTTCGAATCGAAGAGTATAAATAGATGTATCACTTGTATTTGTTCATCGCATTGATTATACAATGCACGGTAAACTTGTTAATCGCGCGTACGTTACATTATACATTGATCGTATAAAAAAAGAAAAAAAAAAGGTTTTAAGATAATCTTCGAGACTGCGAACGTAACATTGATCAAGTATATTATCACTGCCACGTATAGATTTCAAATATCTTATTGCCATCGACACAAAGGCAGTACTGATGGCAGTGAAGGATATATATATATATGTATGCGATAGCAAAAATGTTCGATACATAATAAATCACTTGTACATATCATATAGTTCAGCAGCATAGAGAGATATTGTAGAGCGTAATGCGTTCGCGCGCGCAAGAGATCGAGTAATAGATAGAGTCTGCTTTATTTGCCACGTTGGCAAATTGAACGCGAGTCAGAACGGGAATGATTGTGATGAACACGCAAAAAAAGTGTCATCTGTCTAGTGCTGTCTGACGACTCTTTTTATATCAAATTCTAAAGGTATAATTAGTTAAATAATGAACGAAATGGCAATATAAATTAATAAACAATTGGTTATAATGGACTAGTACCAAAGTACGATATTCTCGAAAAATAAAACGAGATAAAAACAATCATCTAACCGATATAATAATACATGATATATTACTTTTATGCTGCCATTCGTCTAAAGATATTGTGCTTTTCTTAATTCGACAATCTTAGCCACGTATGATTGTCGTGTGTGGAAACACACACACAATATCCAGCTTATACATCCAGGTATGCGTATACAGGTACAATTTTTCACGTAACAGATATAGCCTACTTTCTTGAAGCCTTCGTGGCCGATGTTAACGCGACAAATTTTATTCTACTTAAAAATGACGGACCAACCGTGAAAAATTTATGCTGCATTGAAATATTTCTGTGCTAATATCTTTCTTTTCTATGTACGAAACACCATCACGGAATAAAAGTCTCAAGCAGTGCATTGGTACAAAATTCTCGCAAGCTTAGGCTCTTCTCTCCCTTTATCATCGTTAATTAGTGCATAAATATGAATATTAAGTACCAATCGCTAATCACATTTCGGTGGTAAAGCTGCAAGAATTTTGCTCGAAGCCGAGATCGAAGCGAAATATTAGTCGCAAGTTTTATTGGCGCTGTAATTTTCTTACTTGGTCCTCTAACTCTTTAACGCGCAGTTGACTATTGGCAAGTTGCCGTCGTACGAGCCTCAATTCATCGGTTTGACGAGCGAATGCCAATCGAAGTTCCGCCTCGTTGTTCGGGACATCGACAGTCTCCATAACCTTGTTGTCGTTGAGCGGAGACGATATGATGTTTTTCTAACGGAAGAACACGGAGTCAGAGTACGCGACATAAAAACGCAACAGTGGATCAACGGTACATCAAGTTCGTACTTGCATAGCAACGTTCCCAAACTTTTGCTGAAGCTGCTGAAATTTAGTGCTTTGATTACTAGACGTTTTCTGACTTTTCTCCGACATATCGTGCAGCTCCACCGGTCTATAGTCCGGTATGGTTTCCGTGGACAGGAAGGCGAATTTCTTCTTGTTATTCAGATCGGTAGTTGGAGGCAATTGTGGTGGCTTGTATACTCGCGGCTTATGCGTAGAGATGCTACCACCTAATCAGATAATGATAAATAAGAGTAATGACAAATTCCGCAGCTCTTCACACAATGATACAAGACCTGTTTTAAGGGAGATCAAGACCGGTGGACTGTTCATGCCGCTGATCCAATCTCTAGCGGATAGCGCGGGGCACGTGCCAATGGTATCGGGGTAAAGATCTTCTTGGAATTGATCGCTCTGTAACACACAATTTGTCTCGATCCTTTTCTTTTCTTTCTTCAAATTGTGCGATGAGAAACGTTAATTCGAATCGTTCAATATGAGCGTGTAAATTCACCTTTCTGGGCACTATCATCGAGATTGGCTCGCACATCCCGCGGGTGGCGTGCAGCTTGTAAAATCTAAACACCTCACAGATAGAAGTGTGGATCCCTCTTTTTGGCATCATTCCCAATCCTCTCTGAGGATTTCCAGATATAAATTGACTGAGGTAATGCATCCAAGGAGCTTCATTGGCTGCTTCGTAGTAACGAATATTACCGTCACCCTGCAGGGAGAGAATGTCGTGAACGAACAGAGAGAACGCGACGCAATTTTGGAGTCCTTTCTGATGTTCTCACCTTCCCGGCTAGAAACACCATATTCGTATCGTTATCGTAAAATGGGAAGACCACTCCACTCGATGAATCGATGGTTTCGCACGTCAGTGGAACGGTCAAGTCGTGTTGACTCCATATCGCGTATTGTCGGTCCGAATGTCTGCTAAATCCAGTAGTTAAAAGACGTCCGGAGCTACCAAGGAATACCACTTTGCTGGCCTTGGTGCCGGCATGACAAACCCCTTCCTGCTCGATTGCACACAATTGCACACGAGTCCCTACCGAGTATAATTACAGGGCGAGAGCTGTTCGTTCATTACTTACCGAAACAACGATACCGGACCTCGGTTCGAAGACCCGCAATTTTTTATCCTTGCAAGTGGTCGCCAATAAGCTGCCGTCGCGGTTCAGCGATATGCTGTAGATGACATCGGGATGCCTGTCGATCACGCTCACCGCTTCGCACCTGTTTATATCCCATACGATAACGAGATGATCGAAGCCAGCGCTGAACAGCACGTTCTCAGCTACCGGATGCCATTCGATGTAAGCGACACGTCGCTTGTGCCCTTGCAACTCCACCAGCCATTCGGTCAAATTCCTCGACAGTCCGCCGTCGGGTATATGCCACAACTTGATCTTCAAATCAAGATCACGATTACGAGAGAGAATCGCCGATTACGAGCTATGCTTTTCTTACCGTACAGTCATCGGAACAGGACGCGATGATGTTGTCGTTGAATGGATTCCACTTGATGTCCAAAACGGGGCCGGTATGGCCGGTCACTCGACTCGCGTTGAAGTCGAGGCGCCCGGTCTGCAACACCGAAACATACACCTGATTTCTCTTCTCTCAGGCGAGACCGATTGATAGATCGATAAGACAACTCACGCGATCCAACGGTAACACCAGGAATGCTCCGCCACCTGCAACCTCCGTCACGACAGCCAGAAATTTCGGGTTTACCGCGCAGAATTGCGAATCGTGGGCATTCTTCGTGATCTTGATGTTATCGTAGCATTTCTCCCTCTTGGCCGGCACGCCGTAAACGTGCCGAAATTTGCTGCTTCGGACACCGCGAAACCACGACTGCAAATATCATTAGAGTTTCATTAACTATGGAGGAACGTTCGGAAGAAATACGTATGTGTTATTTTCGGGAAAAAAAAAAAACTCTCTCTTACTCAGAAACCGTGAAGAAAGAAAGTTGCGGCGTCGCGGACAGAAACCGACCGACCGACAGTTGGATCTTTAACGAACGCTTCTGATAATAATAAGACAAAGTTCGGGCACGGGGAGTGGGCGGATGGATGGAGGAGGACGGTGCACGTGGAGAAAGAGACGATCGAGACAAATTGACGGCACGAATGTGAAATCTCTTGATTACTCGCGAAGCGACGCGAATCCTTTTTACTGCCGCGCGCAGTGTAGCGCGGTGAGACAGATCGAATTATGCGACTTTTTCCCATAAAGAACGATTCAGCGAATCGCGAAAACTGGAAGAATCACGCGAAAGGATCGATCTTTTGCCCCCCGAAATAGAAATGTAACGAGCTATATATATCTCGCTTGCCGAGTATTAATAACTGCCACGTTATATAATTATGGTCTTATTTCTATTTCTTACAAAGCGCAATTAACGTAAGAATAGTAATAACAGATATAAAATCGAACAAATTTAAAAGAAGCAATTAGAGAGTAACTTTCAGAAAGAGAGGGAGAGAGAGAAACATTTCCAACTCTGCCTACGTGCATCGCACTTTTGCCACTGAAGAGCGAAACAAAAAAAAAACTGCCGATGATTCCATACCCATCGCGAGATACTTGTGGCGAGGGAGATCGATAACATATAAAAACAAATTACTAGCCGATCTCATTTGTATTATTATTATATATTAGGTACGTGAATAAGTTCAAAATCCACCAAGGGGCGGGAAAATATTTGAACTTAAACCGGGGTTACGATTGATTGAACGTAAAGGCACCGAACTTATTTGCGCACCTAATACTTCGTTGCTCCTCGAACAGCGTAAAATTTCAAACGCGTTTAGATGCAACCGGCGTGATATGTAACAACTTGTGTGTGATTCCCATCCGCCTAATTTACTTTAGATTCCATTGCAAAGACCGAAACCACTCGAAAGCCAATGTGTCTAAAGTTGATCCTGCATGTTGCACCTCCGATCCGTTCTAGTTTCGAATTTCTTTATGTTTCTCACGGTTTCTTGTTTCCATTTCCGCTCGCAAATTGTGTAAGAGGAGATACTCACTTGTTTATCGTTGGTCATGTCTGACGTTAACCAGGATCTACCGTCCGAGACAGTCGACGAGTACACGTGCGCGGTGGTGAGACGATCGTCGCCAGTGCACGAGGACGTGGTAATCGACAAGCCGGGGCCCATGCATGTGCGGGAGGTTCACGGGGTAAGGAGGGGAGGGGGAGAAAGAGAGAGACACGAAAAGACACAGAAGTGGGTATATCGCAACTACACAGATCGTTCTCTCACGACGCGCTTACTGAAAGAAACAAATGAAAGAAAAAAATGAAATTCTCGCGAACAATTAACAATTTGTCGAATTGCATAATCGCTCGACGCGACAAAGTGCGAAACGCAATTTCCAGGAGCGTGCCACTGAAGCGGTCCGACGTAAAGAAAGAAAAAAAAAAGAAAAGAGTAATTAGCAAGTGTAATTAGATACGAGTTAACGAGATGGTCGTCACAGTTGCCGAGGCGACGATTTTCCTTCTTTTTTTTTTTTTTTAACAAGGTCTCGCTTACCGGTTAAGTAGGTCCAGTTTAATATATATGTGACAAACTTATCAATGATTATGTCCGATATGTACCCGTTCACTCGTTACACGCGATTGTTACGACGAGTTTAAGTCGCGAGTCGAGTGTGTAAAACCACGAGCATTCGCGATCGCGTTAAGGAATTGCAAAATCGGACAACACGTATTAAAAGTAAAAAGCTACATACGAGATTACGTCGCCTCGCGAACGTTCGTTCGCGTCGGATGTTCCGTCTCTACTGACAAAAGCGAGCAACCACCGTGCTTGGTAGTACATACGACGTGGTGTACCCACATTCGAGTCGTTGGAACATCATGTGATGTTTCTAATCGTTCGGCGCGCACATACATACACTCATTCACTCAAACGTGTTACGTGCATTTTCTTAAAAAAAAAAAAAAAAAAATTCAAAATGATAAAAAAAAAATGTATCTGAAATATTTGTATAGAACTCGCCTGTCCGCTGAGTTGGTCACTGATAGCCTATCTGGGCAAACGTCACGAATTTCGAGTCCTCTTATCACCTACTGTGCGTGCACTATATATTAATAAGACTTCCCGTTTTCAACTAAGGACTATCTAAGCCGTGAATCTTACCTACCTAATGTGATTCGAAATCGTTCTTCCGTTTCAATGAAACAAATTTACCGACTCGATATCGAGTTTACGACGACTGTAGTGCAAAACCGAATGTAGATTGTGATTTTGATGACACGTTGCGTTAAAGGAAATAACGAAAAATCGCTACTCACTTTGCCGCTGGGCTTGTAACAAGCTCTCGCGTCTACCATGTTGTTCATGATGGTGTGTTGATCCTCGGAGCCATCCAGACCTAATTTTTCCGCCAGTTCCTCCCTCGTTCGTATCATTTCACAATTAGCGATGTTGTATCCCATAGAACCAGCGCCGTTCACGCGGAATTTCGATCTCCGAAGACGCTCCCACACCCAAATCAATCAATCGCCGAGCTTGCAAACTGACCTACGAAACGGTTCATCGCCTCGCCGGCATATTTCTTCCCTCCCCCCTCGGCACGTTTATTATTTATTAATCACAATGAGAGAGCGCACCAACGACACTTCCGCACTGCTCCGCGCTCAATCAGTAAACTGTAATAGCTGTGTTCATCGACCCGATCGACCTATTGCACACACTCATATACTCACGATCAAACCTCGACATATCGTAGTTCAGGCGGTCAAGTAACGTCGCGCTAGCCAGTCTTGGCGCTTGCGAGTAAAGCAGAGTTTGCAATGAGAGAGAAAGAGAGGAAATGTGAGGAGAATAATCGATTGTGATTGGTCAATTTCTTAAGTCTTGCGCCTTAAATTCTCATTGTAGAAACTCCGCTTTAGAGATCATTTTTAAAAGTCCCTAGAAGTAAAAGCCGACGAAGGTCATTTTTAGAAATGCACCAATTAGAGCGCAGTACGATGACCCCGAGTCGGCAAATCGAAAACGCCAATACTCCTCCTTTATTCTTCCTGGAACAAACCAATGGTCGTGCGCCTTTCTATATAGTATACGACTCGATGCCGGTGTGTCGTCCATTACTTTTCACGTGATCGTCCACAGGGTAAGTTGTCTCGTGGTTTCTGGTAAATTTCAACGCTCCATTAGCGTCTATAAAGGCGTTACATTTATCGTCGTCTTCCTCGAACAGCATCGTTTTAAGTCTGATATGTTTCCGCGCAATATCGTTTGCTTTACCCTTTTAACGTAACTCTTGCAGACTTTCCGCCAGCTTTACGTGCGACGCTGAATATTGTCCATAATTCATCGATTTGAAAGCGTACTTCAACATGTGAGTAGATGGTATTTCCTTGTAATATGTTGCGTCATTCGTGCGATGACGTTAACGCATTTATCGTTTTTGGCTCTATTATTCGACAATATATTGAGACAGTTGTGCGAAAAAAATGCATTGGGTTATCGAGCATTCCGCAAGAAGGGGAATTTCCGTTACAAAGTATGAAAAACTTGCCACGTGTAACTAAAACGGAAATTTCCGATCGAACACATTGCATCCAATTATTAGCGTGTATTATCACTTCGAGTAATCGACAAATTTATTGTGCGCTCTTTAATTATCAACTGCAATACTTGCACATTAGAAAGTATTCGAAGATTTCCAAATTGTAAATGTTTAATTGAAGGATCTCGTATGGCTCAGATTTTGACAAAAACACGCTCGATTTATTTTTGCGCGTAGATGTGGCTGCGTAAGCTAAAATTGTTGTTCATCGATGGAAAACGAGTTTGAGAGGAGAGATTGCAATGTGTTGATTAGGTTAGGGAAATTTATATAACTTTGGTCTGTTCTTTTTAGTTGAACTAGTGCAGTTAGTTCTCCCAAAAAGAACAGACCACACATGAAGCACGTGTTACAACGCGTTCAGCTTGTTAGTACATCAGATTTTTTTTTTATGTCCAACATGTTATCCTTTCTGTATTTAAAAACTTGTTTTCTCTCCTCTCCTACCTTTTTTTCTTTATAGATAAATTACAATTTTAACTTTTGATATTTTTTTACGCACAAAAAGGAATATTTTCGTCTAAAATAAGATCACTGAATTTAACATTTAGACCCCTATTCTGAATTCTTTTTTATCGATGAAAGTATCTCTAAAAGTAGTGTAGGAACCACTTGATTGGCTGAGAAACCACATTTAAAGTACTTTTATCGATAAAAGAGAGTTCAGATTAGAGGCTTTAGCGTCTGAACCTAAAACCAAACATGGAAAAGTATTAACAATAATGTGTATATTGTCTCTGTAGTTCTCGTTTTTTCTTTTTCTTTGTGGTATATTAATTAAAATATAAATGATAAATATATTAATTTTGTTTTTCATCGATATACATACAATGGGATCTAAATAAATTGAAAAATATAGATATATTAAAAAAAATGGATGCATACGTCTTAAAACTACTTCAGTGACGGGAAATTTCGAGTAAAATTGGCAGAATTTAGAGATATACGTAAGAGGTCATTAATGAATCGTTATTATTTTACTAAATAAATTGTAAGATACTATGAGTAAAGTTCATCATTTTCTCAAAATATAAAATAGGTAATGCCGGTATTTATAATCGGACTTTATATTTAACATTTTCTTAATCTTCCTCGTCTCCTTAATCGTCTCCTTTCATCTTCAGATATTGTACAGCTCATTTCATTAGATACGAAGTATCTGAAAATGAATTTAATGAGGCCTTAAATATAATGTCCGTCTATGAATATGGGCATAAAAGTAATCAAGAAACACGGTGGTGTCTTGGCCAAGTATGAAGCGACGGCTCTTTGCACGGGCCAAGGCATACCATGTATTTTTATTACGTGGGCAATAATCATGTATTTTATTACATGTATATTTTATTTAAGGCTTCGGAGACTAGCTGGGATGCTAGGACATACAAAACAAGGGTTAGTATTGATCTAATCCCCATACAAAATTTGATTAAGACACAACCAAAACTGTTTCTTCATATTACATTAGTATCTTGCTTGTTCTGATAGAAGAACAATATCAGAGAACGATATTTGTGAGACATAAAGCGAATTGAAGAACACATTCCATCTTGACAAATATGAATAATATCCAATGAGAGGACGAGAGAGAATGTATCGGGATGGGATCTTGGGTAGCTCAGGGGTAAGAGTAGTAGCCCGACAAGACAGCGGAAGATCCCGGGTTCGATTCCCGATCCAGCAAACTCCAACTTCCGATATATTCCCTCTCTGATTCTCTTAGGATTATTTTGCAATTAGTAGAATATTTGTGTATTCAGTAAATAATCAGTGTATCTCTTCTCTGCCTCGTGTCACTTATTTTACATATATATATATATATATATTTTACTCATTTAATATACACACATACATATATATATATAGCTAATGTCGGTAAACGTAAGCACACTTGTAAAAATGCCCGGGCGCTTTCCTTTAACCTGAATACTCGATAAATAAGCATAAAATTCAGGTAAGAGAAATCATGAGAAAAGATAAGTTGAAAACGTAAGTTGCATGTTACACTAATTTTCGACTATTTATTGATTGTTCAGGTTAAAGGAAAGCGTCCGGACATTTTTACAAGTGTGCTGAATCTATCACAAGTGCCATTTTATGCACATATTCTTTCAATTTCACGTATACGGTAATATATTTTGGCATGTAATTTTTCGCTTCTGATAACATCAAAGAAAGACAGTCAAAGTGAAGACGCGGGAAACTTTAAAACAGATATCCTCTCATTTTGGCATGCCTCCATCTGGTATCTCGATGGAGCATGAATGCTTGTGGGAGGAAAAGCAAAGAGGGAACTTGCCTTCGGAATCCACACGATACTGTCTGGAGCCGTTTCTCTAAGTTCCCTACATTCCGCTCAATGTTTAAACACTAGCATTGTTATTTGTGTGATTTTATCGCATGAGAATTTAGCGAGTGTACGTGACGCGTATATTTTGTTGATGCTTCTGTGTTTGTATCCCCCCTAACGATCTCTATAATAACATTAATTGTATTTCACAAGAGTTTTACGTGAAGTTTTGTCAATATTATACGCCACCATTTGAGGCAAAGGAACAAAGAGGGAAAGAAAGAAAGTGGGCAGCCTAACCAGACGTTCGCAAATTCATTGTACCTTTGTTGTATTGCAGGGTCCACTTATTGAACAATTCTCGCTACAACAACGCCGTTGGTAATGGATATCGCGCAGCCGGACAATGGGCTCGCAACGTCAGCGGCGGAGTCGGCAATACGTTACAAAAGCCCGACTGGCAGTACGAAGACCTAAAGCCATTAAAGAAAGATTTCTATAACGTGCATCCGAATGTATCGGCACGTAGCACCCAAGAGATCGAATTATTCCGACAAAAGAAACAGATTACTGTGAAGGGTGATAAAGTTCCGGATCCTATCCAGTACTTTGAGGAGGGTAACTTTCCTGATAATGTAATGAAAATGATCAGCAAATGTGGCTTCCACGAGCCGACTGCGATTCAAGCTCAGGGCTGGCCGATTGCCATGTCTGGATACAATATGGTAGGCATAGGACAGACAGGTTCGGGAAAGACTCTGGGTTACATTTTGCCCGCCATTGTACACATTAACGCTCAAGAACGCTTGAATTACGGCGACGGTCCGATCGCGCTGATTCTCGCCCCTACCAGAGAACTCGCTCAACAAATACAATCAGTGACGACCGAATTCGGTTCTTTGTCGCACGTGAGAAGCACCTGTATCTTCGGTGGTGCGCCCAGAGGCGGTCAAGCGCGCGATTTACGCCGTGGTGTAGAAATTTGCATTGCCACTCCTGGACGTCTGATCGACTTCCTAGAACAGGGCACGACCAACCTGCACAGGTGTACGTACTTAGTGCTGGACGAAGCCGACCGCATGCTGGACATGGGCTTCGAGCCTCAAATTCGCAAGATTATCGAGCAGATCAGGCCAGACCGGCAGGTCCTCATGTGGTCTGCCACATGGCCGAAAGAAGTGCGCACCCTAGCGAAAGAATATCTAAAGAATTACGTACAGTTGAACATCGGATCGCTGACATTAGCCGCCAATCATGATATACTTCAAATTGTCGAAGTCTGCGAGGAACACGAGAAGGAATCCAGGTAAGGAGATGGAGTAGAGATCTCACGTAACTTAAATAGATGTTTAACGAATTGCATGTATTAAATTATATTTAACATGTGTTTCTAGAATATGATGATATCGATATATGATTTACGGTGATTATATACACACGCCTCTAAGAAGAACTGACAATACTGCCGCTTTAACGACTTTATGTATATACACATTTCAGTCAAGTTTGTAATGTTTTTGTGTTTAAATTTTAGGTTGAAGGATCTGCTGGAAAATATCTACGCTAACGAGAACGGCGGCAAGATTATAATTTTTGTAGAAACAAAGAAAAAAGTGGAGAGCATTACGAGAAATATCCGACGCTTTGGTTGGCCTGCGGTATGCATTCACGGCGACAAGTCGCAACATGAGAGAGATTTTGTTCTTAGAGGTAGAATTATTTGTTTCCTATTATATTTGTAAAATTACGTGTAAAATGCGATATGTCCATCGACAATATTACTCTGAATATTTCTACTTTGCAGAATTTAGGAATAAGAAAACTGCAATTCTTGTTGCAACCGACGTTGCTGCTCGTGGCCTTGGTAAGTATGTTACAAGTATTATTTTATCCGCGGCGTTTTATTCGTTTGTGTTTTATGCTTTCTTCCAAAAGAATATTCCTTACAATCTTTGGAAGAATAAGTTATATTGACGAGTGCCAAATTAGGTAGTGAAATGGCGATGTGTGGTAATGTCACATTTTTTGAATTTACGATAAATAACTGAGGGATAATTAATGTCATGGTGTATGCACGGGAAGATATAAGTTATTTTCTTTCCACGACAAAATCTAACCGAAATACAATTGTTTCTTCACGGTCGATTATAATTGCTCTTAATATTCAGAAATTGTTTTGTGATGGAAGGAAGGCTATGATTGTTGTCGCGATAACAGTGAGAAAGTTGATATTTTTAAGCTTTATTTGAATTTCCTGTGTTAAATAAGAAGAACGATTAGTTGGGTAGTCATTCGGTATCCCCCCCCCCCCCCCCCCNTTCTAAATCTAATACTACCACCACTGTTGCCACAACAATCGCAGGTTACAATGATTTCGTCTTTCTGTAAAATTGCAAGCGTCACAAATGCCGTATGAAGTTGCGTCATTCCAAAGCATGCTACCGAGTCGACCGTACAGCGTAACTTTATACAACACTGCGCGAGATATGACTTGGTGTTTGTTAAAATTATAACTTGATCGTCCTTTGTTTCAGAGGCACATGGTGCACAAATAGCGTTGGGTGTGCGATGAATTAAAGTGAACAATAGAAAAAAAAAAGCCAAAAGAATTGTTCACTCGTGCTATGTACACGCGCAACTCTGTTTCGCGCATAAATGTGCCTCTGTGTATTACTTCCTCGTATATGGATGCTTGTGATATGACTGAAACACGTCGCCCTTCACAGGAGATACGTTACAGGTAAATACATGATATGTATTTACCGTCACACTGTACAGCTATATATTTGTATTGATATACGTATATTTCTTTTCTCAAAACTTCTAGATGCATTACAATCAGATACTATATGTATTTGCAATTGATTGATCAGAGTTGGTTAGTTAATAATGATCGTGTTTAACATATAGTTGTATAGTGCTCTCTTTTCTTGAAATTTTGTCAACGTTATCGAATACCGTTTCACTTTCTAAGGCGTTGGAAAATTGTGGGTTGGAAAGTGTTGGTTTTTTCTATCTGTGCACGTAGAGATTTCAAATATTTGTCAATTATATACGAGGAAGCAGCATAGTCTCAGATTGTAATTCACTGATTTATTTAGACGTCGACGATGTCAAGTACGTGATTAACTTGGATTATCCGTCCTCGTCCGAAGACTACATTCACAGGATCGGCAGGACTGGCCGCTCGGGAAACGCGGGAACCAGTTATGCCTTCTTCACACCGCAAAATGCTCGACAGGCGAAAGACTTGATAAATGTGCTTAAAGAAGCCAAACAAGAAGTCAATCCTGAACTGCTCAAATTCGCAATGAGCAGCGGTGGTGGTGGCGGCGGCGGCGGCAACAGAAGTGAGTGTCAAAACGAGATCTCGTTTATTATACAACTATATCGTAAATTCGTGTTTTTAACGATATAGTGTTTTATAGAGTACAATAGCTTCTGAAAAATAAGGATTTATCACATTCCAATCAAAAGACATAATAAATATGTAAACTTCGATTAGTTTTTGCTGTTGTGTATATAAAAAAATGCTTTGTAAAAAGCTTATCAATATTGTTGTGATGCGTGAGAGAAATATATTCTTCAATGTGACCACATACAATATTAATGTATTATCACTGTTTTTTTTTTCCAGGTCATTGGTACGGATACGGTTACCGTGGGAGAGAAAATGTTTTCCGCGGAACGCGTAAGCGATTCGATACCAACAAGGTATCCAATTATAATAGATGATCCCGTATATAGGCGAATCACAATTCTAAAAGGCGGATAAAGCCTTTACAGTAGGAGTTCGATGTAATGCCATTATGTTCGATGTACACCCCTCACGAGCCATTATTTGGGCTTTTTGCACGTTACAACTGATTGCCCCACCGTCGTCGTAACAGTCGTAGCAATCCTAACAGTTGACAGCCGTGCGAAATTACTCGTGCACTCGTAATACGGCCAGCACTACGTGTTCTTCATGACCCAAATATTGGTATATTGGATAATCAACATGCATTCAACTGTGTCAACGCCTCTTAACACTTGTATAATAGGAGGTTTTTTTTTACGATTCTCAACTTTACGCGCAATGTGTAAGTTAAAAAATTGTACAAGTGACACCTAGTTACACAATGTTAAAACATATGCCTCCTGGTGTACTACCGCAGATATATGTGATTCGTGATGGAACAAGTGCGAGCATCGTGTATTGACACAAGTATAAAATGAAAGGTCTAGTGATATAGACTGAGTTATATAAGTGTAGTAGAGAAAAAAGAAGAGGAGAACGAAGATAGTGCAATACAATTTGCGAGTGTTGGATAATTGTTTGCGCGAGTACATAATTGGAGGACTATCCCCGTATGCCTGGCAATAGGCGGCTGTCGGACAGTCTCGACGTTCTGAAGAAAACATGCGATGTAGAGCCATTTCTGAAAATTTTGCACCCCTATAAACCGGCGGGGGGCTGGGCATTACATTTTACTGTATTAACCGCGTTTTAGTTCCCTTTACCATTCCTAAGCTATTTTTGAAACATTCTTTTTTTTATCATCAGCTAGATTTATCTCGGATAGTACAAGTGTATCTGCTAAGTCGTAATTTTTTTTTCAGTATATTGAAAGCGATTTGCAAAATTTAAACGAACGTAACTTGGCGAGGAAGGGCGTTCAACCGAACTTTTGATCCGTTGGTAGGATTTATACGAAATACTAAAAAACTCGTGAAATCGCCTTGTGCTGAACGCAACCATTTCGTTAGTTACGTTGTCTTCCTGGCTAAATTACGCGTCTCTTTATTTGATCTCGATATTCGTATACAGCGACACGTATGAGGCATGTACAATATTTATCTGAGTTTGCGCCAAATTTATTTGTCAATAAGTTTATTTATTGGAAGTGAATGCGATAAAATGATATATGAAGCACAGGAGAGCGATTAAAGGCTGGTTAATCAATTGTCGGCGACGAAACAGATTTTTTTTCTCTTTTAATCAATCAAAATCCATTGGTCAGATCTGTTAATTTGTCAATTAGGTCAAGTCAAAACAAGTGGGAATCCGAATCGGAGGTTTCTGTGCGTAAATATCCATGACAAATGCTGAATGTGAGTTTCTTTTAAATCAGATATTTTCATTCACTTTTAAGTCTTTTCAATTTTGTGTAAAATTAGTTGAAATTGGAACAGATGAAAAATGCAAATAAATATCTCCTGGTGAAGTAAAAAAAGGTTTAGGAAACGAAGGATAAGTTTAGTTTTGTAATTTAAAAATACGATAAACCTTAATACCCAGAATCGCATGCTTACAACGAATGAGAATATTTCGCTTATATTTTTTTTACTTTTAGAACTATTTGCTTACTTGCATTAGTATAATATACAAAAGAACGTTTCGAAGGATATTCTAAACTTTTATCGATAAAAATGCCTTAAATGTGATTTTTCAATTGATTTCCTTCCGTCGAATGTGAGGAGAATGATCAATTGTGATTGGTAAATTTCTTCAGATTTTGAGTTTAAATTCTCATTGTAGACCCCGCTTCATTCGCATGATATCCAATTAGCGTGCAGTTCTCTTGGAAAAGCGGTACGATCATTGGATATCACATGTCGCGCGAGAGATGTAACTTATTGGTTCAGCAACGCAGCTAAAAAGAACAGACCACAGGTGATTCAATGGCCGTACTCAAGTCCAAAAGCAAGTGACGCCGGTATTTTTTTATCGCTGTCCAGGTAGTGGTAGTTTATAAAGCCGGATCAGAAGCCCTGTTTACTTGTGAGTTATGCGGTATGTGTTTTAAAAGTGCTTCTCAGTATGAAGCTCCTACACAATACTACCGAAACAGACGTAAATCACGCTATCGCAGGGGCTGCTAGTGGATGTTTAACAAGATTTATCTGTCAACCTCTCGATGTTATAAAAATCAGACTTCAAGTGAGTTACCGTGCAATAAAATATACTTTGGTCCATATTTTGAATTCACTTTTATTGGTAAAAAAAATGTAGCCTTCTCAATTAATCAGGTGGTTCCTACGCCACTTTTAGAAACACTTTTATTGGTAAAAGTGAATTTAGATTATATAGACTTTGTATCTCTACAACCAATTGTCCTTTTCATTATAGTTACAAGTTGAGCCAATTTCAACACATTATAATAGCAAGTACAGATCTATATCGCAAACTTTCTGGCTAATATTGAGAGAAGAGAGGATGTCTGCTTTATGGAAAGGACATATACCTGCGCAATCACTCTCAGTTGTTTATGGAATGACACAGGTGCAAGATAGAACTTGTCTAATAATATAATTTCATATTGTATCTTTTAGCATATCAATGCAGTGATTCGTCTTTTATATATTTCTTTTCTTTTTTTCATTTGTTCTTGTATTACATTCAACTACATATTACTTATATTTACAGTTTTATTCATACAATATATTCATAAAAATGCTACAAATACCGAAAACTGAGAGATGGAAACATTTGAGAGAATTTATTGCTGGTGCTGGTGCTGGGAGCTTGGCAATAATCATTTCGTTTCCTTTTGATACTGTAAGAACTAGATTAATAGCCCAGTCGAGTAACAATCAAGTATACAATGGAGTATTACATTCTTGTAGGTAAATCACAGAAAATCTACTCTTTAATTTATCACATCCCCAATTACCAATATTTGTATCTTTATACTGTTTCGTTGTCCTTTTGTTCTCTTAGCGTACAGATTTCCTTTGCAAAACGTCTGTATTTCATTGACACATATCTTACATATATTTTTCTACACATATTCCTTTTAATAAGGTAGACTCTAAATGTTTTCCCTTTCTTCTTTCAGTTCAATTCTTCGACAAGAATCACCAAGGGTCTTTTATTTCGGTTTATTACCGACTTTATTACAAATCGCTCCACACTCTGGTCTGCAATTCATGTTCTATAACATTTTCACGGATCTATATAAAAGATATTTTAACGATACTAAGACGAATTTTTACAATTCTATGGTGTCTGGTAGTGTTGCGGGATTAATATCAAAAACAATAATATATCCGCTCGATCTTGCTAAAAAGAGATTGCAAATACAAGGTTTCCAACATGGTCGTAAAGGATTTGGTAAGTTTTTCCAGTGTAATGGTTTATTGGATTGCTTGACAACGACGATAAGAGAAGAGGGGTTATTAGGGCTGTTCAAAGGCTTAGTACCAAGTCAAATGAAAGCTGCCGCAGTTACGGCTCTATCCTTTACGATGTACGAAGAAGTTTTATTTTTGTTAAAGAAATAATACAACGTAGCGCAAAATGTTTTAATGTATGTTGGCTACTTTTTAACCAATCTCATACTTTATGGAAGTAGAAACAAAACAAAAAATAGTACAAATTATATACAAACAAACTGTAATTGAGGTTTTTTTGCGCAAGTTAATACCTAGGTTCACACTAGCTCCATTTATACAGATGTACATAATTGCGCGTATATTTTTGTTATTGTGTTGTATTGCAAAGTGGAAGATTGATTTCCCTCTAGCAGAGCTATACGTATAATAATCAATATATTTATGCATACGTCTCAAATCTATTGCATACATAATTTTGAAAAATAAATCATAATTTATCATATCAAGCTAATCATATAGATTGCGTCTCTCACCATTGTGCGAATTGTGTGTGTTGAAATGTAAGAGAAATATTCAAGTATTCTGCTCCTGATGACGACCGATCCAGTATAATATTTGTCCATTTACTACTAAAGTTGCGCAGGCATAGCCTCGGGCGTTCCGTTTAGAACAGCCAATATATTATTCGCCGTGATTCTGGACATTTCTTCTCTAGTTTCCATAGTGGCGCTCCCTATATGAGGCAAAACCACTGAAAAAAAAAACATGTTATTATGCACGTACAGGATTTATCAAACAATATTTGTAAAAATTTTATTTTATGGGTGGTACAATTTTTTCTTTCATATAATCACGAAGAAACGCGGAGAAACCATTGCATCGAGCTGTAATTGGAAAGTGTTAATGCGAGAAGAAAGAATCCAAATGCGAGTTTACTGTGTTTCATTCTGAAGATTCCCTCTCAACTTTCTTTCAATTTTAATAATATCCACTTTCTGATGAGATACATAATATAACTCTATTAATATACTAACCACAATTATTCAGTTTTAAAAGTTCGCTGTCTAGTGGTATCGGTTCAGGTGTCATGACATCCAACCCAGCAGCTGCGATTGTTTTACTTTTTAGAGCGTCTATCAGCGCGGCTTGATCCACTACCTCTCCGCGACTTCCGTTCACGAAGATGGCTGTGTTTTTCATTCGTTTGAAAGCCTCGGCATTGAACATGAGTCTCGTTTCAGTCGTCAGCGCTGTCATTACTATAACAAAGTCGCTATCTCGAAGCAGTTCATTCAACTCCACTTTTTCGCCGCAAAATTTCAACGCTTCCGGCTTGACTGTTCTACTGGTGTACAATAATTTAGCGACGTTGAAACCACTGAGACATTCGGCGACTCGCATACCAATCCTGCCCAAACCGACGATACCCACAGTCGAACCTGATAATCCATGGCCGCACATCCACATCGGTGCCCAGGCGGATTTCCATTCACCTCTGCGCCAAATGAAAAGATGTATTTCATTCGTGTGTCCTAAATACTATACAGGGAGTAAGTAATAGTTTTAGTCTGCACATCGCTTGAGCAAGTCAGCGAATGGATTTTTTGAATATGAAATTTTTGTTCAAATAAAATTCATTTGAACTCGTACAAGGGATAACCGTCGAATGTGTACCGAAAACTGTATACAAATAATTTGCGTACGAATTGTACTGACTTGTATTACTCATCAGATCCGAGGTTTTCATTTTCAGAAAGAATTATTTTATCAATTGCTTAAAATTCAAGATTCTCAAAGGTTTTGACACTTCTGTACAGAGAAGACCGAGTTAAAATTTGTGAGAAAAAATACTTGTAAATTGCACTATTCGCTTCCAGCAATCTCCTTGATGTAGCTAATAAAAGGGCTACGATCAGTTCCGCAGTAGCATCTGTCAGGACGCCTGGAGTATAGCCAATTCTAATACCCCTTTTCTTCAAAGCATTCAGATCCAGGTGATTAGTACCTACTGCCATAGACGCTACAACTTGTAATTGAGGACCTGCAGCCATAAGAACCTCTTCGTCTATTTTATCTGTCAGAACACAGTATATAGCGTTTACACCTTGTACCCTAGATAGTAATTCCGATCGTGGCATCGGTTCAGCTTTTTCCCATGATACAATTTGACACCTGGACATCGAATGGAGAGACAATCGATTAAATATAAAATATATTCGCGCGAGATATACATATTAGATTACAAAAAGATTGTCGAATCAAGTACGATATTTACCGTTCACGTAGTATATTTAAGCCAGCCGCTGGTATATCCGGCCTCGTAATTAAAATTTTTGGTTTGCTCATTTTGACTGAACTTGACATTCGGACTATCGGATAATTATAAATTATTGAACTGATCTTATTCGCGAGAGCAAATCTTTTGCTTTGCTTGCAAAGGAAAATCGAGAGACTTATGACAGTCATAATTTCGCAATATGGACGAACTAACCTCACTTGTAATCTGTTTGGCGCTTCTTGTTAAGCAAGATACATCTCTCCACATTTTTCATTTTCGCTAATTAAATTTTTTAAAAATCACAACATCCTTAATATTTGTTATCTACCGCGATTATAGTAGGGTTAAGCTGCGTTCAGAAACTCCACCCTGAGAGTAGTGCAGGATGAATAGCAGTGGAGGCAGGGGTGACCGTTTCCGAACGCAAGCTTATTGTTTCGAATCTTAGGCCGGTATTCATGGTCGGATACTTAAGATCATCTAAAGTTTATCTTCGTAGCCAATGAAATGAACCGTACAGCATCTGAAGGTGATCTTAAGACGGTCTTAAATATAAGTTCCGATTATAAGTATACCGGTCATTTCGACTCGATCGGACAGCGTTCCGACAATCATCGCAATACCGCAATCTATACTTGAACTATAGTTCAAGCCACGTATACTATAGTTTACAATACTGCAGCGATTAGCGGAACGCTATTCGAGGTCGGGTCGAAAACGCCGTATGAATATTACTGAACATCGTTTCTCTAATCATTTATTAAATATCACATAGTTGCAAAAGAATTAAAGATTGATTATCGTGCGGATATTTTCTAAATATAAGTAATACGACAAAAATGCATATTTTTCCTTATATATATATATATATTTTTCCTCAACAACGTCCATCCCTACGAGCGACTAATCGACTGATAGGGCGCGCGCAGCTGCGCCAACGACTCGTAGCTACGTTCGCGACCGTAATACTCGCGCTTTCACGCGATCGCTGACAGTCTCGCGGCTACATTCACGTGTTACGCGCCCGTGATACCCACCTCCCGTTGACGGCTCGTCGCTGCGTTCACACGCGCGGTAGTTCTACGCGTCATAAGAAGGGCGAAACGGCGGCGCGAGACTCAGACCAGACCGTGTTTCGGAGCAGCGCGTATCGCATTTATTTGAGCGAGTGACATTTCGCTTCCATTTCTATTCGTCTTTCTTCGCCGGCTGTCGTCTGTCTCTCTCCCTCCCCTTCCGTGTTTCTACATACGTGGCGGGCAACACGTCGATAACATGTGCGGTAAGTTTTGCTCCATGTGTAAGCATCGTAAGCCGCTTTCTCCGCCAGCGCGGTCGATGAATGGCGAGTTCAATTCTCACTATGTATACGCGTGACGTCTGTCGAATCGCGCGGAAGTGTCGATTTGACTGTCGGGCTTGCGACACAATGTGTGTACACTAGCGGTGAAATGATGCGAAAGTCGGGAGAACCTATTTGGATTACCGCAATTTTTTCAAGAATTGCATCAATTTCTACAAATAACGATCGTATTGTGTACCCCGATTTGTACGATAAGACGAAACAATTCTTCATTTTCGGTTCTCAATCATTCGGATTTCAATCAAGTATATAACAGTGAGATACTTATCAAGAGATACACGTCTTTTTCGAGAGTATTTTTCCCGTTTTAGAATGTTTTTTCTTCCTGTCAACAGTTGCCGAGACATGCGTCACTAATGAATGATATAGATGTGTCCTCTCGTGACGTCGGTCATTGTACATTTTAATTTAACCCGGTCGCATCTTTAATCGATATTTTCCCCACTTTTTCTCTTGGAAAATGAACAATCTTTTGGAGCGTCACAATTCCCGCGTGAATCTCTTCGATACTTTCTATCGATATTTCAGAGCGATCGTTTAGACGGTGCAATATCTTTTTAGAAGGCGCCACACGGCGATTCGAGAAAGTCATTACGAAATTTGCGCGGGGGAGATTACGCAAATCATGCGAAGCACATTTTCGATCGAGTCACTGCGGGATTTTTTCTTACAATTAGATTGTCCAGTAAATAATATCCCGGAGTTTTTCCTTTCTAAACTTAGAGATATAGCGAGATATAACATGATTACACATTGTCATCGCGATAATAATCGGCAAATAAATGTTGAGATTCGTCCACAACATGACGTGAGATATCAGAACGATATATATATCAACAGTTGACGGTATTTTTACGTTGAATGAACATTTGCGCCCTTCCGATTCAAGCAACTTCCGCGTTTGTTTTGACATGCGCGTTTAAAATCTGAAAATGACGAGTTCTTACAACAATGACGCTTGTTCGAAAGTCCGTATGTCGGATATGATACTGTGTGAACGTATGCGAGGCATGACTTCCTCGGGCATCGACCTGCGCGCGCGTTCGGTATTTGCCAAGCGGTGCAAATCTCCTTTTTACTTGCGTAACGCGCGCAACAACCTCGTTCGATTACATCCGCCGCCGAAGTTGGCGCAATTCGCGTTATTATTATGAATATGACAAAATCATGAGAGAGATATATAGTGCATGCCCGGAAAGTCACGTTTTCCCGAAAATTACGCCGGGTGCGACTTACGGGGTGAAAGGTCCATACTATTACAACGCATTGTCCAACGGCTCTCGGCGTATCGGCGAGAAGTAGTGTTCTGATAAAAAAAAAAAAAAAGAACGCGACCGCTCTCGACGAGTGAAAGTCTCTCTCGATCGCGCGAACCTGAGGTGAGAGGGTGCGCAGCAACGGGCATAGGACAGTTACATATGACATTTAGAAGCGGCGAAGAGATATGCGCGCGATATCGCCTTTCTCGTCGCTTCTCGAATATTAACCACCGAACAATTTCGACACGTCTTCTTGCAAAGCCGTTACTTTCTCGTTCATTCATCTTGCTGTGCTCTCGCAAGGAGACAGAAAGGTCAAGTTAGACAATACGACCGGGCCGTTCGTTCGTGTCGCTCATCAACCGCGTTTCAGTCGCGATCAATTTTCAGGTGAAACGCCCGAACGGTACGCTTATAGCACTTATAGAGCGTAGAAGATTGCTCCTATCGTTAATATGAAGAAAAAAGATAAAATAATATCCGCCGTCTTTTCCACTTTGCGGCGAATAATTTGCGGGAAAACCGACATGATACGTTTTATTGCGATTGTACAATTACTCGATGCTTTTTGTCTCACAGGATAAGGAATAATATCCGGTACTCAACATCGCACTTACCAGATAAAGCTTCCTTTATCTGTTAAGACCTGTGTATCAGCTGTGGGAATAGTATTTCCGATCTCATTTTCCACGAACTTGCGAGGGAAATTCTTTTTGATAACATTCTTTCGCTCGCACCGACCGGATGCTCGTATCAACGACACGGTAGAAAATTCCTCTTATCGCCAGTTATAACCTGCCCTCTTATAACCTGAGTACTAGTTCGTGTAGTTGTTTTCGCAGATCGGAGTCGATACGCGCGCAAGTTTCTCGTTTTGTTTTCCGACGATACATTTCGAGTCTCATGGCTGGTATCATGGGCGGTAGGTCGCGTTTGATCCTTTCGAATCTTTAAGACTCCTCACTTTGCCCGTCCTCGTTTGATGACGTCAGAAATCGTATGCCAAAATATATCACGTTATAGATAAAAAAAGGATAAAATGGCAACTTACGTTTTTAACTTATCTTTCCTCATGATTTCGGTCATATTAATTTTACGGCTATTTATTGATCGTTCAAATTAAAGGAAAACATTTTTACAAGTGTACTGAATTCATCACGAATACCATTTTATTCAAACAAGGCAATCAAACGCAGGAGCCTTAACGTTATCGGATGTAAAATACATTGTAATCGACTAAATTCGTCGTGACAAGGAAGAATGAGACGATCTTTCTCTGTAGTGTGGGCAGGATATAATTTACCGCAAGAAGGCTACTTTTATCCCGATATGTTTGCTTCTTTCTCTTACAACTTGTCAATCGTCGAAATAGAGTTGCCGAAAAACAAACGATAAGTGGTAATCACGTTATCGTTGGTTATTATCTCTTCTACGTGTATGTCAGCGGTACGTACGCGGATAACAGGTGCGTCAATGTTTGCTCGCTTTATTCGCATTATAGTAGATCTTGGCGACATGACTGTGCGGTTACATAGTATCCGTCGAATCGATGCTCCTATTTCGATCGCGCGGTCTCGACGAGACGCGGTTTGCAACGTGCAAAATGATAAGGTAGTAAAGAATCTCTCGCTGTTAGCGCTGATATCGCGAGATATCGCGTCTAAGCGTGGAAAGTTAAGAATATATCCAGGAAACTTTCGGAGTGAAATCACGTAAAAGCGGGGCAATCATCTAAAGTGAATATTAGATATTTCCGGGTGCAAAAAGCACGTCCCGATATGTGTTGCTCGGTGAACGAGTCGTTGAAGACGCACGTGAAATTTGTTAGGCGTGTCCTTTTGCAGAGAAACTCGGGTGATTAGTGTTAAAAAGTAGAAACAAAGCTTTTCTTCTATAGCATACAACGAATTATCGAACACGTCGTCAACGTATTACATCATCACGCATCGTCCTTGCACGTTCTCTCTCTACAAAAAGCATTTTCACTCCAAAGTGGTGAACACGATGCATATTTATATATTTGCTGTATTTTCGATTCAACGTCGCATCTAATTATCGAAGACGGTGCATATATTCTCTTACACAATATATCGATCGAAAGCTATCGGATATCTATTCATGCACATTGAGACAATAGCGAAACCGTTCGCTCTATTCGATACGCTTCAATTGATCGAGCGTTATCTAATTATAAAATAGTCTTTGTATCTCTATGTAACGTGAAAGGGATTCGAGCGAATCTCATTTACCCAGGCTGACCGGTATTTCGCAAGGAAATTTATGTAAGTTTCCTGCGACTCGATCGATTATTGTTACTGCAGCAGAAGAAGACTTCGCAACAAAGTTCGCCGAAGAAATTTCCGTCGAGATGAAACATGAGTCACGAATTGTGGCTCCTATTGACGTTACTCGTAAAAGTCCAATCGCGTATCGAATCCAATAAAATGACAAGTTGAACGCATCGCGGTTTGAAAACACGATCTCCACTTGGACCGTTCGTACGGATCGACGTGATTGAGCCGCGATAACGCGGTGATAACTGCACGAATCTCTCGTTTATTCGCTTTCCCTTTCACTGGCGCGCGTGTGTCTCGAATTACCTGTTCCCTCGCCGTTAGGCCAACCTGGTCCGCCGGCTTCCCCCCGTTCCCCGTTCACGGGCGTCGGCTTTTTGCATTTTTATAATGCCCCACCGCGTTCAACCGTTAATGTGTGTGCATGCCGAACCGTGACGTACTTGACATTTTTCTGTCCTCGCGAAGCTCACCGATAATGTGAGACAGAGCTTTTGTTTTTGTTAACATTATACGGCAACTTTGCGTCTTTCAATCGCTATATATTGTTAGTTGTAACGTTTCTTGTCTTGAAAGTTTCTCTTTCCACGTTGAGAAAAGGGAATTGCAATCGCTTTTGCCGTGTATCGATGGTCCCCGCGGACATTAGCGTATCCTCGTTACACGACTTGTACAGTCACGTCTCTCTCTCTCTCTCTCTCTCTCTCTCTGGGTTCTTGTTCTCCGGGTTGCAGCACGTTGGTAAAAACGAAACGAAAGGTACGCCGCGATATTTCCGTGACCTTTTTCCGTTCGCGGATAAATCGGATTCCTCACCTTTCCGCGTTCTGTCGTGACCTTCGGGATCGAAAGGCGACGGTGGTGTAGGTAGAGGCCGGTGAAATTGAGAGATGGCTCGTTATTGTCTACTAGCCCCAAGGTCTTTACTTTTATCGCGCGTTTTGTTCCTTCGGACCGCTCGAATGTAGCTTGAAAGGGAGAAAGGAACTCATTTATCGCAGAGTGGAATTCGTAAAAAAAAAAAAAGAATATATATATATGGAAGGAATGCAAAGAAAGCAACAGGAATGAAAGTACGCAGGTAATCGGATAGATATGCAAAGCGACATATGGAAGTTACCCGTCGACGTAGCAATAATTGATTTGCGGTATCGATAAGAATTGAATTGGTTGTGTTTGTGTAACTGATGATAATTTGAACGATAATTGTGCACTGTGTATTATAATGCATGCTTTCGAATTTCCCCAGGTATCTTTGCTTATCTCAACTACTTGACACCGAAGAGCAGAAAGGAGATCTTGGAACTATTAGTCGGTGGCCTGAAAAGATTAGAGTATCGTGGATATGATTCCGCAGGTAAGTCTCTCTCTTTCTCGTGGGAGATATTGCATAGGTTTACGATGCCGCGCGATCAGCAAAAATGAGAATAAAGTGTTTCGAGCGAGAAGCTTGTTGAAACGTATGAGAAATAAACGAAAATTCGTAATAATTTTAAAGATGATTACGTTTGAAAAATCAATCGTCTCGCGGCGCGTTGTTGAGTCTCTATCCTTCTCTCTGCACGTTCATGGCACGACGAAATAAAAGACGACACGCGCGATATAGTCATGGAAATTCCTCACACGGCGCTTTTTGCAGGCGTCGCCCTCGACAGCGCGGATGGCAAGGACATCTCGATTATTAAGAAGCAGGGAAAGGTCAAGGCTCTCGAGGAGGAAATATTTTGCCGTGAGTTTCAAACAATCGCGTGTGTCGGGTTAATGAGCAAAAGCTCCCTTCTCGGGACAGCCGTGTAAAGTCTGCAATGTTTACCCGCAGGTACCAACATTGACTTCGAGTCAAAGATTCAGTGCCACGTCGGAATCGCTCACACGCGATGGGCGACCCACGGTGTGCCGTCGGCAGTGAACGCCCATCCCCAGCGTTCCGACAACGAACATGCTTTCTTGGTTGTACACAATGGTAATTCTCCCGAGTCTCACCGGTCGTTCCTCCCGACTCATATTCTACGTGCAATCGTTTTTGTGTCAGGTATCGTTACGAATTACAAGGAGGTGAAAACTTTGCTGCAACAAAGAGGACACGTGTTCGAGAGCGACACCGACACGGAGGTGATCGCGAAACTGATCCACCATCTCTGGGTGCAGCATCCCGCGTATTCGTTCCGCGAGCTCGTCGAGCAGGTCGTCCAGCAATTGGTAGGTATCTCTCTCATTGAGTATCGATGATTACATCAATGAGATCCTGTGCAATTCAACACTCTCCCAAAGATATTCATTTCCCTTATCTCAAAGTCGGAGGTGTCTCGCGTTGAGATATATGACCATCTCACCATTCCGAAACATATATTCGCGAAATAATCAGCAAATGTCTCCGAGAGATCAACGAAGTAACGATATGGGAAATCATTTCAGGAAGGAGCTTTCGCTCTTTGCTTCAAGAGCAAGTACTTCCCGGGCGAATGTGTGGCCACGAGGCGGGGCTCGCCGCTTCTCGTTGGTATCAAGACGAAGACGAGACTGGCGACGGATCACGTACCTATCCTGTACGGGAAAGGTAAGTTTGGACGTTTCGACCTACGCCACCTCAAAGTAGACGAGCACGACCAGCCGACCGAGCAGTTCTGCCCAAAATCTCTCCCCCCCCCCTCCTCTATCTCAACATTCTCGTTGCAAAACTAGAATTTATACGTCGAACACTTCGACATCCCGAGAGGCAAAAAGTGTTCGACTACAACAAGTGTCCGTCATTTCGCGCCATAACAGTTGAATCGACGGAGACGCGCGATACTGCTTCGGGATCTCTCTCTAACCAGTCGATCTGTCTGCTCATGTGTCGCGATCATGCGACTTCACGTCTCCATGTTCGAAAAAACGCCGACTAATAACTGATGCACTAACGCAGCATGCGCTTCTTAATAATCCGATCTACGTGCCATTCAATATTTAAATAACCTGGCGGGTCTTCATTGTTTATGTTGTTACCACTTATGGATGAACTTATCTTTTTCAACAACGCGTAACAAACAAAAATATCACTTCGAGATATTAAACTGTCGACGTGATAACGTTTGTCAGACGCATATTTTATGCATATTTACGACTATGCATACATATAGCACGCGTCTATTTAAGTAAATGCGTTCGATTCCTCTTGTGAGATTAGCGTGTCTCTCTTTTTCTCTTTTCCCCTTCCCTCCCTCTTTTTCTCGAGTGTTATGATAATATTATTATTAGAACGTGTTGAAATTTTCATTTCGCGCTTGTGCAGAATAAAATTTTTCGCGTCCTTTCGTTTATACCGTTAACGCTAGAATCCGAATAGACCGCATGATCGTTATAATCTAAATACTTGTCGCCTGTTTCCTCAGAGTTCTGCAAATAGCTGCACGTGTAAGCTCTCTTCTTCTAAACGAGTGTGTTACTGTGGATACTATACAAGTGTTTCTTTTGCATGAACACCTTCCGGTTATGTTCTACCACTTTTCGCGCCATCAGACGACTTCCAACGCGCGAACAAAGGTATATATACTACTATATACTTATCTTGACTCCCTCCTCGACACTGGATCTCTCACTGAGCAATCAGAGGATGACAAAAAAAACCATCAATTAGTAGTATGATGTCTGTATGTAAGTCGGTACGATGTCGGTATGTAAGTCGGGAGACCGACTCTTTGTCGACTTTGTGCGTGTCGCTCGATGTTGACATTCGAACAATTACTGTCGAGCATGCGCTATCCGAGGCAAGATCCTGACGCAAGATCCAGTGGTTGAGGAATGCTTAAATCGATATGTTGCTGATTTGCCTCCCATGAAGAGATTTATCGCTAACATATTTCTCTAATCTCGACGAGCCGTGCCCGTGTCTTTAGTCCCTTATCATTCTCGAGTTGTTATCCGACGTTTATCTCCTCTCGCTTTAACATAATAACCTCAGCTCTCATCTCACTGGTACGCTAACTGGCTAATTGGCATATTTCTGTTTTCTGTCACATTGATCTTCGAAAATGCGATTGCGAACGACGCTAACTTATTACGGGACAAAATGAGATTCGCGAAGATCGCTTTCTCTCGACGATCTGCCATAGCACGCAAGATAAAAGCGAGAGATGTGTACGTTATATTATTTTAAAAAAATTTTAAATCAACGGATGGATGTGCGCTATTTATACATATCAAAGTTAACAATTGCGATAAAGTACGTCGAAGATTGCAGGATTATCGTGCATCGTGCATGCGAATATGATGCACTCTATCTAATCTAATTGATGTAAAGAGTAAAATCCAAGGGATTAACTGGTAATCCTTGGCAAGAATATTAGCCTTCAGAAATACAGGAAAAAGGCATTCCAAATACACTCGACAAGAGCTCAAACACTCGCGACATTTATACGACATGTAGGCGTGTCTCCTCTGTCGGTGCATTCTGCTAAAGTTTGAAGAGAGATGTATAGCACGGAAGAAATGAAATGTATAACTCTCGATCTCGTCGGTGAATTTGATTAATGGTCAACGAAGCGTCTTTTTTTCAAACTGAGCACATTATTGCCCAAGTTAACGCGCCAGCCCGCTTGATTCGCCCCTTGCGCAACGTTTGTTTCATTGAATTTACATCCGATATTGATCGTCATGCTGTGTCTTTGTGGCATTATTTGTGCGCTAATTGTGTTTATTTTCTTTCTCGTTTTCCTCCCTCCCCGCGTCCCAATATGTGCAGAAGGCGAAACACCGTCTCAAGGTAATTACGTTAAATTTTACGCTTGTTCGATTAGTTGCTGCAGTGAATGACTTGCTTGTTGTTATGCTAATAAATGTAATTATTCTTTTCTTTCTTAATCACAAACGCTTGAGTTGGACTTGTCGCGGACTTTCACGGGGTAAGTGGGTGGTCGATAGGTTAAGGTCGCCTTGCTTTTGATATGTATTCTCTCTCTCTCTCTCTCTCTCTCTCTCTCTATCTATCTATCTATCTATTTTCTTGTCATAGATACATAATAATCTATAAATCACATTCATATATTGACCCCTTATAATAGTTAGTCGAAATTTTTATCCCTTTTGCGTAACATTCCTTGTAGGTAATTTTTACTCTCTGCTACAAATGTTGTTTCGTGTCATTGCCTATTTAGCAAGATTGCATACTAAATTAATCATGTTGCCGATAATATGCTTTTATCGTTGTCGATTGTGCACCCTATTGTCATTATTCATATTAATTGTCGTCGTAGCGTATTTTCCATTATCTGTGACGTCGTTGATATCCTGAAACTGTGAGATAAACCATGAGAATATCTACATTTTATAACGGTCTCTTTCTCTCTCTCTCTCTCTCTCTCCCTCTTTACGTACTCTGTACTTATTTTACATCATTTATATTGCATATTACATCGTGTCGTATCGTGGTGTGGGGCTTAAAAGACGAAAAACGGCAAGTTGACAGTGTATACATATATATATAACCCGAGAATACTTGAAATTAAGTAGGAATTAGTAATTATCATAATTTTCATCTCGAATTTTTCTAGAGTTTTTGCATACACATATTTTGATCCCTGATTATACTAACACCACCGTAAAATGAAGAAGCATCACTTGCAATAATACAATAATCGAGACTTGTATAATCTGTACATAAATATAATATATCGTTGTTTCTTCATCATTATGTACGATAGTTCGGTGCACACCTTGGAAAAGATACGTTTCTCAAGACGAAACTTTCTGTAACAAGTCAGAATAGGCGTCGCAGAATGGATAAATGATGAATTTTTACACAGATCATCGTCCGCACGGTAGGAATCCCGAACTTCCAGTCATGCCGCGTAGCGAGAGCACATCCGAATTTCAACCTCTGGAAGACAAGGAGGTGGAATATTTCTTCGCTTCCGATGCGAGCGCCGTGATCGAACACACGAATCGTGTGATATTTCTAGAGGTGCGAATCACGTTGCGTTAAATCGGCTTGGTAGCGGCAAGAGTTTAAGTGTCTTGTCGGCAGGACGACGATGTGGCGGCCGTTAAAGAAGGCGCCCTGAGTATCCATCGTCTGCGCCGCTGCATGGACGATCCTCATGCCCGCGAGATCACGACCCTCAAGATGGAGATTCAGCAGATTATGAAGGGCAATTACGAGTACTTTATGCAGAAGGAGATCTTCGAGCAGCCGGAATCGGTGGTGAATACTATGAGAGGTCGGCTCAACTTCCAAGACAATTCCGTCACTCTGGGCGGAATTAAGGTAATAAATTCTGTCGCTTTGATCGCTCCCGCAGCGATTTAACAACTACTCTCCCCACTAGGATTATATCCCGGAGATCAAGAGATGCAGACGTCTGATGTTAATTGGTTGCGGCACGAGCTACCATTCCGCTATAGCCACGCGCCAGCTCCTCGAAGAACTGACAGAGTTGCCGGTGATGGTCGAGCTCGCATCCGACTTTCTCGACCGTAACACGCCGGTCTTTAGGGACGACGTTTGCTTCTTCATTTCGCAATCAGGTAATCGAGATGAAGCGGAGCGGAGGAAGAAAGTGTTAAACTAAAAGAGCTTTGTCCCGACGACAGGTGAGACGGCCGATACGTTAATGGCACTGCGTTACTGCAAAAGCCGGGGCGCTCTGATCGTGGGTATCACCAACACCGTCGGCAGCAGCATTTGTCGCGAGTCCCACTGCGGTGTGCATATTAACGCCGGTCCTGAAATCGGTGTGGCCAGTACCAAAGCTTACACCTCGCAATTCATTTCTCTCGTAATGTTCGCTCTGGTAATGAGCGAAGACAGAATCTCTCTTGGCTTGAGACGCCAACAGGTAGGTGGATTTGCTCGTTCGTATCGAGATGAAGCGAAATCTTATATATGCTGTTTGCAGATTATCGAAGGTTTGAAGAATCTGGATAATCTCATTCGTGAGGTATTAAAGCTCGACGATAAAGTCAAGGAACTGGCCAAGTCGCTGTTTCAACATAAGTCTCTGTTGATAATGGGTCGCGGATACAATTTCGCCACGTGTATGGAAGGCGCGCTCGTAAGTTCTTTAGATAAGATGAGAGTCTACTGTGAATAATTCTTGCTTATTTGCAGAAAGTTAAAGAACTGACGTATATGCACAGCGAAGGTATCATGGCCGGCGAATTAAAGCACGGTCCTTTAGCTCTCGTCGACGATTCCATGCCGGTAATTATGATCGTGATGAGAGACCCGGTATACGTGGTGAGTTTTCCGTCTTTTTAACAGCTGAACTATGTTTCGACGAGAAAAACAAAAGATCGATTCGAGAGAAGGTGTGGGAGAAGCAAATAGTCGGCAACAGTCGTAAATATTGTTTCAACATTTATTTTACAGAAATGCATGAACGCGCTGCAGCAAGTTACCGCGAGAGACGGCAAGCCGATCGTTATTTGCGAGGAAGGAGACGAGGAAACGAAGTCTTTCGCCGACAGAGCTCTCGAGATACCAAAAACAGTGGACTGTCTGCAAGGGATTCTCACCGTCATTCCCATGCAACTGCTGTCCTTCCATATTGCAGTTTTGCGTGGTTGCAACGTCGACTGCCCGAGAAACCTGGCCAAGTCCGTGACGGTTGAATAGAAATTGTTCGACTTTTCTCGAAAAGTGTCACGAGAACACATCGGTGTCTCTTCCACATTGTGGAATCTTCATCGTCAAGCTTGTCGAGAATCGTAGGTGAGCGACAAGAAATCATCGGAGTATACCATGCCGCTTTCAAATCGTTGTGCTTTATGTTTCTATGACGCTTAATAAGTGAATTTATTAAGTACGAAAGGAGAGACCGAACGTTCCTTTGCTTGTATTACAAGAGCGAAATATTCTTCGTACTCTACTAAAATTTTCAAAAGCGGCAACTAGGATTGATTTCTTTAGCAACATCACGCGGCAATAACAATCGATGCAAACGTACCTTTTCGCGCGAGCGATGAAATACAGATTACAAATTCCTCAACACGTATAATTCTATTGCATTTAATATTCATATCTAAATTCGCGTATAACGTATGGTATCTACCTTTGGGACGAATATGTTTTATTTTATGGGAGAAAGACGCGGTTCTCACATATCTTTATGATCGAGCTAATAATGCGTTCGCTATCGTGCTAGTTTTTTTAAAAAGACTTGCTCCAAACCACCTCTAAAATAGTCTTCTATAGTATATATGATTTCTTTGTCATCATCATTATTATTATTATATATATATATATATATAAAGAGGACATGTGTTAAACTTTTTATCAGTTGGTGCGTCACGCACGTGTGAGATGCTGATAGCGAACGTGCCAATTAAATTCTTGAATGGTGACCCACGCACGTCTGTGGCTGGATCAATCCTGACATACAAATGTGGTGTCCCTCTTGAAACAAAGATTTCCCATCAATTTATTGCGAATCAGGTTTGCGATGTCTTTTGGTAAACGTAAATCATTAATGTAAGATTTATTTTCGCGACGAGACGCGCGATTTTCGTAATTATTCGAAGAAAGTTGAATGAATTATGGTTCTCACGTGATCCAGCCACCGTCTATACAAAGGTTAAGATAGAAATTTCTTTTGTGCGTTTCAAACGCAACTACGACGGATATACATGTCGAGAATTAAGCGTATGTGTGTGTATGTATGTATATGTGTATGCGCGCGTGACGAACACCAACGCGACACGTGAAAACGACATCTTTTTGTGACAAATTCAACATTTCACGCGACTATGATGCAAGTCCTATCTTGCTGAGGTTAACAGTCGTTGTTATCAGGCGTACAATAATAATTTATTAGGATTATACTACGTTCTTTTGATAAATTTACCATGTCAGATGCTTTGTAAGATTAATCAAAATATATATATAATTGATGATTTACCTCTTGCGCGATATAAATATTTCCCTCTTGAGGTGACGGCAAAAGGGCTGTCGTAACGTTGTTTGCGCAAATATCTTTTGGGGAGAGCAGCGCACACACGACATTGATAAATAATTTTAAGGAGAAACGATTACGGACATCCACGGTGAGTTCGATCGAGAGAGAAAAAACCGTTTCGGAATTGCGCCAAGATTCAAGTGATGCCGAAGTCGCTGGCCGCGCCACAGTAGTAAATCTCGCGCTTAAGTCCGGCATGCGATGTATCGAACGTAACTCGGTATTCCACAGATGGGAATCGCGAACCCGTATGATTAACGCCTGATTTCCTTATCGTCGGATCGCTCGCGACAGCACGGATTTCGTTAACGATTCAATGACTTTCGAATCAATAGACATGGAGACGATGCTTCGCACGTAATCACGCTGAAGTTGTTTTTCCGGTCGAGCGCGTTACGATATTGCGCGGAAATACCATACGACAGTGATCTTTGAAACAAATTCTCGGATAAATGTACGGACTCCAACGAATAATTGTTTATGTAATAATCGTCGAATGTCGTGAAAAGGGAGAAAGATACGAACGCGCAATCGTTCCGAATCCACGTTAAAAGCACATTTTACATGCAACGCTCATTAAGGGTGTACTCATTCAACCCTGAATATACCGTTTGCGGGATGTTTATATGAAAGCGGTTCCATCCCTCTTGGGTTCTCCCTCGTGCGAGCGAACGGTTCGTTCGTCGGCCGCCATTGCCGCCCCCGCCATCTCGTTGCTGTCACTACGCGAGTCAGTCGACGGTCTGCCGGCGAGTAGCGCGGACGCGTCGTCGTGACATCCCGCGGCTGAGCGAGAAGTGTGTAATCGCTTGGCGAGCCGTTGGCGAGAGGAAAGAGAGATTTCTCCCCGCGCGCGCATCGTCGTCGGTGCTACGGCTTGACGCGCACGGACATCTCTCCCCCGTCCCGCTTCGCCCACCCCTCTCCATCTCGTCTCGTGTCGTCGTCGTCGCCGCCGCCGCTGCCGTCCCGGTGTTCGAGCAGCGCCGCGGCGGTTCCCCTCTATTGATCGAATTTGACCTGCGAAGTTTCCCCTAGCGCGTGTGTGCAGTACAGTGGCGGCCGGCAGTGGCTCTCGCGCTCGCGTTCCCGAGTGGTGCGGTTAAATAATCGTGAATAGCCTCGGTATGGCCGTGCCAGCGGCTTGCACGCGGTTCAGTGACAACTACGACTTGAAGGAGGAACTCGGCAAGTAAGTGGGAAATTTTGTCATCGCGACACACGCAGATCGAGAGATAAACGACGCTTCCTGCTCCGACCGGTATCCTCTTTGCTCCGATATCGATGCGATCACGGAGAAAGGGAGTGAGAGAGAGAGAGAGAGAGAGGGAATGAAAGGCGTGATTCTCGCCGGGATATCGTCGTCGTTGCGACGTCGACCGTCCGTGCGTTCTCGCGAATTGCAAATCGCGCGTAAAGACGCACTGACTCGCGAACGTCGCAACTCTCGCGATTACGTCCGTAGCAGACGACGCTGCGCGGTCCGCCATAACTGTTCTCTGCGTATGCAGGGTCTCTTCTTCGCCTCCCCCTCTACCCACCGCCGTTCGTTCTCCTACTTTTTCGTTTAACGCGTAAATTGCGCGCTCTCTTTTTTTCTCTCACTTCGCTCTGTATATCTACCTCTCTGTCGCGGCCGCGCGGGAGACACCCCGTTGCATTTCGTCTATATTTAAGCGCCACGGGCCGTCTGCTCAGCCTCTATATATAAAGCGTCAAGGCGCCTGTTACTCTCCGCCGCTTCTTCTCGCTGGCCGTCGAGAAGCGACAGGCGTTAGCGCCGTACGCTGCGGATCTCTTACCGAATCGATACCATGTCGTCGCTTTTTACCTTCGTCCTACCCTACCCTCTCCGTTTCCCCCTGTCTTTTCCTCCACCCCCTTCGCCGCGTTTCCGCACTTCCTTCTCTTCTCCTCTTCCTTCGTCATCCCCCGTCGCTCTTCCACCCTCGATCGCAGCACGAGCGACGGCAGGTGGTTGCAGTCTCGCATGCCGTTATCCCTAAAGGTTACTAGATCTCCCGACCCTCCTTGCTGCCTTTTTCTCCGGTAAACCGGAAATTTCGCTTATCTTTGTGCGCACGATATGTTCTTGTGCGTTTCTTCAAAATTTATATAATCTACATTATATATACATAATGCGGATTATAATTAGCAGGATGCAGGTTTATGAGATAAAATTGAGAAATATTCCTTCCAGATTTATGTATTTTCCAATAATATACTTGTGTGATGTTTTCTGATGTTAAATCTGATCTATTCGGTATCTGAATCAACAGAGCCATAATAGCGTGATATTTTCCAGCTGATTATCTCGCAATCTTGGCTCGGTTAATCTCCGTAGTTGTAATTTCCTCCGCGTTTTTTGCCCTACATTTTACGCAGGGACGAGAAGATCCGATAATAAGACGTTAAAAGGTCTATATCATTCGAACTCGGGTGTCGGTAGACACATCACTGTGGTTTTACGTCCGATCTATATGGGTTTCACGTAAAACCACAAGCGCGAGCGCCCGACGTTCTCCAAGTCATATTTCGGAGCAGCGTGTATCGATACTGTCGTATCCCTTTTATCGAAGCGCGCTACTTTGTAGTCTTTTGTGCTTCTTTTGCAAAAGGCAGCCATCCCTCTTTATTGCATTAGCCCTTTTAATCTCAATGTCTTTTTCATAAAATACCAACTATTTTTAGTTTCTTGTACGTAGCAGCAGTTGGGAAGAAGAGATCCTTCCAACCTAAATCAATTCGAAATTGTGTGGAGCGTTTCGATGGATAGGGAGCTGTTTAAGAATAGTGAAAAGTTTGTGTTAACGAAACTTGACGCAGGCTTGAAATTCCTCGTTGCTTTACATTTTTTTCTTCAGAGTATAATACATGCGTTTTTGTTTATTATGTACATAGAAAGTTCGGCGTGTAACATATGACACCGTTGGTGCAAATGCGTTGAAAAAAATTCGTTCGAACGGCGATATTATATTCGCTGCTTACACTCTTCGATTCTTACATTGCACATGTGATGCAATTTTGTAGCGAATTGTTTCTCTCGATCCGTCGCGGTAACACAACTGATTAGTCGAAATCGCGGTATAACGTTGAAAAAGATCGCTACGCGCCTGGTCTTCCTAGATTTCTAAAATATTCAGACGCGACGGGACAATATGTTCGACCACACCCCCGCGCTTTTTCACTGGAGTTCGCGCCACGGTCGATAAGCGTGATGTTAGAGCACACACAGAGCCTGCGTTGTATCGTGCCACCTGCTCTCTCGTGGCAGCTCATTAAGCCCCTCTAAATTACTCCGCACCATTCACGATGATTGTATCGTGTGTGAAACGCGACAGACGAATGCCTTCGGGCAGAGCGGGGCTCAGGAAAACAACGATACTTTTGTAAAATTGAATCGTGCAATTTTTTGCACAATTTCTCCTAAACCCTATTCTTTCGTTTGAAATTAAGCTGCTGCTTCAAGCAATTAACTTGGTTAAGAACGGATAATTTCGAAGCACCTTCTATACGCTATTCAAGCAATTCACGGCGAAATGGCTGCGTGTATTATCACGAATTTCTTGTAATCATACCTGCAAGATCGCGCGAGCGGCCCCGTACTTGCGTTTTATCCGAATAACTCGGTGAGAAACGTATCAATGGTAATCTCACTCCCGTCGCGAAGCCAATGCTCGTGAAAGAACAAGAGGATGAGCTTTAATCTCTCTTCGTTTGACATTACGCGTAGTAAAAACTTACAACTCGCATCTACCCGACCGACTCGAAACTTTTGTAGCCGAGGATTTCCGCCTATTCAGAATCAAGTGCGTGTCACACTGTCTGATGAATCATTCTTTAGGATGCGCATTGTACTTTACGTGACGACGTTGATGCTACATATTGTCTTAGATTTAACTACCGCAAAGTAACGTTCTTATCATTTGGATATTATGTCAGTACTGTTTCAATTTTAAAATCGTACACAGGGCACTACGGACTATCTCATCTTCCTTTTTAATGTACCAGCTGAATAATTAAGTTTTCGATTTTTTGCTGCACGAAAAAGACGCACTAATTGAAACTTCGAACGCTCTTGAGTCGTGCCGGACGACCGCACACTTGTGCATGCACATTCGGCATAATCAAAACATTTCCCCCGTCTCGCGCGCATTGAATAATTCAACAATGGTGCGTCTCCGTGGGCATCTCGCCGGAGGATCGGTTTCTTACCGATTATTGATTTTGTCGCGACACGTGGATATATGATAATGAACGCGATCGGGCCACCTCTTTTCTCTTAAAGATGCAAGTTGCAAACTCATTGTTCTCGCACAAGCAGCTTCGATGTGTCTTGGAGAAGCTCCATTACGTCTCGCACATCATCGGACGTTATGGCTTTCTCTCGAAACGAAGTTTTGAAAGAAATTACGTTTTGAACTAAATTATGTGATTAGATTCGCCGACAGCTGTGTTTCTTTTCCGCTCGAAGAACATCGTTAAATAATAAAACGCGAAGTATCGAATCCCACACTGCAGCGAGCGACATCCAATCCCGCGAATGGAGGTGCGTCTCCCGCTAATTACGAGCGTGTAATTTAGCGTTATCCGCACGCAGCGGTATCCCTCTCGGTTCGGCGGCGGTGAGAAGAAGCCGCTTACGGCCAAACCGATCCGAATGTTGGTTTTGGCAACGGCCGGCACTGACATTAAGACCGAGGGTAAATATTGGCTCTATCGAAAGCCACGAGGGAAAATGCCAATTCCCGGCGCGAAGTAGCGCCGCTTCTCGCTCGTTTGCGCGCCCCGACGAACGGTTTACTTTCTTCTGAGCTCAGCTCGTGTACGTTTCGCGTGCCGATCATCACACACATGCAGGGATTTCATCCTCCTCCCTGCTCTTTCCTTCGTTTCCACGCCAACGAGAATGTTATCTTCGCATCGACATATTTCGTCCTTAACGGACCCAATGGGAGGACATCGATAATGTGGCTGCCGCGCGCTTAGCACGTATTTGCGCGTGCAAGAGTCGGCATCCGCTAATGAGTATGCAGACGGGAAATAACTGCGCAGTAAACGAAACACCAAGTATCACGTAGATGTTTCTTTTTTTTATGCATTCTACATACGCGCGTCTTGTTATTCGTAGCTTTTAAAATACCGCATGTGCAATTACATTTAGCGTGCACTCTCTCGCGGCTGTATTTCCCCTTTGCCTTTCGCCGATCTTTTCATCGGAGTTTGCTGGAAAATATTCCGTTTCCGCGTGCACTCGAAATTTCGACAAACACACTCCTCCCATCTATTTCGCCGCGCAATACGCCATATTTTCGCGCTTCCTCCCTCTGCTTCGGCCGGCAGTCGTGAGAATTACATCGTAAAGCGAGAAACCGTGTCGGGGATAAAAATGCCGTCTTGAAAGATCGTAAACACCGGAGCGAGCGGTTGCGCAACGTCACTTTTACGATTCGTTTCTTGCGGAACGCCCGAGACAATATTGTACGAGAGCGTGTGAGTTCGGATGGACGAACTGGTCGTATCGACAACACGCGTGCAACGATTCGCGACGAACGACTGCGTTCATACTGACGAAATGAGTGTCGCAAGATGCGTTGAATCGTGCAACTCGTATCGACGAGAAAAATTCACGGTATATTGTCGAGTAAACGGAAATGTCGGCGAAATAGAAAGGAAGGAAGGAAGCGAACAGAAAGAGAGGAGGTAACTTCCTTCACTTCGGGCTAGCGATAAGCCGGAGACGGTGAGCTGATCGAAGGCGATTCGCTTCCCCCGCGCCTTATCTTCGCGGCTTCGACGCAGTGGTCGCAACGGTAATAAAGGAGTAATAAACTCCGCCTCGATGGCTCGTCGATATCGATTTATCCGGGCGACCTTGTGTGACGGTAGCGAAGACAAATAAAAAGAGAGAGAGAGAGAGAGAGAAGCGTGCGATAGATGACGCGCCGGAATAAGAATTCATTTGCCTCGTGCGCGCGTTCGTTTATTTATTTATTTATTTATTTTATCGACGCGTTTACGGTCGTGGGAATGTTTGCGTTGGTGCAAGGAATTTTGGGAGCTTTTCGAGCGAGGCGCGGCCGAACTCTCTCCGCTCGCAGCGCCGCTTTACGACTGCGCGCGCGACCCTTTCGGATAATAAATAATTTAATTTCACAGCTGAATTTCGCGCTCCGAGGAGATACGCGCGCG